GCTGCATTGAAGTTCGTGGTTTTGAGCCACCTTTCTCTCAATACGCTTGTGTTGAGCGCAGTCTGGTTGTGAGGGTGACCAGTTGGAAGCATCACACAACACGGCATTCTGGATCCCTTACAGAACGTGCGTAGAAGAATTCCCATTACAGCTGAACCATTGTTTGGCTGTTTTGGCTGTTGAATGCAATTGCATTTTTAATGAATGGCTTGCGGTGGGATAGAGAGTGCTTTTTATTCACGCTTGGAGTGTTATGGCGGCACCATAACTCCAGTGTGTTGACCTGCTTACACCTTTTACACATTGTGTGTTTTTTTAATTCTTGGCAGTCACAACAGCGAAGTGTGCTGGCAGACATTTCTGCTGGACTTTCTGGTTTTCTCAGCCCAGACTTTTCGGCTTTGTCGACCCATCGTTTAATAAAACACGGGACTGAGCCTCAACTGAAACATTTCAATGGGTCACTGAAGAGACTTGACTTTACAGTTATTTTGTCTCGGGCATGAGGAGGAATGACAATGTTATGGTGGCCATGGTAGAACAGCTCTGTCCATTGACACGCACTGGTACAGTTGCTTTGGCGAGGCTGTGCCACTGAGTAATTGTGACAGATGACCTTTCATTTTGAGTAGCCTGTGGTGCAGTGCTGTGTGGCGCAGGTGCAAATGGGGGAGTTAATGGACCCATTGACTTTCTGTGTGGCACTATAATACTGTACGGGCACACTGCCCTGCCACCCATCAATCATTATCTGTCTTTGTTTGCTCCCACTTACTGTATGTTGATTTTATTTGACTGATGTACGTTTTGTATTTAAAGCCCCTGGGGTTTTATTAATTGGTTAGGCTGAGTTAACCATCAACAATTGTTGTACAATGACCTTTTCAGTGTGTGAATGCTACGGCTATGATTGTTGTCGGTGTAGGGATTTAGTTTCGCTGGTTTGGTTATGCGAGTCCGGTCCGTGCTGCGTGAGTCAGGTCCGTGCTGCGTGAGTCAGGTCCGTGCTGCGTGAGTCAGGTCCGTGCTGCGTGAGTCAGGTTCGTGCCACGTGAGTCAGGTTCGTGCCACGTGAGGCCAGTGCTTCTTGAGGCCAGTGCTGTGTGCGGCCAGTCCGTGCTCGACACCGCCAGGCAACACTCAGCTCCGTTCACACTGCTCTGCTTTTCAGCTCCGCTTGTGTTGTTCTATATGCTCAGATTTTGTTTGTTACTTACGAGTCAAAAGTGTTGTTTATTTCTTCACCGCCTCTGTGTTGTTCGAGCCGATGAAATCACTTACCAGGTTACATTTCATATGCCTAAATGCCCCTTTTCATTAGCTACTTTCATACAAGCCTTTTTTGTCCGATGTCTTTTTTTTCCCCTCCCTCACCAATTTTCCCATACAGCGTGTACAGTATTAGATAACATTATTACATAAAATGGTAAGTTGTAAACTCCCGGTCCTTGAACACAATGCCCTGTTGTTTTTGTGGAGCACAAAATGAAATATTCCTTGAGCCGATGAGTGGGAACACAGAGAGCAGCCACACACGCATCTTACTGTACTAAGAAGGAGATGACAAAAGGTGGTGGTGCGTTCTTTGTGTGTCGGTGGCCATTGAGAACTGAGAGCGAGGCCCCGCAATTATGGGAACAGGACCAGCTGTCCCCAGGCCCCAGTGTCTTCTCTCTTGAGAAAGGCGTCAAAAGGAAAAAGGCTCTGTGTTTAAAACATTGATGAGGAATGACGAGCATACATTTGCATAAAAAATACGAATTGTTGTAGCAAACGTTCCAGGTTATAAATGACGGCGTTGCTTTGTGTGTATCTCAGTGCAAGTTTACAGATATCTCTTGCAATTTCTGAAATTGAGCTTTATGTTTATTTTGCATGTTTCCACTGACTTTGATGTCTTTAATGATAATAGATGTAATTCTACCTATTGATGGAATTTCACTCTTTAATGGGCTGCCAGTTGGCTTTCATTATAATGTTTCAATTCTTAAGTACGTTTTACTTACAGCATCATGGGAAATATTTAGCATGTAACCATGAGTTATTAAAGAACATAATGAAAAGTCTTGTAGAATGCATAGTTTGCTGTACAAGTGCAACAATGCATTGATTCACCGATCTTTCTAAAATTTCTAGGCCTTACGATACAAACCATAGAAATGTAATAATATGCATTGATGTGAGGGACCATATAGCAGATCCTGCTATCCATGGGAGACCGCGAAGGCGAGATCAATTTTTCGCGAAATAAATGCATGCCGATGCGGTGGGCAGCGAATTATGGGAGGAACTATCCACACGATTTCATTAATCCACGAAAAATACGCAGATTACCTGGGAGGCGCTGCACGTCATGAACACAAATTAATCCACGATAAATTTGCAGATTATTAGGCTACACTTTTTCCTAAGACTTGTGCAAATTTGCCATATGAGTCAATGTTAAAGGATTTTTTTTGGCAAGTAAAAAAATTACTTTATATGAAATATCACCAAACAACTACATTTAATTTGCAAGAATTGTTTTTATTTCCTCCACATTTCTTTGTAGCTCCTCCATTCCTGCAGCTCTGTGTTAGCCCTGCCCACTTTTATGGATCGTGGTTTGCAGTCCACGAAGCATTTTCAAATGGCCGCAGTGTGCTACAGATTATGGGAGCAGTTGCAAACACCGATAATTATACAATCTGCAAATTACAGGGATTCACAGATGATTGGATCGCGGGTGATTGAATTTCTTCTGTTAATTGAATGTGTTTAGGAATTAGATGTTTGCATTTTTATTTTGTATATAATGGGTTTACATCGTGCCTTGAGTAACTTCCTTTCACCACATTGTTAGATAAATAATCGCTTGAAATTAATCACGACTCTGAATCACGATAAATCAAGTTATTGAATACAAGATAATGATATCCTAGTGACTGCTCATAATTCTGCCATCCACCAACATGATATATCTATAATTCACATGCTTCGTCCAGTACAGTATATCTGAGAAGAGATGAGAAAAATAGGTGCACACACCAAATGACTGTGGTACATGGGCAATCACACACAGCCCCCATGACACAAGAACTATGCGGAGTTATTTGGTCATTGTTGTTCAGTTGGTGCCACAGTGGAAATATGTTACTGGTAGGAACCCACTGGTTACACCTGCCCACATGGGATTATTGTGTCCGTCCGTCGTGCTGGGAGGGGCTGGGTGGAGAGGGAGGGGCTGGGTGGGGAGGATGGGGCTAGGTGGGGAGGGTGGGGAGGGACTGGGTGGGGAGGGGTTGGGTGGGGTGGGGAGGGGCTGGGTTGGGGGGTGGGAGGGGTGGGGCTGGGTGGGGGGTGGGAGGGGTGGGGCTGGGTGGGGAGGGGCTGGTCACCACGTGGTGCCCTTATAAAACTCAACGTTTAACCTACTCACGCCGGCTTGTGCCCGCCCTCACAGTCGGCCATATTTGCGGAATACACCACGCCGTGGTTGACCCTGGCCATTGACCGAGCAACCCAACGTTCCCACCAGCTCCCTCCGCAGGAATGTGTTAACTACATCGCTTGGTATACAGGAGGTTGTGGGTTAAATCCTGACCATGATGCCTTTATATTTGGAGTTTGCATGTTCTCCCCGTGGTCGTGTGGATTTTTCTCCGGGCCCTCTGGTTTTCCCCTCCACATTAAGAAACATTGCGTTTAGAGACTTTGGCTGCTATAAATGTACACGTGATAATCCACTTTGTTGAGCTGTCATTTGTGGACAGGTCGATTTCTGAAAAAGCTATCTAGCTTGGTGTGCCTTTCCTTATAAAATAAAAATAAAATCGTTAATAGTTTAAGTGCGTAACTACGAACCAAACGGTGGCACTGGACATTCCGTGCCCAACATTGTAACGACGCAGCTCATAGTTTGAGGATTTTCAGTGCTGTCCTTTCTAAAACAGTTCATCTTTACTCTGTAAAAAATGTTAATAATGGGGTGAAAGGCTGTGCTTACAACTTTTACATAGGTGACGCTAATATGTTCTGAGTACATGACTTACAAGTGTTAAATTCACATTTCAAAACTATAAGTAAAAGAGTGGTCAAAATATATTCCAGAACAAAATACACCTCGACTCATATGCAGATTCACAGGTGGGAATTTTTGTTGTGGTCACTTCTTTGGCTTACAATACTGGACTTTCATTGCCTTAATGCGAGAGACCATTGAGATGAATGTCTTAGCAAGGGAGACCTCTAACCATAATAACATAGGAACAATCACTCACTTTAAGCTCTCTCATTGCAGATAATTTTCCAATTCAGCACTTGGGCTATTGCCATCATTCATTGCCATACTCTTGTGAATTATGTCTTTGTTATCCACTTTATTGCTGATGGCACGTTGGCACATTCTTGTCATTTCCCAGAGGTGGCGGGAACCAAAGAATATACATTATTGAAATATGTCCCAGTGACAAGCAGACAGGCCACTATAATATCCTGATGCTCAGTGTAATTAGAAAATTAAGTTGGAGCTTAAAAAATAAGCTCAACGTTACTGAACTATATTTTGTTTCCACAAAACATTTTGACACGCTCTCGTGTGTGTGTGTGTTTTCATATACTGTGCTGTATATATATCTACGTGGGTACATGTGGAACATGATTCAGGAGTTGGCGGAGAGCCATGGAGCCTGGCGGAGTAATCGTCTTCGCGGATCTAATGGGAAAATGCGAAGACAGTCATCCACCAGACTTAAATGACCCTCCACCTTCTTGTACCGTCTGTAGCATTGTACATATGTTGAACTTCTCTTGCATCGTACGTCGCCAACCGTGCTCGAGGGAAGGACAACAGGACAGCATTGTAAAATAACCGGCATCACTTTTCAGAAATTGGTATTATTTTTGTTGATCCCCCTTGCAAGTGATCGGCCGGGGACCCTGTTGCAGTGCCGCCGACTTGCGGCCTGCTTTGCGTTGTGCTGCTCGTGTCCCTAACCCACGCGCGCGGTCTCGTCACGCAGGCGGTGACGGCTCGGGACTCGATGGCCAAGTCGCTGTACAGTGCGCTTTTTGACTGGATCGTCCTCCGCATTAACCATGCCCTGCTCTACAAAATGGAGCGCAGTGACCACGTCAAGGTATGCAAAGTTCTCCGCGGCGCGGATTGCACAACGAATCCCCATGTCGCGCAACAGGGAAAGTATTAGAGGTCGGCAATGCATAATTATGCATTTGAATCACGTGTGCGAGGATCAATGTTTTTAATTTCGGGTGTGTGTGTACTGTGTTTATTTAATGGGTTCACACGACCCCTGTGGCTGTGTTGTGGAGTTTTTTTCTGGGTTGGTGACTCCCAGGTATTTAGAGGAGTCTCATGTGGTCAAGTCAGTGGTACTGCCACAATGCTAGAGATGTTTTTTTTCTTTTCACATTGAGCACTGCTGTTCATCTGAGTGTTAAAACACGAAGTGATGAAGAAATAATAGATTCACAGAATTGTGGCAGTTCATTAACGTGCCAGGGCTCATGTACCGTCCTAGCCAAGGACAATTTCCTGTGTGTTGAAAGGTGTGCAAGCCAGAATGAAATGTATGTCCCTAGGCTAAACTGTTGAACGTTACAGCAGCATCCAACTGTATGTAACAGAGTTGTGTGCTACCCACAGAGCAACCCTTCTGTAGGGTTTGCCCTGTGGGTAGGGTGCACACCTCACGATTACAAGGTTGAGTGTTAATTTCCCAGTCAGGGGGTGGCAGTGGTCGTCTTGTGGTGAGATTGACTTTTACCATAGGAATGTGGAATTTTCACTGCTTGCTGAGAGCTACCGATGGGACAATGAGCATCGCTCCATTGTTCAATCGAGAAGGAAATGTGTTGACTTTTGAAATGCTGACGAGTAGTATCGTCACTTGTTGTTTCATCACGCGTAGCTTATAATAACCACTGTCGTATTTTTATTTAATACAGTATGTTCAATATGCTGAGACTTGTTGAGCATCATTTTTCCTCCACAATGCCTTGTGAGACCATCTTTCGCTAAAACACGGAAAACTTGTATCTGTCTGCCCGGGTGCCTGCATCTAGCTATGTAATAATATTTGGCATTTTTTTTAACAAACGCCGCTTTATAAAATACAAACAGCCCATGCAGTCAAAGAAAAAACTTGTGGGGAAAGTCAGCTACATTTGAAATAAATCTAATATGTATTTAAAAACGGTGTTAGTTGACTGTTTACAATTTTAAGTGTTGATTCATTGTAAAAAAATGTGTATAGTTTATTATTATTCTAAGAAAATTATTCCACTTCTCCGAATGACCCTTAGCTTCTGTGGTGGTCTCAAAACTTGTTGAGTTGTGGCCAACAAGGGGTGACACGTGTGTTGGGACGCATCACACACATGTAACACGTGGTGCTGTTGACATGAAGGTATCTTTTGCACCTTTTCAGCAGCATCAGCAAACAAATTTTATCTTCGGTTAAATAGTTTTAGAGTTCAAACTAGATTCGAAGCTTTCGCGACTGCAGGGAATTACTCTTTGGTTCTTTCAGTAAAGTCACGTAGAAAATACAATCAAATAATAATATAATATCATTAGACCTCCTTTTCCAGTACCAAAATATAATAATAGGGGTTTTCTCCTTTTTTCTGGCAACAAAACTGAAACCTTTTTACAAGGATTCATGTTTGCATTAACCACAATACTTGCAGTCAAAATAAAAAAAAACCACTGATAATATATGCATTTTTCTTGGTTCTTTCGGTCAAGTCACATAGAAGGGAAATAATAAAATAAAATTATTGTTTTATTAAACAATAAAATTATTGTTTAATATTTTTATTATTTCCCTTCTACGTGACTTTACCGAAAGAACTAAGAATATGAATCCTGCAGTCACGAGAGCTTTAAATCAATATATTATCAGTGTGTTTTTTGTTTTCATTTTGACTGCAAGTATTATGGTTAATACAGACATGAATCCTTGTAAAAAGGTTTCAGTTTTGTTGCCAGAAAAAAGGGGAAAACCCTATTATTATAGCAATAGAATACTATGTTACTGTTGCAACACAAGCAGCCATCATTAGGTAAGAACGAATGATAAAACACAGACACGGAAACAATACAGGCTGACACGCATGCAGAGACACACCGAGCGAGACGCATGTGTGTCTGCCTTTGTCGTATTCTATTATTATTTGATATGATTTTCTACGTCACTTTACCGAAAGAACCAAAGAGTTTTAGAGTTGTCTATATTTGTCATAACAAAAATACTGAACTAATTATTGATGTTTATTGTTGAAATTATGCTTATAATTAATGGTTGATATTGATTCGTAAGCTCACAATACATGCGTACAATCCTTTGAGAGTACTTTTTTTTATTTGTGTGGGTTTTATTAATGGGTTCATGTCACCGCTAGAGCCACTGGAGGAGCTAACATTCAACACGATGTTACAATGAGGATTGTTAAGTCCTCATTGTTACACGAATTGTGACAATTCATGGCATTGTAGAGATTGGAGGCATGAATCGTTCCTCCCTAAATGTTTCCAAGTTTTCTTTGTCGATTTTGCTTTAATAGCGCATTTAGTTATCCCTGAGTTTTGATTACAAATAATGTAAACAATGCACGTGCTTCCTAGACAAGCCCATCTTTTGACTTCAAACTTACCTATTGTTCTTGTTGCTCTATGCTGGGCCTCACTGGAATTCCTGGCAGTTGTTCAGTTGTTGAACATTCAGGCACATTTATTTGCGCTTGTTTTTATTTCGAGACAACAAGCAGACTGTTACACATACCACAATGAATGCTGGAATGCAATTGAGTGTGATTTGGCTGCCAAATAAATAGCTAGCCATCCTTAAAAAAAGTCATTGGCACTGGGATATGATTAATGTTTATACATTTTGGGCTTTAACATGTTTTTTTTCATAAAACACACTTTTGAATAAATATATATCTCAAGTGCATTCCAGTTAAGTAACTCGCCGCCACGTTTGTCAGCATTTCAATTTCACGACTTCAGACATTTTTGTCGCCAAGGCACTACAGCACCGTCAAATACAATTGTACAGGCTGCTCGTGCGGTTTGCAGGAACGTTGTGTGTTTAGTCTTCCTCTAGTCAGTTCGCTTGTTCATGTTGAAATAGGGTAACATTCAAAGCCCCCACAGGTACATATATTTAATAAGAAATAAAAATAACTGCGACTACAGGTTTCCCTCGTTCTGCGTGGGTTTGGTTTGTGCGATGTCGCATATATGCGGCTATCTTTTTTTCTCAAAATTCGTTTGAATTCACTCATGCGGCTATGCGGTCGGACGTGGGACAACATTGTGTGTGCGTGTACTGTCTGCGCTACTCGGCAGACAGTTGTCTTGTGTGGTTTTGCTTTGTGCGCCCTCTTTTTTCGAACGCAACTACCACATAAAGCAAGGGACACCGGTAGTATTCAGCCGGATATATCGGTGGCAAAGCGGTAGAGGGCACAGTTTGTAGTTGAATTTACAAAAGCTTTGCGAGAGTTAAATTCCACTCTGGGGTCAACTTACTCCTTAATCACTCTGGGGTCAATAATATTGTGGGAAAGGTGAACAGTGGTTATCCTATGGAAATTCTTTCCCCACCTTAGCAATGTGGAATTTCCACCAATGACTCAGAGCTGTAAATAAAAGATGAGTGGAAAACCAATTGGCTTTGAGAGATGGTCTTCACACCATTGCAAGTGCAGAGTCTCTCACTTTCAGGAGGCTCTTAACCTCATATTGCACCCTAATCAATTGGGATGGCCGAGGTGGATGTATCGACACTTCTTCTCACCTACCACAAGCAATTTGCTGCTTCTACTCGTTGCTCGGTAGACGGGGGTTGAGGTGGCTAATAAAACTGACCAATGTTCTCTTCAAACATTCATAACCTGAATACATCCGGATGACATTTCCAAGACTGTTAAGCTGTACACCTAAGTGCATACCTAAGTGTATACATACATACATGTATACATACTATCATACATAGATACACATGGATTCGGACTCGGATGTTAATGCAGTTGATTAACATTTTGATCCATAGCTGAGAGCTGATTATACGCCTTGTTAGCCATCCTAGTTAATGAGTAAACAAGCAAGCTCCATTAAGATAACGGAGGAATGTTATAGTTATTTGGGAGCAGTGGTGAGCAGTGGCGCAGTGATTAGCACATTGCAACATAACCCGGTGACCCGGCCACAGCAGATATCAGTGGCGATATCTAAATCAGTCCTTGTCCGCCCTTTGCCAACCTGGCCTGACCAATGGGATGAAGTATAGCCAAAACAACTCCCATAACTGACATGGCACAGAAATACCTTTGTGTTGTGAATTGGCAAAGGACTGTAAATTATTAAGTTTGTCTCTCACAATATAAAGGCCACTGCCCCAGCCATTGACATGCTAATCTCTCACCATCTCTAGCTCCACCCACCGAACTTAATGCACCCATCTCAGGCCTATATAAGACCTTGTCTCAAAGCTTTCTCTCTCTCTCTCACCTGAAGACGATTGCTTGTGTTGCGATCGAAACGTCATGATATTTTTAGTTATTTTTCTATCTACGTGGCTTTACCAAAAGACCTATAGAATATTAAGTTTACATTATTTCAATTCTTTTCTCCTTTTGCTCAAGTGAGTTCTGTTTTCTCTTAACTTATCATAGATAAACTCATGCGTATGCTAATGAGGAATTATTAATTATATGATAGGTACATTTTAATTGTGACTTTTTTCAACGTCCTAAGAAGAATCTGTTTTTGTTTTACGACAAAATGACCCAACAAACACTGAGAGATGTGTATACTCCTGGGTCTTTCGGTTAAATCACGTAAATAAAAAATAATAGATCACGACGTTTCGATCGCAACACAAGCAATCGTCTTCAGGTGAGAGAGAGAGAGAGAGAAAGCTGCTGAGACAAGGTCTTTCTCGGCCTGCGATGGGTGCATCAAGGTAGGTGGGTGGAGCTAAAGATGGTCCAACCACAGAGGCTGGGGCAGTGGACACCCAGCCTGTCAATACAAAGACATCTAACCTAGTAATGCAACTCAGAGAGTCAGTTAACATCGGTAGAAAGGATGGAAACTTCATAGCAAGTTCAGACTTTACCTGGTTAATCACGTCCTTCCAATGATTGCTCAATTTGTACCCATCTTCTCGGTTGAAGTTGTCTATGTTTATATATATGGATGGCTTCATGAACAAATCTTTTATGATAGCCAGTGGGTTTGCAGAGTCCCTTTGTCTTGGAAAAAGTCAATATCGTGTGAGCCCACAGCGTTAAAACAATGATCAGCCACAGCCGAGGTATTGGTCCTGCCGTGTTTCAGATCCGCCTTACGTTCACGAACACGGTTCAAGACATGTCGTTTAGTTTCCTCAATATCAATATAACTACTGCCGCAGACACAGCTTAGTTTATAGACACCGGGGTATTGCATGTCAGGGATAACATCCTTCACAGATGGGATCAGATCACTAATTTTATGTATTGTGTTGAATCGAACCTGGATCTTGTGTTTGTTAATTATTTTTGAAATATGTTTTGATGACCCCTGCTATGTATGGCAAGGTGATGGTTTTGATTGGGTCCTCAGATGTTTTTTTCCCACGGTTGGGGTGACAGCTTTGCGGATTGTCTGGTCCGAATATCCATTCATCTTGAGGGCTTGGTGTACGTGCTCCAGTTCACTGGCTAGGTGGTGCTGGTCGTAGATGCAACGGGGCCCTATGGTGTAGGGTGTTGATGAGGAATTCTTCTGGGCTGGATGGTGGTGGGAGTCAGGTTTTAGATAGGCATCCGTGTGGGTGGCTTTCCTGCAGACAGTGTCTCAAATGAGCCATCTTTCTTTTCGATTAAAACATCCAAGAATGGTAACTTGCCATCCTTTTCCACCTCCATGGTGAATTTGATGGCTGGGTGTATGGAATTTATGTGGTTTAAGAATTGGTTCAGTGCTAGCGGGCCATGTGGCCGGATGACGAACGTGTCATCTACGTATCTCTTCCACAAGGAAGGACGTAGGGTGGATGCCTGGATGGCACCTGTCTCAAAAATTTCCATGAAAACATTGGCTACCACTGCGAAATTCAACCCTTTAGTACCGATTTTAGGCTGTCAGAAATTGGGCTGTTACTCTGATAACAATCTTGTTCACGTCTAACTTTTTCATATGTGGATCAGGCTTCTTCTTAGACAGGGGGCTGAATTTGGCAATCAGGTTAATTTTACATTTGGCTGACATGAAGGCGGCTGAAGAAGTTGTCATGTTATCGAACAGGATCCCAATCAGATGTAGACATTTTTTCTGTGAATGCTAAATCTCATTGTAAGAGAGTTCAAATCGGAGCAATCTTATTCTCTCTGAGATCAGGGCTAAGCTGGCCCTGAACAAGATCTGTTTAGCATTAGGAGAAGTAACAGCAGCAGATGTGAGTGTGAAGGCGATTGGTATTACCTTGGTCTTACCTTATTGAGAGATGTAGTTATGTTTATTTTTTTACTCGCTCATCGGACCATTACCAGTATGCTTTTTAGAAAATGCATCATTACATTGATATCTAAAAGCTCCTATTTTAGTTATTTTCTTTTCAGCTTTAATATTTGATGCATGGATGCACCTTTTATTGTGACAATGGTATTGAATGTTTTTTCTACAGATCAATTATTAATGACATGCCTGGGGTAACAATACATTTCATGGTCAGTACACTCCATCCACTCAGTGCCTCAATAATCATGTGTCTTATTTCAATTGTTACTTTACAATACTTTGGGTTGGCCATTTGAGATTTGTCTAAGTCTGAAATGAGATACCCTAATGTTAAACACACATCCACTCGACCAATTTCCATGGGTTCAATTGTTCATTTCTTGAAGTGGGGTTTTTGTAAGGCAGGGCCTCATAAAAACATTCTGCACTCTTGCTCGTTGAGAATGTGTGAAATTATTAGCAATGTTTAGCCATTTCTTTCAAGCATTACAGCCAATAATCAAGAGTGCTACATGATCCATAGCAAATTCAAGGATCGATTGATTACATGTATTGATTTCTTTTATTTATTTACATTGGAAAGAAACATTTAGCCTTAAGCTGATTTACAAGAATGACCCTTGGAGGACCTTTTTTGAGAAAAAATAACTGCAGCATGAATATCATAACATTGCAGACAGTGAGTAGCAAACACGTTTGAGGAAAACAGCAATTCAGGTCATGCACCATTCAAGCTACACTGGCAGGTAACATGGAAATACAACGTCAAATATAATGCCAAGTCAGTTGAACACGTAGGCTTTCGTGACCAATATCATCCATAATAGAAGTTTTTTTTGGGTTAGATAGCGTAAATATATAAATGTGTCGTTAAACCCGCCACCACCCGACACGGTCAACTAGTAAGGGTTGTCACGTAAACAGAACGTGGCCAATTCGTCACGAGTACAGCACGCCGGTGTGTTGGAGAGCCAAGCCACAACATTTACAATCTGAGTACGACGTTTCGCCAGTAATAACAACTAGCTTCATCAGGCAACAGCCATATTTGTGGAGAAGTCTTACTGTTTTGTTCCTTATATAGAGGCGTAGATGTGGTGACCACGCTTCTGCGCTCTTGCGCAATGTGGGGGGGGGGGGTTAATGAGTCAACATACATTATGCATCTGCATTATGTACCGTGCCAAATCTGACTCGGATGTTTTGTTTTTACAAACATCTGGCTAGTATATCAGTTGCTCCCGCAATGTACGGTATTTTGATCTTTTAATAACTTGGGAAGTTTCAATGCTTGTGTTATTTTATTTGGTTTTGGCATTCAATGCCCTGTTCGTTGTAAGCGTTCATTTGCAGCGCTTCTTTAACATGTTTAATTTCACTTCTCAGACTGTCACCATCTGACACTTTCTTAGCACGATGAATGACCGTCTTGATAAGAGCAGATTTCTGTGCGGGATGAGGGTGTGACTCTGCATTCAGATAGGCGTCGGTATGCGTTTTCTTTCCGTAAACGCTGTGTTATTTTACCATTTCGACCCTGTCCGATCAAAATACCATACATTGCGGGAGTAACTAATAAACTAGCCAGATGATTGGAAAAACAAAACATCTGAGTCAGATTTGGCACGGTACATAAAATTCAGAAATTAATATCTGGTACAAAAGATGTATTACCGAAGCTATCAACAGAAGGTGTGTACAGGATTAACTGCACTTGTGGCAAATGTTATGTTGGGCAAACAGGACGAATGATCAGCATGAGACTAAAAGAACATCAGAGAAATATTAAATACTCCCAAATACAACTGTCAGCAGTAGCAGAACACGCGTGCCAACAATGACACTCAATTGATTTTGATACTGTTGAAGTTCTGTGCAAAACTATCTATCGAAATTGAAAGAAATAAAAATGATTTAACCGTTCGGATAGCTACCGACTTAGTGCTGCGTGGAAGCGAATCATCAAAAAATACATTGTTTAAATACATACCTATACAGGCCACCATACTTCATCAATAGGGATTACGTTGGTATGGCTATTTTAATACACACAATGGACAGGAAGGACAAGATCAAAGGGTTCGCATAATGTGTATGCATAATGTATGTTGACTCGGTAATCTCCCCCCCCCACCCCCCACACTTTGCACAAGAGCGCAGAAGCGTGGTCACCACGTCTACGCCTCTAGTTAAGGAACGAAACAGGTGGACTTCACAAATCTGGCTGTTGCCTGATGAAGCTAGTTGTAATTACTGGCGAAACGTCGTACTCAGATTGTTAATGTTGTGGCTTGGCTCTCCAACACACCGGTGTGCTGTACTAGTGACGAATTGGCCACGTTCTGTTTACGTGACAACCCTTACTAGTTGGCTGTGTCGGGTGGTGGCGGGTTTAACTACACATTCATATATTTATGCGATCTAATGCAAACAATCCTCCATTATGGATAATGGCAAGTATAATCATGAAATATAACACCAAATATAACAGCAAATAAAACAACAAATCGCGTGGGGAAATCAAATGTGACCGATCGCCCCTTGTGACAGGAGGATGAACGCTCTGAGCTCTTGAGCTGTTTAAAAGACAAGAAACATATTTGTGTGTATATGTGTGTTCGGCACTCATTGTGTATTTGTGTAATCCCGAGGCTTCATTGTAGCGTTTTGACTTTTGCCCCCCCCCCCCCCCAGGGTCTTTCCATCGGGGTGCTGGACATTTTCGGGTTTGAAGACTTTGAAAACAACAGCTTTGAGCAGTTCTGCATCAATTATGCCAATGAATGTCTTCAGTATTACTTCAATCAACATGTATTCAAGATTGAGCAGGTGAGCACAATCTGTTCATTCTTTGCATTCCTTCAGCAATACTCTTTTCCTGCACCCTCTTGCATATCTTGAGCACCAGCAATGCAGGGATTTGTAAGATACCTTGCCACTACACTAAAGTGTTGATACGCATAAGGTTTTGTGGCAGTCGGTTACTCATTAGAGGCGAGAACATGTGTTTGATCATGCAAAAGCCTGCTGAAGTTACCTTTCTGTTTATAAACTCATGTTGCTCACTGTATTCCAGTTACATTGGAAACTTTGTGTTTAGCCGAAAAGGTTGTTCAGTTGTGATGGCGCTGAATTTGATTATATTTCTAATGTATACATTCAACTGTTTCTGTGTTGAAAAGCAGCTTTGGCTTTTCGCTCATTTTCTGAACATGCATACGTTATACAGATGTTATACAGTTGGGTTATCATTAATTTTAATCTGAATTAAACCATTGCTGAGTTTATTGTTCAGTTACAGCACTGAGACGTTTAAAATGACTTTTTACCATCAATAACTCGTTAAATGTGTTGTAATCTTTCTAAATAAACAACAGTCCATTCAGAATGCACGTAATTGAAGTGAATGAACAATATGTACAGTAATGCTATTGTAAAGCATAGATTAAATATATATTTTGTCAATAAATGTTAACTGTTAATAGGTCAACAGCATTCTGATAAATTCCACAAGTCGTATGAAGCAGCTAGTTTCTTCCATTACAACAAATTTCCTTTGGATTAAAGTACTTCCATTGTTTTTGGAATGCTTAACACTTGTGCATCACAGCACGTGTTAGGGTATTCCTCGTTTACGATTGGTATGTCTCTCGAATCATTTTTGGGATTACAAACAGTTCACAGTTTGTTTGAAAGTACAACGACTCGTTGGCAGAATTAAAAAATTCTTCTCTCACTTCTCTGTAATATTCATTTTGTGCATTTGGCGAGCTTCCATTAACAGCGACTAAGCCACTTAAGTCCTAGCGAGGCAGCCCATGCATCATTGTTAAATATGAAAAATGGCAGAGTAATGTGTTCAAACTTATCCGTTTTGGGTACTGAAAATGCCCTCTCCACGGGCAAGCCTATGTGGACGTTAAGTAACTCGTCCTCCTCCATCAGTTAAACTACAAACTTTGCAGCCTAACTCGTTCGGCAGGGTTGATGGTGCCACGGTGCCGGGTGTGTTTATTACGGGAAGAATCTGCGCTTCAGTGGCCACGCTGTGTGTGGGAGCTCCGTGGAAGCCATTACACCTGACGGCTCGTCAATGTCGAAACGCGGTCCCATACTCTCTCACCATTTATGGGCTCGGGAAGCTGGCAATGCTCTGCCCCTCATGGGATCTTTCTGCCTTTATTGCCATTGCAGTGCATGGCTAGCTCTCTTATATTCACATTGGATGCATTCTTGAAGCTGTTTTGCCAAATTAATAGGTGACCTGCAGGTTAACGTTTAACTTTTGAGGACTTTTCTGGAAGAAAAAATGGATAACCCAATCGTCTCAAAACATGTGTGAAGTTTCAGTAGAACTCACCTTGATTCTAGATGTCAATTGTTTTGTAAAGGAAATTCCAGGCTTCTTGGGGTTATTGTTTGAACTTTGCTCTGGCTATCATGCTTTAAAGACAATGGGCCCAAGATCATTTGAATAGTTTCGGATACAGTTGAGTTTTTTGAATACCGAAAATTTTCAATAAAAACTGTAAAAGTTGAGTAAATTATGTTTTGACGTGTAAAAACGTGACACTAAAATGTTTGTATCTGACTTTAGTGCTTGAATTTAGAGGAAGCATCGAAGTGTATATCAGACAAAGCGATTGAAGTGTACACACCCTGATTTGGTTCTTTATTCCATAGAAGGTTGACTTGGGGGCTTTTTGGCAAGCCTCCTGGCGAAATCCCAATTCAACCTTCGGTCTCCGGGATATTGCTTATCTCCTGTGCTGTCTCAGTCGTCTTGGACCCCCACCCACTGGCCCTGTTCCTGTCCACTCTCAATGCCTTCCTCTTCTGCTCTCTGCCAATCAATGTCTAAACATTTTTTTAAGCGTACACACACCGCCTATCCCCATGATGCACATGCCATTGTTTTTGTACAGCATCTTGAGATGCGGTTACACTAAGCTGCTCTTTCAATCTCAAATGAACATTTCGTGTCGATGAACGTACCGCATTTACATGCTTACGGAACGTCGCCGCTTAGGGCTTAGATGATGGCATCGACAAAGGTTAGTTAGTGCTTCCTGAAGCATGTGGTATGAAATGGTTGAGGATGAAAACAAAACTGCCTCGACTTCACCAATGAATTTGCGACGATGGCTAAGAGTGGAATGCTTTAATAATTCACTTTTAATAATGGATATCCCTTTGGCAACATTACATTTTCATCTCATCACGACCGATTACTAAGCGCTGCGTACGCGACTCTAAAATGCACATTGTTACTGTCGAAATGCAAATTTCCGTTCAGTGTCGTCCTTGGAAAGCAATGTCATTATGAACAGCTTTCAAGTGAACCATCACGTGAAAGCCTTCCTCTAAAAGCGTCCTTTATAGTTGGGTTTCTCCGAGGCTCTTCGCCACCAACGTGGCGCTCTCGTGCCTATAGATCGTACACAATTAGAAACACACTCGGCATGTTAATAGTGCTGCCTTAAAGGGGGACGTTTAAAGTAGGCAGCGTTTTGTTGATAAACTGTGAATAACGCAACGAATAATATATAAATTTCGATTTAAAGCTTTCGTGACTGCAGGGGTTCATCTTCTTGGTTCTTTCGGTAAAGTCACATAGAAGGGAAATAATAAAATAATAAAACACAATAAAATAAAATTCTCACGACGTTTCGGCCACAACGCAAGCAGCCGTTGAGGACGGCCGTTGAGGGACGGCTGCTTGCGTTGTGGCCGAAACGTCGTGAGAATTTTATTGTATTATGTTTTATTATTTTATTATTTCCCTTCTACGTGACTTTACCGAAAGAACCAATAAGATGAATAATATTTATCCATTGTCATTTATATGACGACATCAACCCCTCCCCCTCTGGTCTTTGCCCCTGATTGACTCACGGTGACGACATCACATGTACCTCTCTAAGACCGAAACAGGAGGATTTCTCCACTATTCTCGCTGTCGCCTGATGATGATGCTGGTTGTAATTACTCGGTGGAAACATTGTACTTGAAATGTAAATGTTGTGGGTTTTACTCTCCAACATACTGGTGTACTAAACTGGTAACTAATTGGCATGTTTTGTTTGTGACAAACCTTGCTAATTGGCTATTTAGATATGATTAGATCTGCCAATCCTGTGCATTTGGTCTTGTTGGCTTTTCAAACCGAAATGTGATTAACTTCAGAAGAACTGAGAGCATGTGCCGTTATTTTGTAAATTTGCTTGTTCATGTCCAAAACCCCAGCACATCACAAGTGAAGGTGCATTTGGTACATTCCATTATTCTTAACTTTTGAAAACAACGTGGTGTCATTAACCCTCAGTGTTACAGATTTAACCTCTTAAATGTGACATCGAGTTTTCCCTTGTGCAGAATTCATATTTGTTACCAAGTCTCTCGGCGAAAAAGCTCCTCTTGTACGTGAAATACTTTGCGATGCAGGGAATCTCAGGAACGCACACGGAATGACACAAGCTGAATGTCAATATTTCACAGGAGGAATACCAGAAGGAGGGCATTCTCTGGAACACCATTGATTACACCGACAACCTCGGCTGCATCAACCTCATCAGCAAGAAACCCACAGGACTGCTCCACCTGCTGGACGAGGAATGCAAGTAAGAGCAATTCCATGGATTCAACTCCAGTTATCGTGATCCGATTACTCACTCGGCTGCTGTATTCGGATTGATTTGTTACTTTGCAGTCCAGCTAAAGTTTTGTTTCTCAGGTACATTTCTGCTCACGTTAGAGGTGGTTAAAATTCGTGTGACTGGTAATGAAAACGCCTTGCCAATTAAATTCTTCACTTATTTTGGTACCGATTAATAATTCCCAAAACGTAAACATGCCTCGAATGTACAGTATATATGTGTTTCTCCACAATGTGTTGTATTTTTAAAAAAACTCCAGCAAAAATGTGGTTCAGTCGTGGGAAGGAGTGAGAAAACTTTGGATATTTGCAGATGTTGAAAGGTGGAGCTCAACAAATGCTAGAATAACTGCATATGGTAAAGCTGCATGGGGGTGAGAAAGTGGTTACCACGGTGCTGGAAAAAGCGATATATCATTAAAGAGGTTTGGTAACTCTAGAGGGATTTGTTTTATTTGCATTGAAGGTATTATGTTTACCAGAGATTTGCTGCATACTAAAGCCTGCAGGTAGAAGTACAGTATTTTCATGGTTTAACTGTTGTTGACTGAACAGGAAAAGGTTTTTGTAAAAAAAAATACATCCGCCAGTTGAGCAACTACTAGAAAAGAGCTAGGAATATGAAGGAGCGTTTGGGATTTGTCATTTGACTTTACTCACCCGTTAATTTGTGTTTTGAGAGGGGGTTTTGAAAACGTTTAGTTGCCGTGGTATTCCAGCTAAGGTATTCCAGTTGCTTAAACACTTTGCATGATGGGACTCTGGCTTCTGTGCCTTTGAGGAGAGACTGCACACAAAACCACCACAGCAATGTTGGTTTTTTATTGTGTTTGGCTAAATTCCAGCACTGAGAATGAAATGTATTTTTCTGTAGCAGGGCATATGGGAAAGTGGGCTCCCTATAGTGTTGATACAATATTCACTTGAATGGATGTAGTTCTGTGATCTCACCTTCCGTGGGGCAGTCTCAGACAAACAGCAGTGATTCACTGTTCTGCGCATGGTCGAAATGGATATTCTGCTTCATAACGCCGATGGCACCGTTGGAATTAAACTGGAAAAAAGACTGAAGAAATCAAGTCGTGAATCATCCGTAATTGTTGGATAGGTGCTCTGTACAGCTGCATTTGGTCACCCAATTTTTTAAAAGTTTTGCTCAAGTATACATTAATTAAAAGCATGGATGTGTTGTGGAAATAAAGAAAACTAGGAATTACAATAGATAGTTTACACTTGAGAGAATTGGAGAATGTAGCTTTTGGCAGTTGTAGGTACAGAACATGAACTCTGAGCCCTCGATGTGAGTTTTCCTCAAGTTACATTTATGGCAGTGGTTAGGAAAGGGACCTCTGCATCTTCACCACATGGTGTCAGTTGCAAATGAACAATGTGATACGGTCAGGTAGTTGAGGCGTTAATGTGCATGAAACAGTGAATTGTAAGATTGAAATCAAAGGATAGATTGCTTTTGCAGGAGATTAAACACTGTCTTTAAACTTTAGTATAGAGGGTCAGTTGTTTGAGGTAGGCGCCATGGCTGTTAATGTCAAGCCAAAGAGCTCGACTCGTGATCTGAAGGTGGAACTCGGATTGATGACACCGTTGCTTGGACAGTGCGCAGCATGCGACTCCTCGCAAGAACTGCCGAAGACAGGGCCCTGTGGTATAGGATAGTCCATCTCCACAATACAGGTTTTTTGGGTTAGATCGCGGATATATAAATGTGCCTGTTAAACCCGCCCACAGCCAATTAGTAAGGTTTGTCATGTAAACACACTGTGCCATTTAGTTACTACCTTAGCACACCGGTGTGTTGGAGAGTAAACCCACAACATTTACAATACGAGTACGATGTTTCCCTGGTGATTTCAACCAGCTTCATCAGGCAATAGCCAGAATTGTGAAGAAGTCCTCTTTCGGTCTTAAATGGAGGGAGTGAAGGTGATGTCGTCACTGTGGGCCTATCAGGTGCAGTCGTAAATTACCTTGGATCATGTTAATCTGAGAATATGCTGTACCTATTGTTGGTTAGGTTATTCACAGTTAATCAACATACATTATGTTAATCTGAGAGTAAGTGGAGAATATTATTGGCTGCTCACAGTTAATCAACATAAAATGGAAGGATTATTTTTTAAGTTTAATTTGTTATCCAGCCCTCGTATCGAGGAGGTATAGAAACATACGAAGGTAGAGTTAGAGTACACGTGCAAGCAGAGGCTGTTAGGAATTTAATTGTGAGATAGTGACGTTTTGAATTAGAACATTTAGGAAAGTAGAGGAGGAGGTTGTGGTGTGTGGGGGAGCACACGTGCAGGATGGAGGAATGCTGGTTACGGAGATGGGCATGATAGTGAGTGTCCAGAGGTTGGCAACCAAGGCGAGACCCGAAGCCAGACGATGCCATACAAAATCAGAATCTTTATTTATACTGGAGGAATCCGATGAGCTATAAAGCTCTTTTTCACATACGTTCAATACAAAAACACGAGCAGCACAAAGTATAGGGAAGGTAAGAAAAGCCCACTAAGATATTAGCTTATTTTTCAGAAGCAACCTGGCCACAAATGGAAGCTCAACAAAGTAGCTTGTCGCGTGGGAATTTATAGCAGCCAAACACTGGCAGAGCAGACTTTGGAGGGTCGAGTGTCAACTGTGCAAAACTTTTGTGGCATCTTGCAGAAGGAAGTGATGGTGGCACCATGACTGGCATTGGGCACCATGACCTTTTGATCTTGATGTACATACAAATACAAAGATCCCTCTCTTAGCATACACATGCAGTCACCAAAAGCGGCACTGCATTTATCAATCGGAAATGGAATCCTTTAAAAGCAACCTTTTATAACATTGAATCAGGCCAAAGAGAATATGACCTCTCGAACCTTCAAGCTGAAGTCTTGTATCGCAGCATTGCCTTGTGTACATTGTACTGTTGCTGCCGTTATTTTACACCTGAAATAAGATAGTGATTGAATTAAGCCGTACACTTTTTTTGGTGACGTCTCTAAAGGTTAAACTCATGATGTATGCCAACCTGGCCGTGTAATTGTGTAAATAAAACTATACAACGCAAATAGCGAAAACACGTTTCAGGGCATTTTATGCACACACTTTGTGCCCTGTCACTCGAAACACCTCGCTCATTGTGGATACAACCCACATTTTCTGCAGAACAAGTGGGTCCTTCTAGCAGAAGGAGTAGAGAAGCCTTTGATGCCAAATGCAGAATGCACGACAGTGACCTGCAAACAGCACGGAGCAAACCCAGTCACCCGCAGATCATTCTGATCCACAATCGTTTTAGATCAACAACAAAATGCATTATTTTTAAACGGTTGCATTTTACAATGTAATAGGATGTAATATTAGATGTAATATTAGTCGTGCAACACCATTACCAGCTAAACATGAGCCCCGCCCTGCCGCAAATGTATTTGCAAATTCAACCACTGAAACCTTAAGAATGACATTATTTTTATTTTGTTTTATTTTTCTATCTACATGCCTTCACCGAAAGAACCAAAGCGTAATGACATTTATACGTTGCAATATGCAATGCGCACGCTACGACAAAATCGTAGCTTGCCACAGAGAAACGTTTCTCACCGCAGAAAGCCGCCTTCGGCCTGGTTTGCTGGATCTTTACAGGCAGGAGTAGATTCACCGAGCCAGTTAGCCAACCTCCAAAGTGCACGGCCAATTCAATGTCAAACGTCGACACCCCTGCAGCGATGCATTCTTGAGCATAACCGGTTTTGTAACCGCATGACATGCCGTTACGTATCCCGCCTGCCGTTTGTGTTTGGCTGGGGGATTATGATTGAACACCTGAGTGCAGCACAGCAAGATGGCTGTGGTCCAGCCCAGACTCGATGGCTCGGGGTACTGGCCTTTTCCAGAGAGCGTTGTGAAAGGCAACCGATTGCTTTGCTGCTGCTGCTGCTGCTGGGCACGGCTGCCCTCTACGGCATTATTGATCCGCAGGGAAGCGCTTCAAATATAACACTGTCACTCAACTCTTAAGCAAGTGTTGCTAGTTGATGGCAATCCAGGGACCTCAAGTGGCATTCGTTCGGCATCGGAGGGAGTGCTCCTATCGCGATGGTTCGACAGGGATTGTAAACGTTTACATACGAACACTGGCACCTTGTTTTCTGCGGCTGTGAAACGTGTACGGCACAGGAGACCGTGATGTGTGCGTTCACGTGAATTAGTAGCTTTCGTGCTTCTGCAAGTGTGTTCCGCCTGATAAAGTGTGTAAAATATTAAAGTAAAATTAGCACCGGGGGCATGCCTAGAATTGGTGTTATTTACATAAAAATCTACCATTTTACACTTAGTGTGGTCTTATAGGGCTTTGTGGAGTTGTTTGGCTATTATAAAGCTCTATAATACCCCACTAGCATCACACACCCAGCCACGCTCTGCAATACCCCAATAGCGTCACACACCCAGCCACGCTCTACAACACCCCACTAGCGTCACACACCCAGCCATGCTCTATAATACCCCACTAGCATCACACACCCAGCCATGCTCTATAATACCCCAAGAGCAGCACAAACCCAGCTGTGCGGTGTAATTCATTTAGGTACTAATTGTGTCTTCCGAAAGTGGCTTTTTGGCATTTCCTGAAGAATTAAGGCAGAAGCAATTAGCAAGCCACCATATCTCAACTGTGGATTGTTTAGGCTCTATTTAGGCTGTGCATTATTGATGTCCTAAATCTCCTAATGGGTTAATGTTTTAGTTTTCTACTAATGTGTGTTTGAAAGTGCACTTTAAAAAAATGCTGCCTTTTTTAAGCTTGCATTTTAAGACAGCAGGATTATCCACCTATGCCCTATAATATACCAGAGCTAAAATGTATTGTACTGGATATTACATTGACTACGTTGTGGCCTGTATTTCCTCTGATCCTGCAGTTAATTTGTAATAACTGGCTGTGACATTTAAATCACTCTACATTCAAACAGGATATTGCTTTAAGGAAAGCATTGTTGCTGTCTTGCTTGCTTTAGAATGGCAACTTATCCTCAGAATGAACTCTTTCAGAAGGACCTAATATCTTATTTTACATGTCCTTCTTTGTGCAGTTATGAACTTTTTTCTATCAAACATTTCTTTGTTCATGAGGCCAGATGAGCCAAGTTATTGAGTTTTCCAAAGTGTGGTTTATATGATTAGACTTTGGAGACATAGGATCGATAATAATGTGGGACTAGTAGTGCTTTAATTCTCGTGGTGTACTGTATATATGAGCATCAACTTTGCATTACAGCCATTTACTGCTTGATCACTAATGCAGGCCATATCCTGGACTCACTTTAGTTCTGCATCTATTCAATCAGTCCACTTCGTACACAAGGAGAACATATCGATTCTTACATTGATTGCGTGCCTATCACTAAATTACCCATAATGCTCCCCATGTCGTCAGATGTCGAGAGCTCAGCAAGGCTTGAGGCCGGAGAGCACTTGGATGGGGGGGGGGAGACGATCGGACACAACAGGCGTTGGAGGCTGTGGGCTTACATATAGGGCAGCAGGGGGCAGTGCAGCTAAATCCATTATTGTACTTTACTTCTATTGCCCCATGGTTGTGCTCCCCGCCTGCACCAACCTGCATTGACCAGCGTGGTGAAGTATGACCACATAACCCCCATTACCTGTGTCCCGCGCGGGACGTCGCTCCACATGAGGCCCCCCCTGCATGACGTCATTCCACATGAGGTCCCCCTGTGTGACGTCACTCCGCATGAGGCCCACCCCCCTCATTAATATTCTTGAGTGGGTGGATTTTTACACTGACGCAGAGGAAGGTCGAGCAGAATAAAATAATTTATTACGCAAAGTCGCTTCAAATATGACGTTTCTTTACAGAAAGTGATGGTAGAAAATAAATCTATGCAGCACAGTGCTACATCCTTGCGTGGCGTCCCTGCAAAAGAGGGCCCCCCCTCTTCATTAATATTCATGCCCACGTGAAAATTTACACTAACGCACAAGAAGGTTGCGTACTCCGCATCATGAGCGGGTGACGTCACTCCACATGCCGCACCCCTCCCCAATAACCATTACCGGGTGACGTCACTCCACATGGGGCACCCCCCCCCCCCCCTCATCATCAATAATCATGAGCTGAACATTTTTTCTATTAAATATTCAGATTTACTGCAATATACATCCGTCCTTGGATGGGCAAAAAAAGCTAGTTACAAAGAACTGCACATGTACATCTACAATTATGGCATAATTTGAGAATTTTGAATCATTAGGAATATTTTACATTTTTACCTTTAAATTATGCATCCATGCCGCAAGCGAAAATGCATCATCGTCATCCTCATTTTAATGCTTGCACTGTTGCCATATGTGTTTATTCAGCCACAATTTACCCAATATCCTGGATGCATCATGGCAGAAACCAGTCTATTGAATTCCCACAAAGGTGGGCTCTAAATGGTTGATGGGCTGAGTTGACATCCAACCTAGCATTCTACCAACATTGTCGTCCGGTATGGTATACGTGTGGTATGTAATACCACTTTTATACACTGGCGCATCTTAGCCGAGTCAGCAAGGGACCCTTATAGTAGGGGTTGGTTTATTTGCCAAAGCGTGATGTGGTAGTCTCGCAATACAGCTGAATCTGGCTCAGGCCAAACCGGGCCAGTGGTAGCTCAAATGACACGTTCATTGCATGTGCGGTCAGCATACTGTGAGGACAATGAACAACATTGCGTCACCGCCTCATCTACACGCAATTAGACTCATTCATTGCTTGTGCCGTCGGCAGCACGGCTCCTCTTCAGCGATGGAATAACAACCCCATGGTGCCATGGTGACGAGATGTTAACTGGTATACAGGGGGTCGTGGGTTCAATCCCGACCCTGATGCCTGTATATGTTTTGGGTTTGCATGTTCTCCCCATGGTTGTGTGCAATTTTCTCTGGGTCCTCCGGTTTTTCCCTTCAGATTAAGAAACAATCATTTGGAGTATTTGGCTGCTATACATTTCCACATGATAAGCCACTTCGTTGAGCTATCATTTGTGGCCAGGTCGCTTCTGAAAAAGAGCTATATAGCTCAGTGAGCCTTACCTGGTCAAATACATTTTTTAAAGTTTTTTTCATAGTTTAGCTCGACGCACCCGAAGTGCAGCTCAGTTGCACAGCGGAAAAGATGCGCAAGTTGTCGTTTAGACCAAGTCCCCGTACCGATCGAGCGCCCTGTTTGTTCAGCTTTCCCCAGGCCACGAACGAGACGCTGCTGGCCAAGTTCCGCAGGCAGCACGATGGCAACAAGTACTACGAGAGCACCGCCGTGATGGAGCCCGCCTTCATCATCAAGCATTACGCTGGCCGCGTCAAGTACTGCATCAAGGTCGGCATTCGCATTGCACCGGTTTCCGTGATTGTGTCCGTTTTGGGACGGGTTAACACACCTGCTGAAATGGGACGAGAACTCCAGGAGGTCAGGCAGCTGATGGCATCCACGCACTGAACATTCCACAACAAAATAGGATATTATTTCTCACATGCAATTATTTGCCAATTTTAGATATTGGAGCCACTGTACTGACAGGGATATATTGGACGGTTATGGTAATTTAATGATTGAGTCCAGTGTGTGCTCTCAGCAGGGTACCCAGAATGATCAATATTTGGAATGCCTTTATAGCAAATTTTCTATGTATTTGTTTATTGTAAAAAATGTATCATTGTTCTTTGTGTGCAAGTCCTTATTTAGTGTAGGTTATTAAGTCGGTAGTATTTTACTCTCCTGTTAGGAACATTAAGTATATATTATCGACATCTTTTCAATATATTTATATTTACTTGGTCTTATAGGATAATTTTTGGGCCTCTCTGTTTAACTTCTCACAAATATAAATGCACATCTTTAAAATGAGTCATGAGATTCGTGTGCGACTTTGTAGACAGTTTAAGGGCACTAGACATCATTGATCATGGCAATTCAAGAGAGTAATTGAAGAGTACCGGATATTCTTGGAACCTTTCTCAAAATATTGATTTACCTCTATATAACGTGGGCTTTTTTTCATTGCAAGCTCAGCTGAATATTATAGCCTGTGTCAAATTAAAGTATTAAAAAATGTCTCCAATGACCCTCAATACAGTATTTTTCATATTAAAGGATGGTTCACCGTTTAGTGAGAAAGCTAAACGATCAGAGCCAAGGTGAATTAAATAAAGATGAACTCGAAGTCTGTGGACAAACCTGACTCGTGCCTGGGTGAAAAGGGTTAGACATGACCGGAGGTTTTTTTCTTATCACCTTGCGAAGCAGACCTGCGTAGGGAGATAAGATACAAGTTATCAGGAGTTGCGTTGTTGTACAGAGAACAGTCTACCCATTTCACAAAGTGTTGAAGATGGAGTTTGGGGGCCAGATTGGTTGATTTTTATTTGGCGCCAAGAGACGTCTCGTAGCCAGGGATTTGCCAGCGTTAATCACGTGTGTACTATTTTGGTGGAATTTGACTTTCTCACAATGAAACTAAATTGGCAGTCGGTTGAGTTAGAAGGTCATCAAGGGGGTTTCTTGATTCCACGTGCAGATAATTTTGTATGGCCTCTTATCACCTCAGATTTTCTTTCTGCTGCGAAATTTACTTGAACATAAATTATATTTTGAAACTCGAACAGAATTGGTGTGGGTAAGGAGGAGATGCAGGATAAAAAAAAAATTCAAAGCTTAGGTCGAACCATTGAACGACCTTCAGGTTCATAAAGGACGTCAAGTCAGGTTGGCAGCAGGTAGACAGTTCCCTCCAGGTATAACCTCTCCATGACTAAGGCAGAAAGTGTCTTTGTGGCGATGGCTGTGTTTCGCAATCTGAAAGTAACAAGGTTATCATCACAGAGAGCCGATGATGGATGATGGCTTCTGAAATGGAATTTATTCTTTTTGCCTTATATATTGTTACATGTATAAAGTTTGTATTGTTTGTGTATTTTGTAGAGTCCCAATCCTGCTTTTTGGGTTATATTTGTGTATTTTTGAGGGTTACATATAAGCACACAGCCAACCGTTCAATCATCTGTAGTGCCAAAGAAAGTACGATCTGTTTGTTTTGTAAGAACGACATTGAAGAATATCAGGTGTGAACTAATATATTGCTTCCAGATTTATCTGCCTATCAAGTCTAGCACAATTTCAATTAAATTTGTAAAAAAAATACAAATTATAACTCGTAATAAGGCTGCAGCCCCGCAATTGCTTGCTTACGCTACTGCTGGTGGAAGGACCTCCACGAGAAGAAGTTCTAGAGAGCTCCTCTCGTGGATGTTTTGGCCTACTCTTCCACGCTGGCCAGACATTTATCCCCACGACACGTGACCTGCGGATCGACCGTAGTGTACCCATGCATAAGCTGCTGTTTGGACTGAGGTTGGGAGATGTAAGAAACTTGTCTATTGTTTTAACTGATACGCCCGCATATCGGCAATCTTTGGATTGCAAGTCCAGTGCACTAACAATTGCATAGTGGCAGTATCCCGTATCTAATGGACGATTTAAATCTAGATTGAAAGCTCATTTCTTTTAGAACCGCTTTTTGTGTTTAGTTTGTTCTCCCCCGCTTCTCCGATTATTAGCATGGTTGGCTACACACGTGGTACAAAAGAAGTTCAACATACGTACATGCATCACGTTATTTCCGCAGGACTTCCGCGAGAAGAACACGGACCACATGCGGCCGGACATCGTGGCTTTGCTTCGGAGCAGCGAGAGTGCGTTCGTGCGCAGCCTCATCAGCATCGACCCCGTGGCCGTGTTCCGCTGGGCAGTGCTGCGCGCCTTCTTCCGAGCTGCCTGGGCCTTGCGTGCCCTGGGCAAGAACGCCACGGAGAGCAGCAAGCCAGGTAAGTGCACCCCCAACCGTGTGCGGTCAAGGGGCTCGGCGTTGGTCAAAACTTTTCGCTTGGCATTTCAAATGCATAAATTCACATTTCGTGCCCTGAAAATAATGTTTTGTTGTTGTCTTTACTTTCTACGCTAGTTATGCATTGGGCAAGCACACTAGGGTGCTTAGCGTTTTGTTTATTGAAGATATTGGGACTAATTAATGCGTTGGTGGAATAACAACACATTCACTGATATGTTCTGCTTATTTTGGCGGTGGAATTCATGTGAATTCCTCCTCGGTGTTTGTTGCTTTTTAAATAGTTTATATGTACTTTTTTGAGCACAACTATTTCGTATAAACAGTCAGCTGAAAATGTAATTATTTATAGCTGCCTGAACCAGCTGCATCAGTGTATCATCGTTGTTATTGATAAGAAAGAAGGGTTTTTTTTCAAGTAAGTTGAACATTAAAATCGGCAACGTCAAGGTGTCTAACATTACACATCATGTGTTTTTTATATTTCGAAACAGATGCCCAAGGATAAAATGCATTTCTAATAAAACACGGCAAAAAGCCTTGTTGGTCTACTGCAATAGTCGCACACATTCCCTGCACACTTGAGGTTTTACAGCAGCACCCAAGTAACTGCAGGCCCCAGCATAAATTCAGCATGTAATCTATCGTGGTGTTGCTAAGTAATTAATCTACATAATGAGCCTTTACGTTGAGCTTTTTCGCAGATAAGTTGCACAGGAAATGCTATCAGTTGCTGGCATCATTGCTGCTACGCTTCCATTTTGCTCTGAGTTCAAGCATGATTTCACACTAATTTTCCCCGGGAACAAGGCATATTACTGTGGGAATTGGATTAGAATTAGATTTGTTTTGTTTTGTTTGCTTTTATCTTGAAATTGATTATTTTAATTAGCGTACAAATGGTCACATGTAAAATTGAGTATAAATAAATGAAAAGTTAAAAGGTAGACCTTCATTAAGCACCTTAAAAATCCCTACTTTGGAGGTGTATTATTTAAAATCATGGTAATATTAAGATATGCAAGTATTCGATATACAGCATATTTCAGCCATGAGACCAGACAATTCACTTGCCTGAGGTGGCAGGATTTTAAGTGGTTCCAATTTCTTACGTGGTCAATGACAGTGAATTTTGTGATGACCATTTGAAACGAGCAGGTTATTAAGTAATTCACTCTTATTAGACATATGAATACATTCGTACAACTAAACGTTTTGCTTACTACCGTGGGTGGAATCAATTTTTGCGCTGGTCCATGGACTTAAACGTATGAGGTCTGCCATGAATGTCATGCATGTTAAACTGAAATTAAATACAGGGTGCTTAAAAATGTTGTAACACTTACATGGGACTTTTGTCTTTAATGGAAAAGGAACGGATAATACGCTGTAACATAACAAATGTATGTTAATAGCTTCAAAAAGTCACAGAGTTTCCACTTGTTCACCGTCATTGTCAACACGTGCCTGGAAACTTCTCCAGGTGGTCTCCAGAGCCCAGAGGCACATTTCTCGTTGCATTGTTGCAAATTCTCAGGAGCGTTAAAAATGTTATAAGCATCCTGTATATCTACGATGTTTAACATATGCATATGTCATGTAGGTTTAAATGTGCTAAACTCTGATGGTATCCCTGTTTTTTTAACGCGTTCTCATCTGTGTAGTTTTAGTAGTGCGGACTTAGTATACAGGCTCTGTTAACTGTCTCTCTTTTAATTTTGCTCCCACCAGCTCCACTGGGTATCATGGATGACACATGCAGGCATTGCTGCATGGGATTGACTTTGAGAATTCATGTCGTGTTCTATGCCGTTAGTCAAAGGAGACAATGTGCCAAGAGTGGTTGTCTATTTTTTTAAACAATGTTTTTGTTGTTTGTGTTCTTTGTTAATTTTGCCCGATTGTTTTCGATGCTAATACAAAAGTTAAACATAGAAAGTGTAGCAGTGCTAAGTTAAGCAGTGCTCATCCCCGTGGCATTTCTGGGCTCATGGTGAAGATGCCGCATTATCATGTGGGTGACCGCTCTCTCATCAGGACAGCCACTGTTTGACTTCGCACAAAGTGGTGCTTATTTTATTCACCCAAATGTTAGCTACGTGTTAGTGACTAATATTAACAAGCAGTAGTGATAGAATGTTTGCTTTCATAACTGTGTGATTTGTGGTCACTTACATCAGTGACACTCTGGGTCTTAATATGGACAGGTCTTACAATCGGTGGTTTCATTGCAAAATTAATACCTGTCGAGGTCTTTCAGTATCTTCACAGGAAAGACCTCGGTGGCTGAGTACAATTCTAAGCACCTCTGTGCCATTGCCAGTTAAATATGTGCTCGCCAATTGAATGTGTAACAACTGGGTTTGCTAGCTAAAATGGTATTTTTGTTTTTACGCTGTAGTATATATATATTATGAGTCTTGAAGAACACTGTAGAAAAATGTATTGTTTGTGTTTCTTCGGGTGCAACTGGGTTGTGGTTGGTTATACTACCCTAGCAGTGTTTGTAAAGTGATACTGCCTGCCTTACTGTGAAAAATGTAAAGGATGTTTTGATAACTCGTTCCTCTTGGGCTCACCAGAAAGCCCCAGCATTCCAGAAGTTATGAACATTTGACTTTCCTGCAGCAGTTAAATTGGACTAATTCCCTAATCCATTGATTCGATAACCCATGCCTCTGGATAATAGTAATACCATGGAATGAAATTGCAGGAATAACAAATCATAAAAGTCCAATTTTGGTCACAGCTACAGCCAATGTTATAGCTTTATTGGAATGTTATATAAATATGAATAACATTCCAATAAAGCCATGGCGGTACTACTCCACCAGATAGAATTCTACTCTTTGCTGGAAGCTAACCTGTCGTCGTAGGATTTATTCAACATGTTTTAAAATTATACATGGAAATGTTATTGGAGGAAGTTGGGGTGAACGCTGAATTGGTTGCTTGCGTGACATCTTGTGAAAGGGTTGCCTGCATTGTACGTATGGGCATTTGAATCTAACCTGTTCACGTAGTAACATAAACAAACAGAAACGTGTTTTTTTGTATCGTCACACGATGACGCTGGTTGGAAGACATGAACAATACAAATTCTTAAAATCCTGTCAAACTTGTTCCGTGGGTTTCGTGGCTTCTCTTGGGAATAATGGAATCTTTGGTATCACGCTGGACTATTATATACCCACTGAGGAAATGAATTATTTTTTAATTTAAAATATTTCACTCATAATACTACATTTAAATCGTTTATGATAAATATAGCTAAAGTGAAACGTAATTCGTACATGTATTCCTTACTTTAAATATGGGGTTTCAAACTATTATGTAAAAAAATGCATAACTCTTTTGAAACCTCATTTTATCTGTACGGAAAAAAAAATGTACAACATTAAAAACGCTTTTGAATTTCAGTTTAACAGCTGCCTTCTTGAATAACTTAAAAAACGGATAATATTTTTTTACACATTTCCTTCTGTTGTAAACTCAAAATTTGGAAAGAATGCGCAATGGAGATTCGGAAGGACCGAGCCCTCAGAGGGTATAAATCTAATAGCGCCCAGCTTTGGGCGCGACGGGTCTGGGCCCTTTTGTGTGTGCTTCTCTAATATCTCTCTGTCTCTGATTTCTCGTCCACTTCTCTCCCTCCCTGTCTGTCTCCCGTGTTGCTAAAGGTGATACTGGTGGTGTGTCCCCGCGTGCACAGAGCACTCTGGCTAGATTTAGCTTGCTCCACCACCCCGTGCACCAGCGGAGCTTAGAAATGCTGCAGAGGTTCAAGGAGGACACTGACAGTAAGGCCTCTTCCCCTCTTCTGCAAACAGGAGAACTGCAGCTTAGCGATGATGTTCCTGTTTGGTTTCTGCATTGTTCACCGAGAGCCTTATGCACAATAACCCCCCTTACGCATGGCAAGAAATGAAAGTGTTCACCTTGTCGCAAACAGTATATGCATAAACAATATATACTTCATACAATATAAAACATTCATTCTTTGATCTTTTTATTTATTTATCATGGCTCCATATTCCATCTCCCATTGCATTTTAATTGTGAAGAAGCCTTAATGCAGGTTCCACGGTAGCTGTACAACATGATACTCCTTCATATTGAAGAGCATCCATATTGGAGGAGTCAAGCCAGTGAAATGAATCAGTTACGATTCCGAGCATTAGGCTTTCCAAACGACAGCGGCTTACTCTGCAATGCTGGTGCATCCTACAGCTTTGCAGAGATTAAGCAGTAAAGGTTGCCATTGCAAAAAAAAGCGATTACAACTCGACAGGTCTGCAGCATCTCTAAGTGCATTAACATACATGTGCTAATTTACACAGGTAAGGCACTGATCATTTTCAAACTAACAATCGTGCTACGCGCTATAATTTTCCTGTCCAATGTTTTAAGGTTATTGCCGCACCTGGATTCCCAGTAAATCCATGTTCACACTTCTTAACAATTGCTGCAAAGTTAGCCTCAGTTCACATGTCAGGGGAACTTAATTTGAAATATATTTTTGTGTATTTTAATTCTTATTACCTATAAACCAAGATAATACAATGGGTTGAATTCAAATGAGAATGCTATCAGAATTACAACACCTCGTTATTGTGCCGGAAAGATTCGTTATCGTGACCTTGATACGTAACCTTGATTAAATCGTCCAAAACGCTGTTGGAACATAAGTGGCCACTAGAGTTTTGGTCTTCTTTTCACCGTTGTTATAAAGTGTGGACTGCAATTAGGAGGGGGAGAAACCCTTGTTGCTGGCCGACTGAATGAACAGTGGGTGTTTGGCTAACCTCCTCCCCCCGCACTGCTCTAATTCCATGTTCATCGTTTAGTGGATGTTCTCATGCTTTCCCTTCGCCCCCTTTTCATCTGCATGCCACTCGATTGGCCGCTCTTCTCTACTAATCAGCTCATGTTTACGCCTCTCATATGACTGCCTTGTCTTGAGGAGTGAAGAACCAGTGCCTACTAAAATGTGAATGATGTGGACATTTACAGCTTGAAAATCCATGAGTGAGAAGCCTGTGTTCAGTGACATTGTTTTTTGTTAAATGCAATCATACAATGTGTTTGGATTAAAGAGCAAACCTTCCTTGAGTACGTCTGCCAATTTATAATATGCATTGTGCACTCAAATTTGAGCGCAATTTAAAAAAACTAAACAATAATTCCCAAAGACAATTGCAGCGTACTATTGTTTGTGTCACTTCGTTTACCACTTGTAACAAAATCTATTTTTTTTGTCTTTAACTATCCATATAAATGTGTTTATGTAAAAAAAAATGTTTTTTACAGTGTCCTGCTTAAGCTGCCATCACAGTTGAACCCTGTGGCCTGGGGCAAGAGCTCGGCAGTCGAATGCTTTTTTGTTAATTCTCACTCTCGTCACGTTTTCCTTGACATAGGTATGAAACGAAACTCTCGCATCCTCCTCGCAGACATTCGTAGAGGGAGCTCTGGGGACAAACCTCACCGGTAAGTGATGCCACAGCAATCTTTCAGAGATAAAGTGAGCTTTCTGTTTTTCGTTGTTTTCCCCCATATTTCCCCCCCCCCCCAATTCTGCCCTTGGTGTCCAGACACAGAGCAAAGTTGTTTTCCAATACAGGATACCGTTACATCCAGCAGTTCTTCCTATGGAGACACTGACTCACCATAGAACGATGACATTTCCACCAATGACTCAGGACTGCCCTATGAGATTAACACTGAGGATGAGGACATTTCACAGAGCATCACATGACATGCATTGTGCATTGAGGAATCCACCAGACGATCTAGCAAAACATCTGTTTTGATACCTGTTGATTAGACACCTTTGTACACTGGTGTGACTGAGAGGGTTGTGCCAGTACCTCTGTCCAGCCAACACAGCTCAGAATAAATAGTTTGTGAAATATAGGGTGTCTATTATAGACCAGGCTACGAATATCAGAATTAGTCCTGGTTTATCCGGCATAGCCACCCATGGCTCAAACCCATCATCTTGGCATTTCTGTGTTTCAATGCTTCGGCAATTCAGAATCAGAATCTTTATTTATCCCGGAGGAATCCTGATGAGCTATGCAGCCTCGCTGTACTAGCAGTGTTTTCTGTCCACACAGATGCTGTCTTGTGATTACTGTCAACACCTGCTCCAACAGTCCAGACAGTTGTCCATAGAACTGTTACCTTTTTATTCACGTGTTCATGTTCCGTTACATTTAAATTAGTTTGATTTATTACACGGATGGTCCTGTTTAGCCAGTTTCCCAGCTATTTTACAAATTTGTCAATAACCTTATATGTATGTGTGTACGTGTGTTGAACTTCTTTCGAACCGTACCTTGCTAACAGTACGATTCAGCTTTGAAAAATCAGCTTTTTGCATTTATGTATTTTATTGTTTAAATGTAATGGTTTGATTTTGTATAACATATCTACGCTCGGGGATAAACATCTAATATAACAATGGAATGCTTCAAAATGGCAGTGCTGTAAATAGCAGACTGTACTGTGCTGTGCTTTTCATGCAATAGAAATTGTATAATTTGTAAATTAAAAATCTAATTTTAATTGTGGGTTGAGTCATCAAAATGGCCTGTTTGGCGTATCCTGTGAATTTACAACATTAATGTACTTACATTTAATTATTAAAGAGGCAGGCAGGCAAGCAGGATGCGTATTATTTTACAAGCATTGATGGCCAATGGACGAGACTGGTGACAGAGTTGCAGCCAGGAGAGTGATCGCACCCAACAGCACAACCACTTCTGTTGTGGCATTGTGTGACCATGGGGAGTGGTGGAAACGTGGAAATGTCTTCATCTAGCAGTGGATAGAACATGGCTGGTGATGATAATGATGATAATGGTGAAAATTACTTTTAATGTATATCATAGCAGTGCACTGACAAAGAACAATACACTTGTTTATATATATGTGTTCATGAGGCATTTCAAAATGAATTTCCAAGTGAGTAATGGTTTTAACATTTCTGAAGTAAAATACTTCAATTTAAAAGTTAGGTGTGTGCACTCCACAACTGTGTATAGGACGGTGCATACGTGTTCACGCAATTTTCCAGCAACAAACTTTGTCGAGGTGTAACTTGCATGGAGGAGTTAATATTCAACAGGCACCGTTTCCCAATTGAGTTTTGTCTAATAATACAAATATAAAACAATAAAATTATCACGGCGTTTCGACTCCAACACAAGCAATCATCATCAGGTGTGAAATCCACAATCGAAACGTCGTGAGAATTTTATTGTTTTATATTTTTATTATTTTATTGTTTCCGTTCTACGTGACTTTACCGAAAGAACCAAGAAGATGAACCCCTGCAGTAACGAAAGCTTTAAATCAAAATTTGAGTTCTGTCTGTTTTTCAGTTTCTTCAATAGTGTGGATCAGTGTCAAGAGGCAATGCAGAAGACACAGTAAGTGCAGTCCCCTGTACTTGTTCACCTGTGCATGTTTCACTTAAAGCTTCGCTACCGGAACAATACTTTTTGAAGACAATAATAAGTGGTAGTGTGAGTGTAAGTTACTGCTTCGTTGTCGTTTTTCAGCAGGAAAAATTACGATTTTTCATTCAAAATTGCACACGTTTAAATGTTCACTTTATAGAAGATGAGGAACTTTCCATTGGTGAATTTCAAGACTGTGAGATCAGACACTGATGAATAAATCCCATAAATAAATTACAATAAGTAGGTCTCGAGTTCAAATCTTGTTTGGGGGTTGACCTATCCCCTCTGGGGGTCAAGAAAATTACTCCCATTTTGTAGGAAATCAACAATGTCTGTCCTGTACAGAAACCAGCTCCTGTCCGAGGAATGTGGAATCTTCAACATTGGCTATGGCTTCTAACAGGAATGAAGGACTGCCCCATGCCCATTTGCGCATTGAAACAATTTCACTCATTGGCTTGACTTTGTTGCGTCACAAAAGGATGTGACGAATATTTGACCGACCATCGCACAATGTGAGTGCACTTAGGAGAGCCATCAACTTAGTACGTACGCATGGAGGGGGGAGGGGGATTAACCAAAATGCGTACGTACGCATCGGAAACAGGGTGGGAGGGGGGTGAAGCCTCGATAATAATTTGTCTACATTGACCTTCAAATGAGTTAAAGTATTAATCATTGATCGGTTCTGCGTGGATTAAATATCGCCGTTCTATAGGATTCGGGGGGGGGGTGGGGGGGGGTCAAGTTTTGACAGATTTTTGCGTACATACTAAATGGGTGGCCCCTTACAGTATTTGCCCTTCTAAGGCGTATGCGTCGCTTGGCCTGGAAGGAAGCTCCTACTTCATGGCGGCAATCCCCCAACTCATGTAAACTCTCGCGATGAATATTCGTGGAGGTCAGAGTTGGTGTGGACTTTTCTGGGGAATGCTGGGAAATCGGGAATTGACACCTGAAATAACAAACCGACAGACAACCACATGGGAGCTTATTCAGCAAGTATAAAATGCAGCCTCGACAGCAATTTATAACTGCAGCATACATTAGTAAAATAAACTCGCTTCATTTGTCTTGAATGAATTTGTCAACTATTCAAGTTTTTGCATCCCCATGTTTGAACTATACTGTTTAATGAACCAAAATACGTGGATTGCCATGGTAAGATAATAAAGTCATGTAACGGATGTAAAAATCGAATCGATATGAAACGGTATGTTGTTTCAACATGGACAGTATAATTTAACATGTCATCATATTACACAGAAACAGAAAGGATTCTGGCAATGTATTGCACAACAATTACTTAGCAAATTTAATGGAAGTAATCAATAAAAAATATTCCAGTGGTTGGATTGTAGATGTATTTTAAAATGAATGGCGACATAACCCCCCCCCAACCCTAGTATTTTCGTCGTAGCTTTCACTTGTCTCAACAGATGTACATTTAATTGGCGTCAGGTCTCGATATTATTTCAAACCACCTTGCCATATCGCCCATAACTATTATCAATACTTTGAAAAATTACAAGGTACATCGTGCAATATTTTATTATTTACCCTAAAGGAACTCGCTGAGTCTCAAGGATCTTTTTGTACTTGCGATGTCTTCCGAGTATCCTTTTCCACGTGTGTAAGCAACCTGGGTGGAGAGGACTCGCTCTTGTGAAGGGCTAACACAGGGGTCGTCAGGCTAACACAGGGGTCGTCGGCAACCCGCGGCTCCGGAGCCGCATGCGGCTCTTTAAGGACCGCTTCGTGACCGTGATTTATTAAGGGCCAGTCTCGCATTCACATGCATTGCATCTCTTGATATATTGAGTTAAATTTTTTTTACGAATTGGAGAAAAATGGGCTCTTTGTTATTTTGGTTGCCGACCCCTGGGCTAACACTTAAACTCCGCACCTGATCGGAACATAAACCTTTACTGCCCCTCTGCATGCACTTTATTTACCTGCTGCTTGATGTCTCATTCTTGGCCTCTTCATCTTCGCATAATCCATACGTCCATTCCACCGTGTGTACCACCATGCTCAGAAAACATGACATTTTTTACAAAATCCCCACATTATAATTCATGTTCTGCCGTGATTTTGATGAATTTCTCTACTGTTGGTGCTTTTTGTTTAGCGTGATGTAGGTTATTCTGTTTCATGATAAGACCTCAGTTAAAGGTACACCATGTATCGCTTATTTTAGTTGAAATGGATACACAGTAATTCTAAATGTCAGTGATGATGTGAGTTAACATTCCTGACCACCCTTCTTCACAATCCTGAATGGAGGTCATGTTGCAAGTACTATGTGTACTGCAACATTGATTTTCTAAATATATATTTGAGATAATTTGAACAAAATATACCTCATGGGATGTATCCATAGTTACTGGTTTATTACATTTGCATTGACAGCATATGTGGCATTGATTGTGCTGTTCAGCATAATACCCGCCTCGTATTATTGCCTTGAACTTGCTCAGCCATGCTGTGAGTTACTCTCCTGTTCTTCTTCAACTACCAATGAATGACTGGGTCACTTGTTTCAAGCTCATACCCTGACTTTTCTGTTTTATTTTATTGAACCTCTACACCGCTCTTAAAAATCGAGGCTGCCTACATTACTTGTCTGAATTCTTGCATTCCTCCATCTTCTCCCGTTGCTTCCCATTTATAAAATAACTGTAGATTCACTAAAAATATATAATACACCGTCGTGTAAAATTACAAAGGGGTATCTTCTGAAACACAGCTAATTTATTCCTTTTAATTGTCATTAATTACGTCAGTCAATATCGTTTCTATAACCTGGAAATACAATTTTACCCATTGAGCAACATGAAATATTGCCTCTTTTGCAATGTTCTAGCCGGGTTAAGGCCAAGGCGACTTACTGCCTGTGAAATTGATAGGCATGTAATAGGTCGACCCCTTGGGATTTGATAAAATTGTATTTTCAGGTTGTGATTTGAATTAAGGGTACTGGTATCGACACCAGTGCAACTGTCCACAGAAGCCGTGGTGATCCTGCAGGCCCACGGATTGTGCACAGAATAGACTTTTTTGTCATTACGGTGAATACGGAGCCTCTAGTAGCTGGAGGCTTTACATGAGTCAGTTACATACAGTATGTACAAATACAACGAATTGGTTCTTCCATACACGATTAAATGCATGTATTGAGCATACAAATTTACTTTCATGACCGGAATTAATGCATCTTTGCATGCCTGGTAATGAATAACTAACACAGCACATTGTTTTTTTTGTTTGCTTCTTTACGGGTGCTATTCTTCCTGCTGAAAAATGTAAGGTTATAATTTGAAGGGCATTTTGAAATCCGTTTTTTTATTCTGGAAATTTCGCAGGTCTTTTAGTGGAGTCGAGCCGTGTCTTGCTTTCTGGTCGAGTGTCTCTTCTTTGGATGACCGTTATCAACCCCCTGATACAGCTCGCATGGCTGTGCTTTTAGTGAGACTAATGGTGCTGCTGGTGATGGTGGTGTGGGGAGGCCTGGGGCTGGGCTTAGAGGATGCGCTTCTTGGCGGGCTGGTTCCGAAGACGCTGAACTCTTTGGCTTCCCTGCACACAGCAAACTATTGGAGAGGGTTTCTGGAATCCTCACGTGAGTGGGTGTTGGAGAAAAGTCCTCTCTGCCTCAGTTCACTTGTGTGTATGTACATGTGCACAGTGTTATTTCATCAATAGAAAACCAACATTCACAAGATAATCGAGGAGCACTTTGAATATTGAGCACCCCTGATCGCAGTGGTGGCTACAAGCATGTGCTGGATTTGCATATTGATTTGATTTTCATTTATATTTGTTGCGAATCACAGCAAATTATTAAACTTAATTATTTTTTTCCTTTTTTCATTTCGTTGGATACCCTCAAATTGTGTTTTAGGTATCTTAACGCAGAATTAAGTTTCAGACCTCACTACGGCAGAGCCTCACAGTCTAATATCACGGAAAGATCTGGAAGTGATCGGGCCCGCCCCAGACATCCTTCTAAGGGCAATGCCATCACGTCGTTGCTAAAGCGATGATTATTACCCTGCCGTTTCAGTGAATGCTTCACTCGCACTATATATTTACAGCGGCTCATACATTTGCCCTCATTTGAGCCACACTCGATAGGCACAACAATTTCTAAAATAACTTCCAATTTTTTTCAGAATACAGTCATATTTTGCATATTTCTTTAATAGTGCATGGGCTAACTATGATGTCATTAAGATCCCTACGTTGATGCGTTTTGTATATCTAAATGACATTCATTTGCATTCCATTGGCGTTCACCTGAATGACATATCACTTTGCACATGTGTATGGCATGTATGCTTATACATCAACTACCACTGCTGAATAGCACACAAGGCGAGATAACGACATCCCCAATGGCATACTGCACGCAGATTTTTTTACACATCTATTTATATTAATATATAAAATGCAACGAAAATGGTGATGGTTTTAATTTGAAAGAGCGGTCTCACTGACCTGTCACAGATCTGAGATGTGACGAATCTCACACCCTGTTTCCACTAAAATTGTAATTGCTCACATTGCTGGTGTGCTATTATGCAGTAGTGGTTGATCGTACATGTATAATGGTACATGGTCTAAGTATGGTATACTCGATAGCATAGTCACACATTTGTAAATGTACTTAATTTTCTGCCATCCGAAATTCGTTAGCCATTAATATGTTAAGGGAGTTAGTTGTAAATGACAGAAAATATTGGTGGCTCTTTCATGATGATGTCACCATCTGATGGCAGCCTGCCACTGTTCTGTGGCAAGAGACGTGCGTGCCATGGCCTAGAATAGCCACTGGCTTGGAATATGTGTACCTCGCATGTCATTTGTACTCTGGCATTTATTATGATATGCATTTTGGACCCCACTATAATGTTTGAGGTGTACATCACATTGTAAAACTACCTAAAAGTGATATTGCGTCCATGTGTTGTCATTCAATGCTGTTTCTCATCACAGTTATATCGCACTCTGAGATCTAATTTACTCAATGTTCACGTGTTATCGCCGTGCATGCCTTCATTTAGCTCAGATTTTTTTTTATCAAATAACTTACATACACTGTGAGGCCATGCCTTGTCACACATGAAGGCTTCATTTTTACCTTGGGTTGCTCCCTAGATTTCAAATCAGGATCTTGACCATGTTGTTTGTCGTATCATATGGGCATCACTACAGTGTTAGCTTTAGCCACTGAGATTCCCATTCCAAAAGTACTTAATACTCTGGTCCATCACATTTCACACAAACCATTGGGCCTGCATCCATGAAGTGGCTTTGAACAAATTTAACAGTTTGTTTGCAAGTCATATTTTAGCTATATTTCAAGTGGGTAGGTAATGTTTAGTGCAACAATATTAGTTTAATGTGCAGGTGTTTAACACTGAATGGGAAATTACTGCATCACGGGTTTGCCTCACAGACTTTGGGGAAGTACAAGCTGCATGTTTCTACTTCACTCTGATTCTGCTGCTCTGTATGAGATGTTGTTTTCTTCTATTCCACATCGCATGGCTGATTACCATTTAACACTCTAAGCACTGCCGCTCATTTTATTTATTTTTTGTGTTTTTGACTAACTTATTTCAATTGTGCATTTGGTGGCATTTGGCGTGATGAAAGTTTAGTTTTGAAGATCTCAGATCAGTGTGCCACGTGTCAGGGAATTAGCGACAGAAGAGATCCTTTACAGGACTTCTCCCTAACAATCTTCCAAGTTCTAGATTTGAAGCTTTCGTGACTGCAAGGATTCATATTCTTAGGTTTTTTCGGTAAAGTCACGTAGGTAAAAAATTTAAATTAATAAAAGTAAAATAAAAATAAAAATCACGACGTTTCGGAGGCAACACAAGCTTCCGTCTTCAGGTGGAACCGTCACAGCACGACAGCTGTATCATTCTCTCATTTACTTGATACAGCTGTCGTGCTGTGACGGTTCCACCTGAAGACGGAAGCTTGTGTTGCCTCCGAAACGTCGTGATTTTTATTTTATTTATTTTACTTTTATTAATTTGAATTTTTACCTACGTGACTTTACTGAAAAAACCTAAGAATAATAATCTTCCAAGTGCCCTTTTTACACTTCACGCAGCAGGGCGCACATATTCTTTACAATGCGATTGTCTCATATGGCAGTGAAATTAATTTGTTATTCTCAGAGCTGGAAAAAATGTATTCAATTCAAGTACAATACCACATTTTATTATGCTTTTTCTGGGCAACCATTGGTGGTGACCATGCTGAGACCATAAAATACAACTTTCTACACTTGATAACTCAATTTAATTAGGACAAGTTCCTGGATTTTAACTCAGAATATTTGTGGCACGATGCTTTAACCTGGCCACCTTTAACACTGCCTCTTGTTAGCAAGATACATCTCTCGGACTGGACCTGTTTGCTCCTTGGACTGAGCGTCTTTTAATCTTTCAGTACAAATGTATTAGAACGACGCAGTATAAAAATAATGGACATACCACATTATGGAAACTTAGAAGCGTATGAATGAGATGGCATAATATCTGCCCTCTACAGGGTTAATTTATATTTTTTAAACCAAATGTTATCAATTCACGAAAATATCTTCAGGGGTATTGTTTTCCAAGGATCTTTTACATTTCTTTATAAACTAACATAATTACCAACGTAAAACACTTTCCATATATTCTCTCATTGTATTTAGAAGTGTGACACCGTAAGATCTCATTGAACAGCTGTACATACTGCGCTGTCATCACATGTTGCACATTTGATGCCTGTTATTTAAACAATTTCAATCTGTGTCCGTTTCTGCAAAGGTTTATAATTCATTTCGACGCAGAATGTGATCGATCTTGCTGCCGTGCAATGGCAGCCGATTGGATATGTTTGTACAACTTTTGCGAAATGTTAACAACCAGATTTGTGTGTGCTTTGTTTTACCAGCAAAGGCAAGAATGTAAAGTCCAGACAGAGCATACCGAAGGTATGAAGTTACACAACTCACCAGGCGGAGTTATTTATTGCATTTGTGACGAGCGTGACTCACCGTCTTGGGATATCTGTATAAACATCTTGGACCTCTGTTGTTTGTTTTAATCACTCTTCAGAGGGGAGAGTCCCAATGAAATAAACACTTGCTGATCTGGCTTCCTAGTCGGCAGTGAAGGAAATTATTCATCTCATATAGGGATGGGAGGAAGCATTAGCTACTGTTTAACATTCCTTCTAAACAATGTGCAGGGCTCGTAAAAAAATTGCCTGTTCTGCTTAGATGTTATCTGCCAAAGGTCTGCGTGCATATTATTTGAGTAAAATTGTATCATATGCAATGTTGGGCAAAGGTTTCCGTGTATTGCTAGGATTAAGAAATTAGGCCTTAGCTCATAGCTTGACCAATGTATAGCATAAACAGTCTACCACAGGAACCATCTTCTTTAAGTGCTGACCATTACAGCTTCAGTGACTGTGCCAATGATATTTCAAACTCGCCTTAAAAGTGCCTGTGCTGATGATTAATGCCATTTTAGCAGTTCTGTTCCAAAGCATTGGCATTAACGGTAATGCACATGAGTAATTACTTAAGAAAGTATCCTGCTGAGTAGTTTATTGATGTTAGTGTTCCCTGGAGGTGTGAAACTTCAAATGTTGACGAAATATACACACGTGTATTATGTGATGCTGTGCATACCAGATTTATTTTGTATGTTGACAAACCAAAAATCTTTGTACCTTAGTGAAAATGTTTGCACTAAAATGCGGCAAATATCACAGACTGGTCTTCTATAAATTAATACTTTAGGCATATTTACTCTGTGAATATGTAAATTAAATTATTAAATGTTGCAGGCATTTAGTGCTTAGACAACACGATGGCATCCTTATTCAACCATTGATTTATTGTGCAGCTGGCCACACATGCAGACTCTCCAAATAAAGCCATCCACTTTAATATATTTTCTCAAGCTTACATCAATAAACAGCTTTATGTATGGGACTCACTAATGTTCCCTGCAAAGCGATGGTAGCCGTGCAATCATCGTGGGTACCAGGTGACGCGAGCACTTTCACTGTCCTTGAGCCGTGAACATCGGTGAGATCCTGAAGAAAGTGCATTGAAATGGTTTGTGTGGCTGACTTTCATTGATGTTGTACATCAATAGGTGAACTTCTAATATAGGATTATGTCTAGTTAGGGGTAGATGTGAGGTTGGATTATGACTAAGAATTGTGGATAATATTCGCGTGAAGTGGCCCCCCTTTCTGCCGCCCAGCTCCCACCCCGGATCAACCCCCTTTGTTTTCCCAATGCGTTGCCACAATACATCCCCCCCCCCCCCCTCCAGCTTTCCGCCCCCCCCCCCCAGCTATGACCAGGCCTATCCCAACCCCTCCTTAACCACTCCTGCCTGCTCGACTGTCGCCAAAACTACACCACCACTTTTAATATCCCCACTCTTCATCTCAAAGTACTGTCATCCCATGCGCAACTTTATAATTGATGTAAAGCCCCTTGGAATAAGGAGCTATATGACTCTAAATGAGATAAGATGGATGGTTTGGTCTTGCACACTGTCACAGTTCCTTTGCCTCTGCATTCTGCTCAATTATAACCATAACTGATACAATAGATTTAAAAAATTCAGTCTATCTTTTCGATGAAGGTGGATGATAAATGTCTGGTTGCTGTATAAAGAGAGGAGCATGATGACATTTTACTCGTTAAGTGTATCTAGTTGCGATTGAAGGGAAACAAAGTAATGTTGACTGTGAAAGAATGTCTGGACCACTTGCTTATTGAGATGTGACTTGTAGCAATAACAAAATCTTGGTCGTGTATTTTAAAGAACCTTAAGATCTGCTCTACTGGACCATTTTTTTTAAAATGGAAAGCCTCTAACCCCTGGTGAAATTTATGAACTACTGAAAAACATTTGTCAGAAAAAAAAAGTTGAACTCTTAAAAGCAGAACAGTCGTTGCTTATGTGTTGTTTTTACCCATATGCCCCACTCAACACGTAAAATGTTGTACTATATTGCTTTTTTGTGTTGAATGAGGCCCCATCGTTTATATGGAGTGTACTTTCCAATAACAGAAAAAAGCTCAACACATGTATCAATTGCAGGGCCTTAAAAGGAGAAAAGTATATACAGTTAAAACCTTGCATTGCGAGTAACTTGGTCTGCGAGTGTTTTGCAAGACGAGCAATTTTTTAAAATAGATATTAATTTGATAAACGAGCGAGGTTTTGCAATACGAGTAGTACGTGTATACGCTTTGTCTGCCGAGCGTCACGTGATCACAACTGATATACGAGTGCTGTGATATACGAGTGCTTTGGATTACAAACACGTTTCCGGAACGAATTATGCTCGCAATCCAAGGTTTTACTATAACAGGTGCGATGAAGAAGGACCATTGCCCAAAACATATTGAGTCATTACTTTATTTGTGCTTGTGCACCACTGCCAACACAATAATCTGTTGACTCTTTCCAATAACATCTGTTAATCCTGCACGGTTTTGTTTAACACGCCTCACTTGTTTTTGTTTATGTTTAGTTTGTTAAAACAGCCTTTAGTCTTTAGTGTGTTGTCCTTTCCCTGCACCTCCCGATTAGCACGGTTGGCTATGTACGGTGCAAAAAGAAGTTCACCATGCGTGCGTACTCTGCAGACAAGACTTAGAAGGTCCAGTGTGGATGCGTCGTAACCTGCTGTGTTTGCCTGTGGCAGCATCTGCTGGACGTGAATTCCCTGAAGCACATCGTCAACCTGACGCTGCACGACCGCACCACCAAGTCCCTGCTGCACCTCAACAAGAAGAAGAAACCTCCGAGCATCAGCGCACAGTTCCAGGTCCATTCATTGTGCACTTCACCTGTAAATGCGCCAGTTTTGGGAAGGGGTTACCTTTTTTTAACATAATACCACAACGTGGAATATGGCATAAGAGTACTGACACCTATTCAGCACATCATACTGGTAGGAACCTCCTGGTTACACCAACCCACAGGGGATTATTGTGTCCATCCGTCTGTCCGTCGTGCATCAAAAATGGGAGGGGTGGGGCTGGGTGGAGAGGGGAGGGTGGGGAGGGTGGGGAGGGGCTGGGTGGCGAGGGGAGGGTGGAGAGGGGCTGGGTGGGGAGGGTGGGGCTGGGTGGGGGGTGGGAGGGGTGGGGCTGGGTGGGGAGGGGCTGGTCACCCCGTGGTGCCCTTATAAAACTCAACATTTAACCTACTCACGCCGGCTTGTGCCCGCCCTCACAGTCGGCCATATTTGCGGAATACACCACGCCACCGTTGACCCTGGCCATTGACTGAGCAACCCAACGTTCCGACCAGCTCCCTCCGCAGGAATGTGTTTTAACAATTAGGGTGGATACAGGGGCTTTCCCTGGGTAAATGAGCATAATGAACAATAAATAACTAAATGTATAGTTTGGCCCCTTCAGTTGTGTTGAAGGTTATTTGTCTTATGTAGAGATATTACATTGAGCCAATATATGAAAAGAATTCAAGTTAAAGGGGTATAGCCCCTTTCACAATTCAATGAATTTCTGCATCTTGAGATGCCAGTGCATTTATGCGCTAGTGCGCTAGGTACATCTACATTTTATTAAGTAATGTCAAGTAATGCAAAGCACCCATATTGTTTTTTTAAGACGTTTAGTATTTGAAAATCTAATTTTATTATAAATGCACAACCGGTACAAGTTCGAAACATGTTTTGAAATGTCTGATGGTTAACAGATGTTCGTACCTAGTGGTACACATACATGCGGACGCCAAGGGTAGCCGCGTACACTCGCTTAGCACACTGACACATGCACGTGCACCCAGAGGGCTTCCCCTTTGTCAGTGTACACACACGGGTACAGGGGGTGCACCTGACTCATAAGCGAGATTCCCCACACTGACTGTGCCTGCGCGCGCCCGCTTTGGGGGCTTGCACAGTCACATCCCCTGTCTATTGCAAAACAAAACGTTTGGTTGATGGCTTCTTTGATAACACTTTCTATTGCCTTATTTGCAATGTGAAGTTTGTGTCTTGGGGAGCTTTTCCTTTGTTAATTTTAAAATAGTAAAGAGTGAAATAAGCAGCTCTTACCATTCTGGTATAGCGCACACAGTGTAATGATAAATCTTAGGCTACACTTAATTTACTTTCATTTATTTAGTGGCTGAGATGGGTGCAGAGGCTCATTATGCCTGGACCTGAGCAGTTCTTGTGGGATGATGCAGGATTGTAAAACTTTCAAACTCACTTGGCTGCAAAGTGGCCATTCAATGACAGTACAGCAAATGTTTGGATAATCAAGAAACATGGAGCTTTAAGTGTTATCCACTTGTCTTTGGGTTTATTTGGACACTCCGGTTTCCTCCCATAAATCACACAGTCATGAGTTAAATTGACCAAACATCCCAAATGCAAAGCCATCCTGTTAGAGCAGATTTAGTGAGGCTTTCGTGTCTAAATAGAGGGTATCGTTTTAAATAATGAGCAATGGTTGATATCAATATTTCACCTAGTTTTAATAGGGAAGATATGACGTTAGATACGCAATAATCATTCGTAATCATTTACATGACAATTACAATTGAGAGATTTACCAGCATTCACTGTGGAGCAGGGCTCCGGGTATGACGGGGAGCGTGTGCCGTATATAGGATATCAAGGGGCAAGATAGAGGTTTTAACTTGTGAGTTGAACAATCCACATTTACCGTGTGGAAGAAATATATATACACTACACAAGCATTTGTGAGCAGCCTCCAAGGGGATTGTTATTTGTAGGCAGAGGAGGTTAACAGGTTTTGTTTTGTTAATATTACCATTTAATAATAATGCCATTTAGTTATCTTGCAAAGCTTCTCAGAGTCTCAAGACTTTTCAGGAGGGTCCTGCATTGGGATGCTTGTCTAAATCTGCGAATACGTGTTTGGAATGTGGGATGAAAGTGCGTACAAGGGGATGAAAACCAAGCACGCAAACGGCTTTAATCCAGAGACACTCAACCCTTTGAACAGGACCAAACCTATCTGGAGACCACACCCATTGCTGTGCTGCCATCTGCTGGTACATCGCAGCCATGCGCCTGCAGCAACGGTCATGCACTGGCAGTCGCTGATCCAAACACTGACCAGGCTATAAAGCCTAAAGTCCGAGATTTAACGAGATCATATCAAGGGTAATTGGGCAACAGCAACAATGAGTTGGACCAGAGGTCCCGGCAGAAGGATTCCATACAGAGATGATGGCTGAGGAATATGACCGACCCTCCCACAGGGCAGATGTTCATTTGACAGCAGCAATAACAGTGGTTGATCCCGGAAGGCAGACAGAGGGAGGAGTAAGGAGAGATAAGGTTGATGAGTTAAGCAGGGACAAGGCCATGTGTTTATAGAAGACTGAAGGTGACCTTGCAATTTATTTGGAATAAGGATTTAAACTCACTGGAGGAACCTGATTGTAAGAGAAAAGTAAACACTCTCAAGAGCTTAAATGTGATATATTAATCTTGCGTAGATTATCCCTTCCGTTAATTTAATGATTTGCCACAGTTTTGGGATCATGATTCGGTGAAGTAATATTTTCGTGGCATTGTGGTGAATACGATAATTTAGCATCATCTGGCAAATAAATGGCAATGAAGAAATAGACCGTTAGAATTCAAATACCGCATATTAAACCTCATTAGTTCTTTGCTTGCATTAAAACATCATTACAAGCCCAATATTTTTGTGTTTTCATTGAATCCAGCATCCTAAGATGCTCATAAATCCGTCCTTTAAATGGCATTGTGTGTCCCGGCACACGTAAGTTATACCCTGCCTCTTGTCGCTGGGTTATCGGGGGGGGGGGGGGGGGGGCAAAGCGTGCGCGCAAGGTGTTGTGTGGTCTGGCTGTGAGCAAGGAAGCACGTGTTCACACGGAGCCATTTCCTGAAGGCTGCCCTTCCCCGGGCGTGTGAGCAGCGGGAAACACATGCCCAGTGATGGGTCCCCAGACCATAGCGGCTGGCGGAATTGAGGCCTTGTGAGCTCTGTTCACTGCTAATAATAGATGCTTCTCGCTTAAATATTTAACCACATTAGTTTCACGTTTTTTTTGCTAGATTGAACAAACATTTCATGTAGGCTCAGTGCAGTATTATATATTTTTCTAGGCAGCGTATCATAAAAGTTAAAAGGAAGAGTTGCTTTTACAGAAGTTATGCTTTCAAAGAGTGTGCTTTATATTTAGGTCATGTTTTTTTATATTGTGCATTGTATGGCATTTCAAAATGCTTTAGATTTTCATTACAGTATGTTTAACTAATGACCTACCCTTCATAAGCAATTAGTTATCTGCATAACTGTTGACCTTGCATGTATATTGCATAACTAAATTTGAGATTTTAGAGTTTAACATTATAGGGAAATCTACTTTAGTTGTATTGAAGTTAATATTGTATAACTAAATAATGTTCTTCATTTATTTATTTACATAATAGTTGCTTAGCACATGCCTTAAAGCCATCAACACCAATTGGCCAGCAACAAATAGCACTCTTACAAATGTAACAGATGTTAGAGTTAGTTTAACACGTAGGCTTTCACGACCAATGTTATTCATAATCAACGTTTTTGGGTTTAGATCGCGTTATTTATAAATGTGTCGTAACCCTCCACCACCCGACATGGCCAATCACTAAAAAAGTGTCACGTTGACAAAGACGTTAGAGTTAATGCATTTCTTAACGCGACCAAGGTTGTTTTAAGAACTTGGGAAAAGAGAAACAATGGGAGGGAATTCCAAAGTCGAGCAGTGCCAGTGAAGAAGCAGAAGTGCTGTGACCTGCAGTGTGGTGGTGAGAGGAAATGCTCCGTCTAGTCGACCCAAGTCCTCGACCCGGGTGTAGGAATCAATGAGTGAATATTACAAAAGCGGTGACCATGGCAGTGGGGATAGAAGAGTGATGTTGGTGAGCGAGCGACTGCAGTAAATCATTGAGCGCTGAATGATAAATCAGTGTGACTGCTTTCATGTTGAAGTCTATCGAGCGCAGCAAAGGAAGGAAATGGGTGCTCCACACCAGATATGGCAGCAGTATTCCAACTTTGGCCAAATTTGTGTTGTACATTAGGGAGAATTGTTTGAAGTCAAAGGAGGGTTTTTGGCACAGAAAAGTAAAGCTGCTTCAATGCCTCTTTAGCCAGATGAGTGAGATAGCCATTGCATAGACGAGATTATTGTATCAAGCAGATGAATGGGTTTACTATGGCTGAGAATATCAGTGTCAAATATGATGGGAGAAATTGTGGAATGTGGCCAGCCTTGCTTGATGTCATTAAAAGTTGAATTTGATAATGCAAAGGATAATGAAATGATTACCTTGAAGTCAGCTACTGTCGTACAAAGACGAGTTAAATCTCTATGTCCTCCAACCACTACCTGTAGGGAAATTTATAGCATGAGGCAGGGCAAAATAGTTGAACTCGGTACTAAATATTCATCAACCATGATGAGTTTTTTTCAGAGCTTACAATGCATTTTTTTAAAAATTGCACTGCATTTGGAGTGGCGCATAAACACAAACTGAAAAATAATGACAGTTGTGAACTTTAAATTAATACTACCTTCTAAATATATATACAGACGATCTGATGTTCCAAAAATATTTTACACTTAAATTTGTCGAATCTGCAAATCACTACAATCAGCAGGAATGCAAGTAGTTTGGTTATGGATCAGTGATCGAATCATCAAAGGTTCACTTCATATTCGTGTACACGCTTTTAATTGCTTGTGTAAGAGTCAACGTTTTTATGTAATTGCAGCTACGAGAGACTACTGCTTCCACAACATTAAAACAGTATATTCTTCAATCAAACTACAACAGCAGTGGCCTGTACATGGACCGCACAAGAATTTGTATGGATCTCAGAACAAATCAGAACAAACACATAATCGTACAATTATTTTATTTTGAGCCGATGGCAAATAGAAATGCCTGACTAAGGAGTAATACATGAGTAACATAGTAACGTCTACCAAATCGATGGATTGAGTACTTTACGTCTCTGCTCTATCGTGGTAATTATTGGTCATAGCTTGCTGGTGGATTTCAGAGCCAGTTGAGAGATCCACCAAAATAGATCACCATGCTTGGTGTATTGGCCACCACTGAGTTACTCCAATTCGTGAAAATGTGTTGAATCGGGGTGATTGTTAAATCAGGGTCTGAGGGGGTTAATGAATCATTACACTATTATTGGAAGTAGAGTTTGAAGATATTGTCGCATTCGTTATATGTTTATTAAAAGGCCTATTAGAAATAAATATCGTTAAGAAAGGTTTATATATCTATATAAAAAACATGCAATAGAGAAGTGAGCAGCCTTCCACTTTGAAGCAAATGAAAATGTTTGTAGCAAGCTAGAGGCCACTGCTGACTGTAGAAATCTTAGGCGAAAATTGGCGGCGCATTGTACGGAGATCTCTATGGGTGGCTGAGAGAGAGGGTGGAAGGGTACGTAGGACAAGGTTCGTAGATATTTGGTCTGAAATGGGAGTGGTAGCAGCTCACTCATAATTTTGAAAGCAAAGAAAGTGTTTGTAGTCAATGCAGGTTGTAGATAGGAAGACGAGTAAATGTCTTGAATGTTTTAATTTATTGCCGCATAAAAGTTTTAGTAAGGCAGCTTTGACGGCATCTCCTATAATGTAATGGTGGAGGTGATAAGATGAAACTTTAATTTGATAATGCGGGGTAGGTTTACAGTGCTGAGAAACCCAAGGAGGGAATGTGATCCCAGAGTGGAGAGCATTGCCACTGGCATCATGATTCATTGCGAGTTCTGTGATGTCTGTGGGTGGTTTTTTTTCACGCCACACCTCAACAAGGCATGCTACAAGAGCTCTCGTGGAGCAGACCTGGTTTTTCAGGTCTTCTGACAGTCCCCAGAATAAACATGAATGTATTAAAATCACAAATTATTATGTATTAAAACGATATCAATTTATATTGATTGAGATGGGTCGCTGTTTTAATTGTCTCACTGAATGCCTGGTCTAATAGGAAGCATTCGTTGCTGCAGCATTTTAACCTTATGGCGATACCCCGGGGTTCCATAGTACCCCGGCTCTCGCATCATGTCCGTGATGCAGTCATTTTTAGTCTGTTGATGGTCGGCGATGCGGCAATCGACTCATCTCGACGAGCTGTGCACGATGCACTATTCAAAGTTGAATTTTCGATAACGGATGTTTATGCTAATGTTGTTTGCTGACATCGCGGAGTGTGGCACCACCGATGTCGGATTGATTGGCACCCCAGTCGCGGAGTGAAGTACACCCCCCTGGAAAAAATAGTGTCCCAGAAATAAAGTATTTAATTGCCTCGGACATTTTGTATTATTTGGTACCCCGGGGAACCGCCATAATGTTATCCCCTGTTTATGGTGTAAAAAAAACATTTAAAACTTGGTCTACCATATGAAAAAACCCTACCTTTATTACAAATGTTAGGGACCTCTTTGCTGATAAAGCTCTACATGGGTGAGAGGACATAATGAATGTCAAAATAAATGCTTTGGTTACTCTTATGAGGCAAATACGATTTATGCATTTCCCTCATACACAGTGTATGAAATATAAGTGTAAAAGAGTGAAGAAAATATGAAGTGTATTGATTCTAACCCCGTGCTTTTAATACATAAAATGTATACAGGTTTCCCTCACTTAATATAGTAAATGCATTCCATAGAAAAGGGCAAATAAAGTGAAACCGCACGGCACAGTACATAAAGTACACAGAATGTTGTCCCATGTTCGACCGCATAGCTGCATATGAGTGAAATCAAACTGCATTGAGGGATCTACTCAGTGGTATAGTATTGTGCACTACCCTCGTGCACAATACTGCAAGATGCTAAATTAAATAACCTATTGCGCATCATTACTGACACAATGAAACCCACACCAATCCCCTGGCTCCCTGTTCCAGTGAACAATCTACCACCAAATATCCACAGAGACGTACACACTGCAAAGAAGTTTATATGTTTTTCTTGCCAACGATAACCTACACATCAACAAAGACCTCAACAACGTTGCTCGCCGCCACTTCAACTCCCAATCTCCCTTTTGGGATCGTCCTGTCACCATCATAAAATGTCACCTAGATCCAGAAGAACGGTGACAAACAGAGTGGAACAACACGGATGTCCAGAATAATAAACACCTCATTCGAGACCCAAAGATCGCACCACCTCACTTTGGCATTCCTCACACCTCCAATTCACGCAGTTGGCTACGTACAGTGTGAAAGAGGTGCAGCATACAGCTAAACACGCACAAACCGAACCCACATAAAGCTAGGGAAACCTGTATGCACTTATATACATTTGTAATCATGGAGAGTAATGTTTATAGGGAAATATTCTACATATTTACACGCCAAATGAATAGCAAGCATAAGCTAGAGGATGAACGGCTTTTAGAGGAGGAGGAGGAGAGGGAGGAGGTGGTGGTGGAGGAGGCATTTGTTTTAGGAGCGGAGATGACGTGCCAGAGAGCAGGGTGCGATAGGCGAGATAAGCCAGGAGGGGCAATGCCATGAATCCTGAAAACTGTCACTGCAATCTTGAAGTGAATCTGAGACGTGACATGAAGCCAGTGCTAATGATCATAGTACAGGAAGAGCATGATATAATTACAGTAAAAGCTTGTTATTTCGGCATTTGATCATTCGTAATTGGGTATTATTCGGCACAGCTGTGTTTTCGGCCTATATACAGTATTAGTATTTCACCATGAGCTGAATTGCCGTACCGAATGGTCCAATTTCGGCATGCACGTGGAGCCGCGCGCCACGATCACAACAATAACTCATGTTTAGTGGCGGCACGCATGGTGAGCATTAGTGCAGACCTGTCGCTTTGGACTTTACCTTGTTTGTGCACTCTGTGCAAGCGAACCCTCTCAGAAATGTCATCTACACCTACATCAATAAGTAATGGAAAGGGACTGAAGTATAAATCCCTTAGTCTGCGAGACAAATCCAAAGTTTTGGGTAGAATTGATGCAGGTGTGCCAATGCGTACGGTGTGTGAAGAGTTTTAAATAAAATAAATCACCTTTTACAACATCGAGAAAGGCCGGGCGAAGATTAGTACCATTGTACATAATTCGCAATATTGGATAATTCGGTAAAGCGATAGCCCCATGTGTGTTGAATTAACGAGGGTTTACTGTATGCTTCCACACATGGGTGAGGAATCTTGCATCGACATTATGAATCATCTGTCACCTAGAAATGAGGGAATGTGGGACACTGTGGAAGAGTAAGATGCAGTTGTTCAGGAACATTTGCGGGCGATGTTACTCGGGTGCAGGTGAGAGGGCTTCGAGAGCTGGAATATGTGGTGGGGGGTAAAAGGAAGCCCGTGGTTTTTCGGAGATGCACACTTGACATGGAGACTTTATATCGGACAGACCTTTTATGAATACTCTTTGGTTCTTTCGGTAAAGTCACGTAGTTAGAAACTGATGACGACCGCTTGTGTTGCGATCGAAGCGTCGTGATTTGTTTTATTTTATTTCTAACTACGTGACTTTACTGAAAGAACCAAAGAGTATGGATTCCTGCAGTCACGAAAGCTTCAAACCTTTTATGAATTTGAAGGATCTCAGTTTTAGCAAGATTTAATTAAAGAAAGATGGTACAATTAATCTAGTCTGAGATTGCATCTCGACGGGTTTCAAACGTGTACATTGAGGATTGATTTTAGGTGGCCATTAAAAGTGTTAAGCTGTGCAAAAAGCACAGAAATGTTCCACCTTAAACTGGATATGATTTTAGCCATCGTAAGGAGAAAAATGGGGAAAAAAGCAGCCATGATTGATCCACTGCTGGATGAAGGCCTCCCATAAGCGTTTCCATCTCATTCAGTACCACATCATGGCAAGCATTGATGTAGTATTGTGGGACAGCCCAGAGATACAGGGGCTGTTTGAGATGACAGTTGCATCGATGATCTGAGGGAAACTCGCTCCCCTAAACAGCACAGACCATTGGAGTTTTCACTGAGTTACAGTGGAGTAGTCTAGAATCTTGGTGTGGGTTATCGCTTCATAAATTAAACTTGTGTATAATAACTAAAGCTGTATATTCGTTTTTACAATCCATTCTGAACTTGTTTTAACATCTTTCCTTGTCTGTGTTTAGCTTAACGTGCACACCACGTGCGTGGCCCTGCAGCGCATCAAAAAACGTTAACCCCGTGTGGCCATCGATGGCTTGTGTTCGCCCGTGCAGACGTCCCTCAACAAGCTGATGGAGACGCTCGACCATGCGGATCCGTTCTTCATCAGGTGCATCCGCTCCAACGCCGACAAGGTGAGGGAGTTGGTGGCAAGCGCGCGCCCATTGCTGTTCTTGGCGCGGCCATCCGTGGCCGAGAGCGCCGCTGTGCGTTTTCAGGGCCCATTAATCATCCAAGCAAAAACAGATTTCCATGTTGGCAAATGGTTTGTTTTAGTTAGCGGCGAATCTAATAGAATGTATTTTTTAATGTTACGTAACAGGTAGTGTACACGCCATGTGTGTTTTATATATATGTATTTTGTTACGGTACATTTACATGTTATGTTCACTGGGCACAACTTTTTGTTATGGCTACAAAACTGTGTTTCCAAGGAGATTTGCACATTTGGAGTTAACAGGGAATCTTTAATTTGTATGACATTTGAAAAGCAACCAAGAAAGCTATGTAAATTGTCAGGAATTATATCGTGTTTACGTTGAGTTAATGCTAGAAACAACACTATCCTGTGATGCCTATTCTTTGGGTATTTTGGTAAAGTCACGTATTTTGTTATTTTCTTTGAACCTATCTACGTGGCTTTACCGAAAGACCAAAAGAATATTAATTCCTGCAGTCACGAAAGCTTTAAGTCAAGATTTCTGTGATGTCGGTTTAGGCTTATGTTAAATTCTCTTGTTCATAAATAATTAGCAGATTTATGGTATTTTTAAACTTTTTGATCATGCCTTCATAATCACGCCTGGTAATTAATATCTCAATGGCGAGATGTTAACTACCTCGCCTGGAGATTGCATGTTCTCCCCGTGGTCGTGTGGATGTTTCTCTGGGTCCTCCGGGTTTTCCCTGCACATTTAGAAACATGCGTTTAGAGTATTTCGCTGCTATACATTTCAATATAAGCCACTTGGTTGAGCTATCGTTTGTGGCCAGGTAGCTTCTGAAAAAAAGCTATATAGCTCATGAAAAAAAAAAGTTTATAGTGAACAGTTTAATTGTTTATGATGGTGTTTAAACCCAGAGAGTGTGTGTCTGTACGGTGCGTACCTCCAGATGCCTCTGAGGTTTGATGAGAAGGTGGTGCTCAGGCAGCTGAGATACACGGGCATGCTTGAAACTGTGCGCATCCGGCAAGCCGGGTACAGCGTCCGCTACAGCTTCAAGGTAAAGACGGATTACTGGTTCATCCATTGCGTGTGAGTTGCCAGCTGTTTTTCCCTGCACGTCTTACCGTTTTCTTGTTTTTACAACCACGTTGAAGAAATGGGCTCCGCGAGCCCCAAAGCAGCTCTGCCTCCAGTTGTCGGTCGTCACGTTGGATATGCAAATACGGCTACTTTAGATTAACTGCCGTTACATATCCTTTACCGTCCCAGTAATTAATTGATTGAATAGGTGAGCAGTTTAGTTACGGGAATTGTGAAATATTCCCAACAACCCACTTCTAGCCTATGTCTGATAATTCTGACAGCAGGCATGATTTCTATAGTGAGGTTATTGCGAAGCGGTTCCTATCTCCACCCTACATGAGACAATTCGATTATTTGGTGCTGATTTAACAGTTGTAAGTAAGTGACATAGGAATTGATCAATACTAAAATGTTGTTCATATAATGGCAATATATCATCTGGACTCGGACAATAGGTAAATGTTTCCGCAAATATTCAGCCAACTGGACCTCTGAGATGGGAAGAAAATCCGTGTTCTGTCACCCAGAATTTGCTTGTGCCATAATTGTGGTTTCTTTTGGGCCGTCTTAGATGTGGGAGCGGTGGTGGAGCGATTAGCACGCTGCACACGGCCAACACCAGTGACAATTAATTTACTGGGTCTTGGGCCTCTCCTAGGTCGACTCGGCCTCAAATTAGTACTTGGTGCCATATGTAAACATCAAAATTGAGAAGGCTAAGGCGCCCGGGCATGGCGTTGACCACCCACCCCTTTGTGTGCCGTGCCGGCCTTTCTAGGTGCTCGCTAATGCACACATCTACTGTTTGATATTTAACAAGCCACTTAAGAGTTGCCATTTGTGTGTTTTGGTCAATTTAATGATGCATTCGTTTTGTAGCTCTTGATGTGGCATTTGAAACTAGCGCCTCAAAGTACCTAATTTGTTGACTGTTGTTTGAGGTTCTGTAATGCCTGTACGCCAGGAGTTGCATGTTGCTAATGTCTCACTACTTTACTCCGTGGCTTTGGGAATGAAACTACAGGCCTCGTACAAAGTGGCACAACGGACGGTGTTTTACCAGGCTATTCGGCCACCGACATAGACTTAATGATCTCCGCTATTCACCCTGAACATGTTTGGTTTTGTGTAGCAATTTGCACAGGTTTTCTACGTGCTCATGCCTCATAACTCTGGGGAAAGCAAGGAGGACATCACCAACTTCCTCAACACGATGAGGCTGAACCCCGGCAATTTCCAAATCGGCCACGCGAAGGTTTGTTTACTTACGCGTTGCGGATACCACTGAAATCCTTGGTTTATTTTATTGGTCTCTCTGGGTTCTCAGTTTAATAGGTTTTGATTCAGGGTAAGATTACCATCATGGCTTTGGAGATACTCCAATACTGGGTTGCATCTACGGTCATACAATATTTATTAAACAAGGAAACTGTCAAATGATTATGATACAATAAAATGTTCTGTGGTCCACATTCATTTAAGCGTGCCATGATCTACTTCATTTTAATAACTCGTTCATTTTACGCTGCCTCTTTATAACATCATCGAGTGTTGGGAGAAGCGGGCACGCAGGAGGAAGTGGTAGTGTAGTGGTTAGCGCACTGCGCTATGAACACAACGGCATGAGTTTCACTCCTTGCCATGGCTGTTAACATCAGTGGTGAGTGATATTTCACCCAGTATTGGTCCCCTCCCCTTCACCAAACTTAACTCGCAAGTGTGCTAAGGTATGGTCAAACAAACCCCCATGACCATATAACATGGGTATCCTATCATCCAGCAGTGAATTGAAAATGAGCTGTACGTTGCCGTTATTATCAAGTGCTTTTAATATATTCATCTGTCATACCCAATAGTCAGGCTATGGTTAAAGAGCAATTTGTACATTTTGTGCTTCGTTGCTTTACTAAAACCCATTTTGTGGTTGTATTTTTCACGGCCATGTATTTCACAAGCCATGTGTCCTTTCAGATTGCATCCCATCATAATGATTCAACGTCTCAGAATAATCAGATAAATGTGCGTTTAGAAATGTGTTTTTCAGACTGAGTAGACATCACAATGCCCTACACAGCTTTGACAGACTCGGCAATGAGGTTTCTCTCGCTATGAATATGAAGCTCATTGCTGAGGCAGCTGCTCACGTAGCCCTGAATGTGCTCGAGGGAACTAGCCAAGAGCCCCTTGCAAAATATTCCTTTTGAAGTTTGATTTACGAATGGATAAAGCCTTGCCAAACATTCTCCTGGGCAGTGCCTTTTTCACGTAAATCATTAGTACATCGTAGAAGTTCCCCCGTCGTGTGGCTCATCCCACTCGTCTTGTGTCGAGCAACGCGAGGCCTCTGGTGGCCTCTGTGTGACTGTACCGCGCAGGTGTTTGTATCTGGCTGTGCTTCGCGCAGTTGTTCATGTGTGGCTGTGCCTCACCCAGGTGTTCATGAAGGAGAGCGAGCGACAGATCCTGGCGGCGGCGCTGCACACGGCGGTGCTGAGCCGCATCACGCTCATCCAAGGCTGGTTCCGTGCCGCGCTAGAGCGCCGGCGGTTCCTGCGCGCCCGCCAAGCGGCAAGCACCATCCAGGTGAGGGCGTCCCCTTCGGCGCTGTCGGGCTAATCGAGCACCATTGAGGTTCATGCCCCTGCCCCCCCCCCCCCCCCGCTAATTTTGTCTTACCTGGAGTGAAAACAGCCAAAATGTAATGGAGTCAATTCGCGCCATTCTCTTAGTGCAAGGCTGACACGAGGGGGCTGTCACACAGGAACAGTCTGCGGTAGTTTCACAGAAGCGGAGCAGGGGGAGGGGGTGAATGCCACTTTGTGTCGTACCAATTGAGGCATTTACTCATTTTTCTAATTTGTCGAATTTTGACCATGATGCAGTGCGCTATGGCCTGCTCTTGTCGAATGACATCACGGGATTTTTAACATTCTTTGTAAACTGGACGGTGTGTAATTTAACATTAAGTTCACCTGCGGCATTAATCAGGACTGTCGTATGATTCATACCGCGAACCTCTGCAACAAACAGCGAATTTGCTACCACTTTCTTCTCTATTTATTCAGACAATCCTCACCAATTGTCAAGATATTTTTAGGAGAATCCTGCATTGAAACGTTTAGCCAATTTAGTGTTTTTAATGGTTTGTGCAAGGGAGAAAAGCAGAGTAGGCGTCTAACAGTTGCATTACTGGTGTATGAAACGTTTTCAAATCATCGTTCTCGTTTCGGTAATAGTTAATTAAATATATAAAAACCTGTGATATTTCCGATCCACTTTTCCCTTTATAAAATTTAGTTTGTCACTTTATATGTTGGAGAATTAATTTGTGCAGCAAATGTGAATACAATGATTGTTGATGTTGTGGGTCCTTTAGCCACAGAACCGAATGCGATTGGCTCTCGTGACGTGTGTTTTTGTAGTCTTGTTGGCGGAGGTACAGGTTGTGCTGGAGGATTGTCCGCTTGCAGGCAGCATGTCGTGGATTTGTGGCCCGGAAAAGGTACTTGCTTCACTCAAAATAAAATCATTGCATATGAATTAATAAATTATATCGCCAGAAAGATGTTGCACTGAAATAAGATATTCTATGCTGATGACTGATTACACTTCACAGTAATCATGGCAGTGTCGAATATGCACAGACGAGTAAGCACATTTGAGAGTATTTCATTCTTTTGTGAAAGCAAATAAGTCCATTCCCAACTGTGATGAAGTTGACTACACATCTGCGTGTCTTTTTTAGATATAAAATGCTCCTTGAACAAAACAAAAAGGAGGACATCAAGAGGCAACATAATACCGATAGGGTGAAAGCCAGACAGGAAAAGTGGACCAAGCGATTGGAGACCAGAAATGCTCAAACAGAAGACGATCGCAAGCATTTGGAGAAGACCCTAGGTACGACTACGCCAGAAGACGAAGGTCGCTTGTTTGCCAAGGGAGGGAGTCCAACAGAACTCATGGACAAAGTTGTCGACCCTTCGAGGGACGATTTACTCAGGGCCAGTTCCTCGAGCAGCATTGAAGACGAGAACGTCGGGGAGTCCAAGACCGCCGTGTCGATGCGCGATCGCCCAAAGTCACTGCCTTTGGAAAAGCAGTCTCAGGTGAGGGCCAAGAGGCTGAGCCGCCGCCAGCGTGAGCTTGAGCAGGCCGACTACTCCCTGGGGTATGCACGGCAGCGTTCCGGAGACACCTTGCCCAGCGTGACGCCGACGTCCGAAGGTGAAACGTTCCCTACGTCCGACATTCCAACTCCAACTTCTCCACCTTCGGCTTCGAAACGTAGTGCCAGCAGCGGTCAACTCAGCCCGAGCAGGGTTTTGAGCAGAGCTGGCTTCCGGAAAGATGTGGACGCCATTGTTCCTGAGCAGAAAGCTGGGGAAGTTGCCGTGAGAGGAATGTCAGCAGCTTCGAGTCCAGTCACTCCTTCAAAATTGGTCCTCGGCACACCGGACTCGGAAAGTTCTTCCAAGTTTGACATTACGGAACAGTCCATTGGCCAGGCAGAAAAGACATCCAGTCCAACACCTTATGAAGAGCAAAGAGATATCGGTAAGCAGAGCACACGCTCGCCGACAAGCGCTCTCTCAAGGATCAAACAAGATGGTCATAAAGAAGGGCTCAAAATGGAGACACCTTCCACTGCAGATGCCCCCAAAGCTCCAGTGTCTGCAGACACGAGTGTAAGAAGCCCCGAAGACAAAGTCTTTGATGAGGGGCGGCCGACGACCAATCTGCTACAGAAATTGGAGGAGCGGAACCGAGCAATGCAGGGGAAACAGCAGAAGAGGCAGCAGGACAAAGATGAGCATCAGATGATGACTCTGATACGCCAGCAACGAGAAGCCCTCAAGAGCGAGCGTCTCGATCTGGAGCGGCGCGGTGAGATGATGGTTCGCCAGCAAGGACAGAGGTTCCGCCCCAAGCTCGAGAAGAGCAATTCGCAGCAGACCTTCGACGACGGATTCTTTTACCAGGGAAAACCTGCTCCTATCTCTCCCCCCGGACCTTTGGAAAAATTGCTGGCCGGCGGCAGCATGGGCCAGCGCAGTGTCTCCGGTTCTCTCCTGCCTCTCGTGCCAACGGACAGCTTGCTGTCGTCGGAAGGGGGCGATTACTCCCAGCCGCTCCTCACGCCCGGCAGCTGTGGGATCCAGCGGTCGCACAGCGCCCGCGTCAGCGGCAGCTTCGAGAGCCGCACGTTGCCCAGCGGCAACCTGCGACGCGTGTACAACTACAACACGGACCACCCCGATCGATTGCGCGAGAAGGCGCAGCGCTGGAGGCAGGAAAATCAGCAGCTGTCGCCCAGGCGAGTGGGGGAGGGCGCAGTGCTCATGGAGTCATTGGACAGCGGAGTGGCTGAGGATGTGGACCCGTCAGAGGGATCCCGGGAAAGGTAATACAGTAGAAGCCAGATATAAGCATACCTCGTGTGAAGACATTTCTAATAAAAACAACACATGCTTACATTACACCGATGGGAGGGGGGGTGGGTCGGCAGATAAATGGCAACTTCTGATACAAGCACGTTTTGGATGTGAGCACAGCTTGCCTTGCTGCCAAAAAATGTGCTTGGTTACGTTGCAGTTTGGATTTATCATGCTTAAATGCGACCATATCTCAAGATTCTCTGCAAGAAGGTCACATGAGAGACTAACAGGGTAGACAGGATGAGACTACCGCATGGCAAGGTGATTTGTAAGACGCTTTTGGGTGACAATACAGTTGTATGTATGTAGAACTTATTTCGCACTGTACATAGCCAACCGTGCTAATCGAAGGTAGGCAGTTCAGAAGAGCAATCCTTGAGTTTCGACTTGAGCAGGGAAAAGGAGTTCCACGATGGTGTTGGTCAATACTTGGCACCTAATAATGATTCTAAAATGGAAGAGCATAATTTTCTTTGTGAAGTTTTCCACACATGAAGTTGGCCGAGTGGTTTGGGTAAATGCATTTGGTGTTGCATGCATATACAGTTGTCAATACACGTGCACCAATGAGTGATAATATCACCACTATCATAGACATCTCTGAGATTGATAGATCTGGGTTGTAGTAATGAATGTTTTGAAAATTTTAATCTTTGCGCATTTTGCACCGGCACGATGTTAAGGCTCTGATTTATTTTAACGCGACATTTTTAAAATGCAAGTTACGTTTAGATTTGTCACGTCGCAACATTTTCGTTCTTCATTGTGTTCCTCCGTGTGTTATTCTGCATTTGTTATCGTGAAGCTCTAACATTATTAATATTACAGATAATTGGAAGGATTAATTGTGGAACAACAAAGCAAATGTATGTGCTCCATTGGCCAGCCCATGGCAGCGCGACGCTAACGGTGGGTTTTGTCTCGTTTTGTGGGCAGCAGCTTGGAAGGCCGTGCCGAGGCGGAGAGACAAAGGGAATCTCGCGACACCCTCTCGCCACCAACGTCCCCCGAGGTTGGCAATAAGAGCGATGAGGTGATTTACTCAGGAGGCGTGCTGGGCTCTGAGGGCGGGCGAGCGGGCGGGCGGTCGTTTCCCATGGATTTTTTATGCACACGTTTGCTGTTTGCGTGTTCGGTGGCACGCGCTGCACATACACACAACACATTTACACACACGCACACACCGTGCATGCTGGCGTGAGTGCATGCAGCAGTGGTGCATGCTGGTGTGAGTAGACTGCAAGCAATGTGAATGCTATATGTACGTTGAACTGCTTTGCTGTTATCGATATGATGTGTATGTATGTGTTGAACTTCTTTTGCACCGTACATAGCCAACCGTATTAGGCGTGTATGTGGTGTATTAGGCGTGTAACAATGCATGGATTTTAGAAGAAAAATCGATTGTTATGCTGTCCGTACGGGCATCGAATTGCATGTGAAACAATCGATTATTAGCTGTTTGCGCAAATAATATTGAAATGATTTGATCACGTAACCGTGATGCTACTGGATCATACAACACTGTAAAAATGAGGGAATACAATTGAGGCCGTAAAACGAGACAAAAGGTAGATTCTTGAATTAAATTGTGACCCTGAATCGTGAAAATAAATCGCACATTGCTGCAGGGGATGCATTGTGCATACACCTAGAGTACACACACGCAGCGTGCGGGCTGTGTTGTACGTATGCATTTTGAACTTCCTTCGCAGCGTACGTCGACGAGCGTGCTAACCGGACACGTTGAGTATACGATGCATGCCGGTGTGAGTGCCCAATTAGCTGCAAGTGGAAGTGATTTGTGGTGAGCGTTGTGAATTCAGTGTCCATCGTTACTGCTACACACCCTTGCAGCAATTTGGCCAGATTTAAAATCCCGGCCATCACTCTAAATCAACTATAACTTGTCATCCCTAGAGGGTTAATAAAATAATTCATACTTTGTGAGAGTGGTGCTCCAATGAGGAGACAAGCCCCCACCATGGGAATATGGAATTTCCACACTACATCTCAAGGGTGCCAATAGATACGAGTGCTACCTCATTGCTCGCTTTAGCTTAATTCACACATTCGAATGAAAATCTAATAAATACTAATAATATGTGATATATATTTTGAGGATTTACGTGAATTGAGTAAATTGTTGCTGTTCGTTGCATGTGTTCATATTCATAGTGTGAGTTATTTTGTTCATGGGAGAAAGACTCTACATTTCACCCAGTTGGCTGTTCCCGGTATGTTTACGTTCATATGAAACATTTTACAGTGCAGTGTAGGCGGTTTCCTTCCGACACGAATGTTGAATTGACACGGCAATTCCACCAACGCAAACCACCAACAAACACAGCAGAGGACGCGGGCTGCACTGCTGAGTACAGTTTTCTATCAGCGATGAAAATAATACCGGTTTTTACGTTGACATGCACCATACATTTGCGTCAAAGTGCACGTTTTTCAACATATACTTTTTTTTTATTAACCATGCTTTGCAGTTACAAGTGTAAAAGTGCAAACATGTATGTGTGTACCAACATGTATGTTAGAATACGTAAAGTACATGTGCTGCTTGCGTGTCGCTTCAAAGTGCTGTCAGCCTCAGGTGCTTGTGGATCCGCGGGCCCCGGTGGGGGCGCGCGTTTGCAGGGCGCGCCGCGGCCGGCCTCGTGTGGGTGGCGCTTGCATGACGGACGCCTCCGCGTGCTTTGCTCGTGTGACGTGTCGGACCGGAGCAGGATAGGAAGGCTGGCGCTAACCAGCGCAAGCGTCGCCTCGCGTACACGCGCTCAGACTTTCTAGTGCGGCAGTCAGCGGAGGCCGCCAGCGACGAAGATGAGCCCATCTCACCCGCGAGCCCCGCGCAGCTCCCTCATAAGGCCCTTTCCTTACAGGACAGGGGTGCTGAGCTCACGGCAGTGGCCATGGTAATGCGCGAGCTGTTGGGTCCAGCTTGTGCTCCCAAGATTGTTTTGCCTTTTCTGCCCGTGAAACCCGTTTCGTCAAATTGATCGCTAAATTTTGCTGGATGACGTCAACGTCAGTGGTTGCAAAGCGAATCTCTTGAAATGTTTACTAAGAAGCATAATGAACATAATGTACATTTGCGATCATCAAATGCAGATATTCCAGTTTGCCATCAATTAAATTTTGAGTAAAATGTAATTTCAAATATTAATAATGATAATTGAAATGGTCAATCGTTTATACATTTGACAATTGCATATGTAAACACATAATTAAATCTGATATATTAATGATGACAAGTTTTTTTAATCAGTTTCTAATAAGCAGCTATTTTTGTACAAAAGTCTATTTTCACCTGTTACTTAATATCAATTCAATATAAATGTAATTATGTTCATTCAATGTGTGATCATTTAAAGTTGTGATCCAATGTCTTTTGGTTCCGAAGAGAACTTCGCATTTAACTAAATGTTAATTGTTAATAGGACAATATTACAATGAAAACAGTTGACAAAGACATTGAATTTTGGTTTCAATATGGCAATCAGAACATGAGTCATTGACCAAATCCTTCAGACAATCTTGGGTGTCTCTGCTGCCTGCAGTGTTGTTGTTTTGACTAACCAGAGCCACAGGAGGACTACATAGGGCATGACTGTTCTGAGTAAATGAAACTCCTCATGAGAGGCTCGTTTATAGCCGTGGGTGGCAGGAAAAGTTCACATGAACCCACACTGCTCCCAGCATGCACTGATGTTCCACGTACGCTTTTGTATACACAAGGTGCAGCCAAAAGATGTTGAATACCGCACTTAGAATTATCCACACAGCATATATTTACTTTTTATACACCCAACCATTAAACAATTCGGTTATTTAACTTGAATCGTGCATAAATCTACGGTTTAAAATGTAAGGCTGATGTTTGTGAAACTAATTTGAAAATCTCTTTATCACAACATTTTGGCTTTAAAAGACAATTCCCACTCAAATTCATCCTTAAACTGATGACATACTGTTATTGAGCATCTTTTAAAACTGTCATGGGACGTGGAGGCATTCTTGCCAGTACCACACCTAGCCGTCTTTGTCTTCCAAAGTGCTGACATCTCACATCACACCAGATGGGGAAGGTCTGGGCCTGATTCACATATCACCCAATTGTAGCGCTGTGCGTTAACCGTTAGGCCACCACTCACCATGCACCCACATAAAAAGAAAGACCCTGCCTGTCACTAAGGTGGCTGCCACAATTATTTATTAATGCAAAGAGTTCACTCAGAGCATGCCCTGCCTAGTCCTGTGATGTCTATGGTACTAACATTAGCCCTTTTACAGGTGCTGCCATGTGGACATGTATTGTTCCCATTTAGATGCTTACTAACCACTCTTGTCTGTTGCCATAGCAGTATATGCCCACCCATTCCACACAACGCCACTTTGTGCCTTCCCTGCTTTTCCTCTGTGATTTGCTTCTCAGTAAAATCATTCGAGTGTGTAATCAGGGGTGTCTGCCCACACTTTGGGACATTTCTGAAGTAATAATCCATGTTGATCATGTAAGGATTCGCCGATTCAAATCAATTATTATGCTCATGATGCACGCAATTAATAGTTTAAAAAAATTGTTTGCCAATGATGCATTTAAACCAATGAAGTGAACAAGACCATGCAAATATCATGCAGAACAAGTGGAAAACTTTACCAATGAGGGTAACAATGAAACAATGGCATTGGTTCTTGAACCGAATCATTACTCCAAATCGTGGAAATTCTTGTGGAGGGGTGAATAATTACATGCTTAACGAATCTCCACAGTATTTATTTTAGGGCTACTTACATTGATTATGCTTCTGTTCATCTAGATCAAACACAATGCGAACTAAATCTGCTTCCTTGGTGGGTCTGTTGATTTCCCGTAGCGTTGCAATGACCTCATCTGAAGGGCTCCAGCATGGCAAACCAAATTTCTAATAGTCCAGTTTGTTTAGAATTCTCGTGTCTGAATGAGGAGTGGTAGTGTAGCTAAGTAGATTTTATTTTCCACTTTCCAACTTGTCATTTGTTTATAGTAATCATGAATACCACTACATTGGCCACTATTTTGGACTTTAATTGTTACAATGCTTAAGGTTCTTTTTCTCAAGCTCTAATACGTGAAATTATCATACGAAGTGGAGGGGATGAGTGTGAAACATTGGTTGCATTTGGGAAAATTGTAGTTTTGGCTTGTCAGCATTTTTGTTCAACTTTTACTTGGAAAAAATGGGGTCAGCATTTGTCAATAGTATATACCCACGACTCATCCTTTGGTTTACTTTGTTTCAGGGAAACAAGTAGGGTTACCATTCCAGAAATGTATTTGATTCCCTTATATTCAATACAAGTGTGAAGGAGTTTTCATTCGTCAATGGAATGCTCCCGCCCGACGCCCTATCACCTCGCCCCGTGCCTCCAATATACAGCGCACAACGATTGCTCTTTGCTCACTACTGCACGCTTGGTTTGTCACAGAGCGGGTGGCCTCTGGGACTCTCTTGCTTTCACGCTTTTGCCCAATATAACGTGCGCTTGTGCCGCCTAGCTTCTCCACGAGTGGTTCACCTGTGTTTGTTTGTGGCGCCGTTGCCCGTGGTGACCGGCGCGCTTCTCACCGTGCTGCCGTTCTCCACAGCGGGAGAAGACCACGGCTCCAGAAAGCAACAAGCGCCCGGGGTGGGGTCTGCCGGTGGAGTGGGATGAGCGCTTTGCCCGGGCTGGGGAAGGGGCAGTGCAGTTACCCTGGCCTCCTGATGATGCCACGACTCAGCCCGCATCTCTGACATCATCCACCGCAGTCCCCAAGCCCCCCTCTGCTCAGGACAAGTAAGTACAGTGGTACCTCGGTATACGTCGTTAATTCGTTCCAGAAGGTAGGACTTGTACCGAAAATGACGTATACCAAATTTTCCCTATTCCAAAGCGGTCGTATACCGAGGTGTGACTGTATGCCTCTTGTTTTGCAATGGACTCATGTCTGTGGCTTTAGCTTAAGTCTGTGACTCTTAAACATCCGCCTTTCTGTAAAAAAAAATTGGTAGAACGTTTTCTTATTCATTTTGCCTCCAGAAGTAACTCAGACAATTTGTTTTCTCTAACTATTTTCTGGATTATAGGATGCTTCGGAAAGTAAGACACACTCCACATTTGGGCTCGGTGTGGATTAAGTTGGACAAATCTGGCTGCACATACACACACGAGATTATAAGATGCACCCCAATTTTGTATTTAAAGAACAAGGAAACCAAGTGCAGATAATACGGTACAGAATGTTCCATAGCAGCAGAGCTACGCGTATTCAAGCAAAAGCTGGAATTTATCATAAAACATTTGCATAATCGTTCTCCACTGTTAGACTACATGCCTTGTTAGCCGTGTAGACGAGTAGGTGACTTGGCCTGTAACTGCCGAGTAAGCGCCTTGTGCCATGGCTTGGCTGAATTCAATGCCAAAGCGCAATATGTGAAGGCTTTGAGCATTAATGCAGAGTCTTGGGTTTGAATTCAGAATCTGTAAAGTGCTGAATTAGTTTGCTTCATTTTACCAGCTCCCCCAGGTACATCTCCATTCAAGATTATTATGGTAATTTTCTACGTTCAAATGCAAACGTAGTTGTTTAAATAGTTTAAATGCCTTTTGAGTGTTAATGTGTTAATTTTCTCACCAATAATGTCACGTTGCTTAAATGTGTTTGCGGGTTGATTATTGCTAGTTTTATTGTAGGCAGTAACATTATTTTAATCTTCTTTTCTTTTATCCATCTTTACTTACAGATCTAGTAGTTCTTGTGACAATACAAGTGCTTTTTTTATAATGCATGTAGTTATTAAGTGTTCATTACTGGACTAATTTCTGTTTGTTATTCTAATACACAGATTCTGATATGGGGGTTACCAATTAAGAGTTATGATATTCTTTCAAATAGCAAGCTTCTTGTTGTCTATCTTACTTCAAACTCAAACCCATCCCCCCACTATTGCTGATCTCGTCAAGGAATATAAACCATCACGCGAACTCCCGTCATCCTCACCGCCGCTTTTGGCTAGCCATCGAACAATGACGCTCACCGCGTCGCACGCTTTCTGATGCGCTTCTGCAGATGTCTGGAATGCGTTTACTTCCGATATTAGGAAACCACTGAAGCTATGCACTTTTACATCTAGATTGAAATCTCTTTTTTTTTTAGACAGCGTTTGTGTTTAGTTTTTTGTCCTTCCACCACACCTCCGATTAGCATGGTTGGCTACGTACGGTGCAAAAGTAGTTCAACATACATAGAAAGAATCCTGTAAAATAATCTAAAAGAGTAGACCAAAACGTTGTCTTGCTGTAGAATCCCTTGACCCTAGTTACTATAACAATAACGTGTATATTGGTAAAGTAATTCAATCATTCTTTGCAAGACATTCAGCCAAAACACAGTTTATCTAGATAAGTGAGCATCACAATTTACTCTGGCATTTCTCGTTTAGTTAAGGTAATTTAAAATGTGGGATTTTTACCAAAACAGCTCCATACACTGTGGTCTGCTGTTGACATGGATATCACGTGGCCTTCTGTGTTTAATTGATGACAGACAGTGGACACTTCAATCTTGATTTGAAGCTTTCGTGACTGCAGGAATCCATATTCTTGGTTCTTTCGGTAAAGTCACGTAGAAGGGAAACAAAATAATAAAAATATAAAACAATAAAATTCTCACGACGTTTCGATTGTAACACAAGCTTGTGTTGTGAAAACCACAGCAAGAAATTTTGAAAATTTTAATTTTTTTGCTGTGGTTTTCACACCTGATGATGATTGCTTGTGTTGCAATCGAAACGTCGCGATAATTTAATAGTTTTAATATTTTTATTATTTTATTGTTTCCCTTCTATGTGACTTTACCGAAAGAACCAAAGAGAGTGGACACTTCACTTAAGTGCTGATTATTTACAAACTTCGTCAGCAGTGCTATAGTCACCGTTTATTTCAGCAATGAGCATTGTTTTGTTGCTAACTGTTGCCTTCACCTATGCAGAGTGAGCCCAGTGCGAACCAAGCGGTGGGGATTTGGGCAGAAGATGAAAGTGGAGAAGGTTTCTAAAGAAAGCCTTTTGCAAGCGACGGAGCAGGAGGAGGCGCCACGGCGAGACGTCCAGTCACGGGAATTCCACTCCATGGAATCCACCATGGGCAGCAGACAAGGTAGTTCCCGCCGGCCTAAGCACCAGCACTGGCAGAACCAGTGGTGAAGATGTAATGCCTGAATTGCATTGAATGTACAGTAGTACAATAATACCACAGTTTACGCTGGGGATGTGTTCCTGAAAAGTGCGACGACGCTTTTAGAAACGACGTAAATCAAAGCAATTTTTCCAAATCGACAACATACTGTACGTAAATAGTCTATTCTACTTTACAATACAGTATATTTCTTCATGTGCATGGCAAAGTAATTCGTGTACAAGGTAGGTTGGAGGCGAAGGCTGAGGCGACGGATACGAGAAAGGATGGATGATGCTGTCAGCGACGTAAGCATGGGGTTGAAGCGACCACAAATCAGTTGGTGGTATTAATAAAGTGATGACGTCATTGTGAACCGATGTACCAGGGGGAGATGTAAATTTGGGTATTACTGTACATTGCAATAATCGCCCCCCTAGTGTGAAAACGAGTCATGTGACTCGGTGAGGCCCTTCTGGGTAAACAAGCCGAGTAACAATAAGAATAAAAGGGGTTTGCGCGCCCATGTGTTCCGTTTTTTCAGAATGGCATGAGCACGGTGGTGCCAAGTCGGAGGATTTAACAAAATCCACGGCGGAGCAGAGGCCGCCGCAGCCTCCTGCCCCCACTCCTCCTGTGCAGCCGAAGGTGCAACGAAGGAAAAGCATCAAGATCAGCAACCTACTCAGCTCATCCGCGCAGAGCAAACACTCAGATGCACAGGTCATCTCGTCACACGACAACCTCAAGCAGATGATCGGTTTCCTCCAGGGCAAGGTACCAATTAATTTCCCACTGTAAAGTTTCAATCTTTCAGAGGTTTCATTGAGGCCAAGGCATTACTTGAGTAAACTCTTATGTTCAAAGGTGAAGCCCACTGAGCTGCAGAGGCAACCTGGCCTCGCATGATGGCTCATTGAAGTGGCTTATCACATGTAGGAATTTATAGTCGCAGTCATATAATCTAAACGCATGTTTCGAAATGTGGAGGGAAAAAACCAGAGGACCCGTATAAAAATCCATGCGATCATGGGGACAGAGACATGCAAACTCCAAATATACATACATTAGGGTCGGGATCGAACCCACGACTTCCTGCATACCAGGCGAGGGACATAACATCTTGCCACCACGACGACACTGAAGGGGGAGATTATGAGTTAAATTCCAGTTTAGGTGAAAAGTTACAATGAAAATCTAAGTTTTAGCTGACAGTTTTACACGAAGTAAAAATCTGCCAGATTTGCATATTGCCCTCTCTTATATTAAGGTGGAACAGGTAGAGATCACTTTTCCACTTTTGTTTGTACCGAATCACAGCATGGTATATACATCTTGCCTGTACCCTCCCTCCCCACCCTGTAAACTACCATCAGGCCCTGAACACACCACCTGCTGCTTTTGTATCCAAAATTGTGCTTTCCTGCTACACAGCATGTAAAGCGAAAGCATCAAGATAATGTGAACATCAGATGGATGCAGCAGACTTAACAATGAGCTGCAAACACAGCATCGTGTAGCTGTTGGGGAGAACTTACATAAAGTCATTTAACAACTCTTGAGAAGTCTCATCTTGTGCCCATAAACTGCCAGTTGAGCCTTTTGCTAGGCCACACACAAAACCTGCTTTCCAAAACATACACATCCTCCAAGAGATGTTCTGAATGGCAGAACACAATAGCGTAGAAACATGCTTCCAGATGCAAATGTATCTGCTTTGCGTCCTGATAGCTGAAGCCGTAAGAGTGGCAGCAGAAGGAAAGCTGGATAGCCTGAGGGTAAACACGAAAGGGCGGAAGCAGTGCCACGCAGTGCTGGGTGCACTTCGCCATGAACCCGGTAACCTAAGTTGGTTTCCCTAACTCCATCCTGACTGAGCAGCGTGGTAAAGTATATTAAAAAAAACCCGCATGACTGAAACGGCATGGGAAGACCTTCATCCGGCAGTGGGCTGACAACGGGCTGAAGAGTATCAATGACTTTCTTATATGCATTTGCCACTTTTTGATAGCTTTCGTCGGTACAGCTGGTGGCAGAGGAGAGAGTGCTTGAACCCAGCCAGCAACTTCCAGAACGAAAATGTTGCCATCCATGGCAGTTCCCCCAGTAAAACCTGTCCCTTTGAACGGGTGCTTGTACAAAGCTTCATCTGGTTCACCAGTCAGAAAGTCCACAGCATTATCTAAAATCTATCGGTGTATTTATGCCAATAATCAGCAGGCAGCCGGGAGGCTGCAATGTTAAGCACCACACCACAACAAATTCAACCATGTTTGGTCTAATGTTTTGTTTATAGACCTTTGTTTCACTAATGTGAATTGTATTTACTTGGTTCCTTAATCAATGCAATATTTGCATGATATAATGGTCATATTTATGTAAGGATGAAAACTTTCTTGGTGACGAGTCACTTCAATAGCTCTGTATGAAAAGTGAAGAATGAGTGCTGTGTTTGATTAGAACATACTGTTGCAGTGATTAACAAGTATAACTTTGCAGGCCTACCATCCACTACCACTTGGGTTACTGTACTTAGGGACATTCATTGTTTTACAAACATTGTTCTGACTACTGAACACTGTCGCTCATTCTCAATTCTCAATGCAGGTGAGCATGTGTCTGACCTTGCATTGTGTTGTCTTCATCACCTGTCAACGATGTCAAATCGACAGATTAATGATCTCCTACCTGATGATGGCAAAAACATCGATGGAATTTTCAAGGAGGCTTTGAAGGAGTTCCGTAAGAATCTTGAACAGACCAACACGCGGGTGACCTTTGTAAGTATTGCATCAGAGGACGGTGCAAGCACCACCATGCCTCAGCCCCATTTTGTTGTTGTAGCTCAGACAGCAGCAATTATCACCGTGATAATGAGCATGGGGGCTGCACTAGGACCGCCGTTCCCTCAGCCCACTGGGACCAGGATACCCAGTAACCAGAGAAGGGTGCTGCTACCTTTTCGACTGGAAGGATGGATGATAGCAAAACATAATCTGTGGTCCTCTTTAGAGCCCGGCATTATCTTGCCCTTGGCCTTCATGGTCGATGGTTACGTTGGAAGGTGTAATTTTGTAATTGTTAATGTAATTGTGCAACTGCTTTAAGGACCGTCTCCTCTCTCTCTCTCTCTCTCGTCTCTCTCTGAATAACGAGATGTTTCTCGATTGATGCGGCATTCGTGCTAGGTTTGTTTTGCTCATTTTGGTTTAAAAGGTAACAAAGCAATGTTTAGTGAAGGACCACCCATACACGTGCATTTATCAGTCGCGTGTAATTCTTAAATCGGAATTTTGTTCAATTTTAAACTTGTGTTATGCATTGATGAGCATTGCACATCTACTGAAATTAAAACATCGTGGTTTCATAAATTATAACATTAATCTTCTAAACATCTTGCGTGTGATTTTAGCCAAACATGTACTTTATTAATTCATATATGATGATATTAAAGCATCCAATTTTTACATTTATTTTAACTTAAAATATTTTTGATAAAAATATGCAAATTTGATCATTATCTACATTTCAGTGTAATTGTGGAATGATATGCAAGTATTTGTTTATACATATTATTGATGTGTGCCTTGAATTTACAGTTGTAGCTGTGCCGGTTCTAACCTAATTAGTTTTGATAACAACTGCATCCAGATATTATTGAGCTCAAGTATTCCAAAACTGAACTGCCTCATGATAATTCTGCTTGCCAGTGAGTTCGTTTGATTCCCATTGCTGCCATGTAATTTTACCTCCTTGAAAGTGATATTTAGAGACGCAGTGATGTATTTATTAAAAGCAAGTCACTACGTGTCAGTGTCTCAGCCAGAATCTTGCATTTGGAAACTAATTTAACAAACTTGATTTGAAGCTTTCGTGACTGCAGGAATTACTCTTTGGTTTTTTCGGTAAAGTCTCTGTGTGTCTATGTTGTGTGTCTCTCTCTGTGTGTCTCTGTGTTGTCTCTCTCTGCTTGTGTGTCTGTCTGTGTGTCTCCGTGTCTGTGTTTTGTCTCTCTCTCAAATTTTGTTCTACCTGATGACGGTTGCTTGTGTTGTAATCGAAACGTCGTATTCTATTATTACATTTATTTTATTTCTACGTGACTTTACCGAAAGAACCAAAGAGTAATTTAACAAAATAAAAGAAACATTTACTGTTGAAACTGATTCTCCTGTTGCAATAAGAAATGGTGGCACGTTGAGTGTCTCCCTGCTGAAATGAGGATTTTGACGAGTTGATGCAGTAGTTATTGATGGTTTTTCTGAGCTGTAAAAGGCATCGCTTAATGGGCTTACTCTTCACCCTCTTCACACAGTACAATGAAGATATCTGCATGCGGCACAAAGACCTCATCAGCAACTTTGAGCAAGTTCTGGACAAGACGGTGCGGCAAAGACCGTACGTCACGGACAAAATGCAAATCAACAACGTGTGCATCAACCTATTCAGTGGGTTCATGGTGCAGTTCATGGGCAAGTGCCAGGCCCTGGACGACTCCAATGTCACTAAGGTAACAGCCGATACTCTATGCCATTGTTCTGCCGTTTGTGGCTCTTTATTTTTGTATGCAAAGGTGACTCCACACGTAAAACCTTGCGGATTAATTTCCAAGCCTTTTTGATTTTTGAAAAAAATTCTTAAATCTCACATATCTTCTTATTTTTGACCCGCATAGCCTCTGTTGTTTTTACTCTGCTTGAATCGTCAGCATTGAACAACAGCCAGTCTAGTCACTGTCAATCAACTAGCCTGACTCTTCATTAAATTTAATTAAATTAAGATGTTTGATATTTTTTTCAATTAAATTATCTTGTTGCAATACTTGTAAGAGCAGACGTATTTTGGATGCCGTTTGTCATGGACAAGATGGTAATGACTTGTCATTGCAAATGTTAAAAATATAACTTCTCAACGGTAGTTTTGGTGATGATGTTTAATGCAATCGAGATGATGTGATGTTGTACAGTTGTTTTTAAAAATGATTTGTAATGTCGACTTTTATTTCCCATATTACATTATATGTACATTTATTTGATAAATTGTTTTGTACAATGCAGTTACGATGGTATGTTAATTCGGCTTTTTAAAAAATATTTACGGTTAAATTCATTTTGAATAATTAACTTAGTCATATTTTTGTATCCATAAACGTGATTTTGGATACAAAACCGCATTGTTTTTGCATTGTAAATAAGTCACTTGGGAAATTCGTTTTTAAAAGTGTGTGTATTTGTGATGTGTGTTGTGGATATAGATATTCGCCACCCCCCCCTGCCCCGAGTGTTCATTACGCATGTGGCGAGTGGAGTAATGAAATCGTTACCGCGTGTTGGGATTCTCATTCAGGCTCCCAAGAACGAAAGGAAAAAGAAAAGGAAGAAAGAATCTGACGGCGTAAGTGTTCAGTGTTACAAAGAGTGTTGTGGGGCCTTTATTTTGGTAAATATCTGCGAAATAATAACCTTTGCTAATGATCATCGGCCTCATGGTTAGGGTGTTGTATATTCTTTAAATGTGTCGGGTCCTCATCAGCCCATAGCTGTGGTGGGAGCATTACATCATCACCAGCTCCAATACCTCTTGAGGCTATCAGGGCCCGAGGCGATGACATGTGAGTAGAGACCATCTGTTCCACACAAGAGGAGGAGGGGGAAAAGCTCATGTGCATTTGGCCACGTGGTGCTGTGGCAGCAGACCAAGATTCGCAGTCAGAAGGCTGATGGCTAAAATCCCAGTTTTGTGTTGACGCAGCCCACTCATCTCTCCTGGGTCAATAAAGTAGAACTTTTTTAACGAACCCAGCGGTGGTTTTAACCTTTGGATGTATACTGGTCCCTGCCATATGAATACAGAATGTCCCTCATTGACTTCGGAATTTATATATCTCGAGAGGAGCACCACCTGATGCTCTCTTGAATATTGAGGTACACGTTGACTCTCGATGTTGCTTATGCAAGTAGCTTTAAATTCACTCGTCATTAATGGTCCCAGACCTGAAATGCTATTACAACAACACTGCGTTTTCATGACAGCAAACACAGATGGAATACCACTGTCTCTAATGTCCTATGCTGTGTTGTGAGAGAAGTCTCATTGAAAGCAACCAGTCAGGCTTCAGATGGAGTTTGTATTTTAGTTTGTGAATTTCGGCTCTGCTTGTGGCGGTGGCCGTAGCTTACCCGTCCGTGCCTGCGCTTGTGCTGCCCATTGGACCAGGTGGTGGAGCATAACGGCCATCAATTCCGTACGGTGCAGTTCAACATCCCATCGTTCTGCGAGGCGTGCGCTACTCGCATTTGGATCATGGATCGTGGATACGTCTGCCGAGGTGGGTGCCTCCAATCCAGCCAAGTTTGTAATAACATTGCGGGTACAGTGTGCCTCTCAAGCCCCACAGCAAGCCCAACGAGTGTGTGGGAACCCACGAACTCGGTACAATAGTTGTGGACTTTATGCGAGAATAACGTTAAAGCAAGACGTTTCTTTGAAAGGTACAACTCTTGTTTCTCGTCATTGCAATTTAATGGCATTGTAATCCCACAATGAGGTTCTGTGGAGGTAGTTAATTCAAGAAGAAGCCATTTCGAGATTCCTTACAATATTTTAAGATCGTAGACGTTAAGGTCATGTTGGCCTAACGGTCATATTGACCTTAAAATGTTACAAAGGGAGGAAAACGTATAAATCATTGTTGATAGTGTATTCCCCTTTGTATTTGAACAGCTGTTAGTTTACATGAGACACTAAAATGTTGAAACGGTGAATTATGGAGCTCATGACCTCCAGTGTGTCTGGGAGGGTGAGGGGAGAGAGGCACTGGGAGGGAGGAAGGGATCGGATAAACGGGCAGGAGGAGGAAGATGAGGCTTTGGAGAGAAGCTGAGGAAGGACAGCTGGGGGAGTGGTGGGTAGGCTTATTTCTGATTTCAAGGTTTTGTGTACACCATTAGAATCGTCTAGCATGTTTCAGTACATATGTTGAAACAAGTCAGATGACCCATATAAGCATTTTCTTATTTGATAATGTACTTTTAGTCCTCATGTTTGGTTATCATGGAAGCCTTCCGAACTGTCAAACATTGACATTTTTTTGGCTGACTTAATGATTGTAATTGTATCAATTGTGTCTAAATCGTATTTCCCATGGGGATTGTATAGTTGCTTTGTTTCTTGTGTTGTTCTTGTTCCAATATACCGGTATTTTCCACGATGGAGGTTTCTTCTGCCAGTCAATACATGTTTGGGTAGAAATCTTTGGCCGAAATGTTGTCTAACTTGCTCAGGTTAGCCTGTGTGGCCCTGAATCAGAGCACTGAACTCAAAATCAGGAGTTGTTTGTTCAATTGCTTGCTGGGGGTTATTACAGCCCCTTTGAGGGGGACAAAATGAGTTCCATTTTGTTAGAAGTGAGCAGTTATCCTGTGAACAGAGTGGCCCTTCCACGTTGGTAATCTGGAATTTTCTCCACTAGCTGGAAGCTGCCAAACAGAGACAAATGCCGCCCAATGCCCAATGCTCCTTTGAACGTGGGATACTTTGACCTTGACTCACGTACATAAAATTCCGCTGAGGAATGCCAGTGTCTCTTTGTTTCTCATGAACGCATTTAATGAGACCGTGGGCCTTTGTGCCTAATGTTGGCTCAAAGGCAGTTGTGGTCTATATTTGCCTACTGAATTACTCTGATTTAATACCAATTTGATTGTTTTTCCATAGATAATCAGGCTGACACTTATTTCTGCCAACACATAAACCAAACCTATTTTGAGTTAATACTGTGGCCTAATTTTCCTTTTCCTTACCTCTGCATCTATGTATACGGGTACATAAAAACATGAAGTGACCTTCATAAAATATAACTATGTATGTCTTAATGTGCATGTGTATAGAGACTGGGAAGGGTGGTCTATGTTACAACAACGTAGAGTTGTTGGTCCTGCCATACATATGTTTTTTTTTTAATATGCTGAGAAATCAGACTCAAGAAACAATGTACAAATACTGGATGGTCTGGGAAATGTTTCTGCTAAATTTGCCTTCACTGAATAATATAAACGGCTGCTGTGTGCCTCAACCTAGTGGCCACTACCATAGCAGAGTGTGGGCTGTTTAGGAGGAGCCAGGGGGGGGGGTGAGTGAGGGGTTGGTGGGATGATGTGGAGTGGAAAAGTGAAGAGAGCTGGGGGAAAAAAAGGCAGAGGAATGGGAGGTCAGGGATGTGGGTTGGAGGGAGCCCAGGGGTTTCTAACTAGTGGATTTAATAATGCCGGATTATCATTGCATTTGTTTTGGATGATGGGGTCCTGCACACATTGGGATTGAAAGAGCAGTTTAGCTCTCGGAATTGAGCTGTGAAGACCCAGGGAGATGTCGTTTGAGTTACGTTTTGTAACACGAGCCGTGAGGATAGACACCAGCGGGAGAAAGGGCCAGGCTGTTTGTCAGCTGAGCTGTACAAGTTGTATGTATGTCTGTTGAACTTCTTTCGCACCGTACGTAGCCAACAGTGCTAATCGGTGTTGGCAATCTTGTATCCTTCAGTAGGCCTCCACAGGGAACTATTCGCATTTGTACTGCTTTTATTGACTGCAGTGTTTTCTTGTCATGGTCATTGCCAAACTCTAGCCCACTTTATTATTTGCTAATGTAGATGATTGGGGATATTTTGTATCATGTTACATTTTCTAATCAACAGCAAACGCCTAAACATTTTCTTTGGTTCTTTCGGTAAAGTCACGTAGATAGAAAATAATTTTAAAAACATTTTTTTTTAGCAAAACCAAAAACTCACGACGCTTCGATCGCAACACAATCGGTCGTCATCAGGTGGAGAGATTACATTACGTAGATTAAAATATTATTCTGTTGTGTTCCGTTTGTTGTTTCCAGCTTGCAAGTTTGCGTGCCACAAGAAATGCTACTCATCAACAACCAGGAGGTGTACGGGATATTACAACGCAAACAAAAAGGTGCGTTAATAATAATAAAAGGTGTGTTTTATGAATTTATTTTATCTGCAAAGAGCTCATCTGTATTTAAGAAAAACATTTCAAAGGTGGGATTTGTACAAAAAAAAGCACTTCATTTGCTGACAAAAATCACCACAATTAAGATGTTGAATGAGGACACGTACAACATGGAAGCCCGAGTGTACGATGATGAGATCAGTTCATGTCCAGGATTGAGATGAATTGTGGCATCCCAGGATGATGAGGGATGGCAATGGCATGGAGAAGCCGTCATCCAGCAGTGGATAAACATTTGCTGGTGATAAAGATGATGCCGACAATGTGCAGAGACATGTGGATGTAGAGGGCGCCAGTGGCCTGGTATACAGGAGGATGTGGGTTCGATCCTGACGAAGCCTACTGTATATTTGGAGTTTGTATGTTTTCCCTGTGATCGTGTGGATTTTTCTCCGGGTCCTCTGGTTTTTCCCTTCACATTTAGAAACATGCATTTTAGAGTAGTTGGCTGCAATACATTTCCACGTGAAAGCCATTTTGTTGACCTATAATTTGTAGCCAGGTCACTTATGAAAAATAGCTAAATAGCTCAGTGGGCCTTACCTGGTAAAAAGAAGCAATGAAGTATAAGAAATGCTGCTTTATCCGATGCCGCGTGCGTTACCATTTACAGGCCGGTGGGGACATGATAGGAAAGCAGTTTGCCGTTGACCTGTTCCGGTTGACCGGCCCTGATCGGAGCGTGCCTTTCCTGCTGGAGAAGCTGCTCAACTACATCGAAATCCACGGCCTTTACACAGAGGGCATCTACCGCAAGTCAGGCGCCAACACCAAGGTCAAGGAGCTGCGTCAGCAACTTGACAATGGTAACTGCCCAATTGCATTCGTTTACACGAAATGAACTCGGCTGTGACTGCTTATATTCATCAGGCAGGGTAAGAGCACTTGATTGAGATGAGCACAGTCCAGCGGTTGTGTGAGATAGACCTGTGACAGATACCAGGTGAAGGCTTGTGATATTGTTGATGGGATGTTCCCCGTGTTCGTTGATTTCTCAGTGGTTTCATAGAAAATTGGTTGCCATGTGCCTCAGTGCAAGATATATCATTTGGAAAGTAAAATAAATAATATATATGGGCTATTATAGCAAATTGATAAGTTCAAGTAACTTATTTCATGGTTGGCATACGAGTGCCTTTTACTTGGGTTTCCTGAATTATTTCACCTTCACGCTTTTGCAGTATAAGAGCTAATGGCCACATCTTTCATAATAGTTGCAATGAAGAAGAATAATGACCACGGCCAAGTGTGCTCGGTTGTGACAGTACGAATATGGACTGTTTATTATATGAAGACATTGTCCTCGCACCAAGCGGCGACGGGTTCAACGCAGTGTGCCTCGGAGGATTTCTTTTGGCAATTAAATGTGCTTCATCTCAGCGCTTGATAAAACAAATATTTGTTGTGGCTGTGATAACAGCAATTCGGTACATGGCATGCATTTTGTGAAAATAACATGAAATGACCCAGAACTGAAAAGCAAAACAAGAAATGAGTGGTTCATCTGATTGTTCCAGTTGGAGTCTCATTTGTGTAAACAAAACACGGCCACACTTTAAACAAGTTCTGGAATCTTGACTGTTGCAGCTTTACGAAATGTTATAAAGACATCCGATATGATAACTAATATTAGGTGAATGCTCAAGATTTAACTGTGCCTGATAGGATATCGAACTGAATATCCAAATGTATAATTTACTCACTGGTGAGCAATTCACATCAAGTCCATAGTTTCAGACATAGGCATTTTTTGTGGATTTCCATAGCAGAGTATCTTTTGGGAAGTGAACACGATTTGTTTTGCAAAAAAAACCCATTTTCTGCCACTATAAAATCCTAAATACCATTCGCCTGTGGCTGTTAGGATCCTCAGTCGTTAACATTCACTCGGCTGTTGAAGAGTTCAGATATTTGCACTGAATTGTGAGAATCCTAAATGTGGTCAAGTGTGACTTGGGCAACTTGCAGCGACCCACTTTTTAAAAAATACAATGATTTTGAAGACAAATTCTCGTTTTGTTAAGCTTATTCGTATTAATATAGTAACTACCAATAGTCTTATCGAACAAAGGCGTTCACTGCATTGTGCGCTTTCAGATGCGCTTCTGCAGCTGTCTGTAATGCTCTTCCTTCAGATATTAGGAAGCCACTGGTGCTGTGCACTTTAAAATCTAGATTGAAGACTCATTTCTTTAGAACTACTTTTTGTGTTTAGTATGTTGTTTTTCCCCGCACCTCTGATTAGCAAGGTTGGCGACATACGGTGCATTAAAGAAATTCAACATTTTATGAGACTGAACAAAATAGAAACAATACATATAAGACAAAATAAAAGATATGAAGAACAATTCTGAAATTAATCACGACCCTGAATTGTTAGTAGAGTGAGTCACACCGTGCTTACCTTCCAGCCTCCATGCCCTTTCCTTGGGGGCCTGCTGGGATTGGTGGCCGGTTTTATGATCATTACTTCACTATAGAAGCTCATAATTTGAATGTCCACATGTTACAACTGAAGGTCGTGAGCTTCTATTTGCTATAAACTATATATTCATATTTATGCAGTTATATATTTTTTTATCAATAGGACCGTGGTATTAAAAAAAGTAGCTTCCAATATAGCTACAATTATGCAACGTCTCCTTAGCAAAATTAATTCAGTGTCACACCTCAATGGCCTTGTATCACATTAATTAGAGTATAATTAATTGGATGCATGCAGCACACTTGATGATACTGTGCTGCAGTACACATGTGTAAGCACGCTGACTGTGGTTTAACCCCTCGTGTGTGTCTTGCCCGTGTCCAGACGTGAACAGCGTGAACCTGGATGACTACCAGGTGCACGTCATCGGCAGTGTGCTCAAGCAGTGGCTGCGGGAGTTGCCCGTGCCTCTCATGACCTTTGACCTCTACGATGAATTCCTCCGTGCCGTCAGTACGTGATAACGTTAACCCCACCGTGGCTTTACAAGTTGCATCTTGGCTCCCGCATGTTCAGTCTGTTACAGTTTGTACACGAATTGACCGTGTGTTGTGAGGGTTTCTTTCCACGCAGTCGAGGCCCTCGCTTGACTGCTGTGTCTTGCTTCCACAGGCGTGCAAGAGAAGAAGGAGAAAATCAAAGCGGTTTACTCCATAATTGGACAATTGCCAAGCGTCAACTACAGCACTCTGGAGAGGATCATCTTCCACCTCGTCAGGTCCTCCATAGTGATTCTGTCCTTTCCTGCTCCGTCCGTACTACACCCCTCTCTTTAGGGGGTATAGCAGCAAGCCAGAGCATCTCCCTGCTCAAACAAGCGGTTGGGTGGCACTCATTTGGGGCTCGTGAGAATTTGGTGTAAATTACACTTGGCGATAACGGGAGCCAATCACTGTGGAATGCTGCAAAAGGAGAGTAATGTTAATGCTTATCTTAATAACCCCAGCGGTAAGGTGGGCTGGGCTGACCTTCAACCGGGATTTGAACTCGCACAGTTTTGACTGTGAGATGATTGCTGTGGCCTGCCCAAAGTGCCACCTGGCCAGACAACAAAGGCGTCTTTAAGCCGCAAAGAAACTGTGTTCCTGGAGTTGCGGAAAGTTGAGGTTCGTGCCCGAACCAAGCTGTGAGTGTGTGTGCGTGCGTGTCCACCCTGTAGGATCGCCCAGTACGAGGATACAAACCGGATGTCGTGCAACGCCTTGGCCATCGTCTTCGCGCCATGCATTCTGCGGCCGCCCGACACGACGGACCCCCTGCAGAGCATGAGGGACATTGGCCAGACCACCCAGTAAGGCTGCGGCACACCCACGCTCTGGCGTGCCACGGCGCGAGGGGTGGCTGCGGGATTTACGTGTTTAGAGTTGAGGACGCTGGGGAGCGCTGTCGGAGGCGGATGCCACTTAAACTCCTCGTGGTGCAGTGTGCACTGGACGAGACCTGTGGTGGACGTCCCCAGAGGGCATTCATAGCAGAGCTTTAAAGGAAAGCCAGAGCTATAGAAACAGTTTGTTTTTGTAGCTTTTTTTCTCCTGTACATGTGTTCAATGGTTTATGGGTAGTGTCAGAGAATCACTTGGCCTGGTTTACTTTAGTGTTTCTGTATTTATGAAAATGCTTATTGAATTTACATGGATATATTGAAAACTGCCAGTGGCTCTTTTATTAACATGGAGTGCGCTGACTATGCAAGAAAACATGAAATCAGCACCGCGTACTTTGTCTGTCTGTTAACGTGCTCATTAACACAAATTATCGTTTGGAATATTAACCTTCAATGATTGCCATGAATACCATGGCTAAAAGTGTGCAGTGTAGTTGAATTCAGTTTGGGTCTGCCACCTATTGTACAGTTCAATTAACCTCATCATCTAACTCTGAATTCCATTGGCCAGCAACGCAATTTGATCTGCTGGTCTCATTTATATTTGACTTGGATTTGAATTAACTCACTACACAGCGTGTTTCTTACTCAACATGTTGGAGTGCTCTCTCCAGAGAGGTAGAGTGGGTAAGAGTTGAAGTGCGGTCTCCAAATCCTAACCACTTCACCTCTCTCGCCCCCCCACTACGTGCTGTGAAGAAGGGTCAATGCCCGAAACGTCACATCTCGTGTACTTTTAAGACAGCACCATTGACGAATGCGTTGAAATTTGTTCGTCCTCTGCGCTTCCGCAACACTGCCAGCGCAGTATCGCCACAATAATTTGTGGGACTGAAGAATCTGCCGGCACCCAGAGCGAAACGTCGGAACATCGAGATGAACAATGCTCGGGCACAACCTGTGACAACGTTTTACGGGGAGAGACGTACGGAGCGATCGTGGACACCTGTGTGCTGTGCCTGTGTGTGCGCGCCTGCAGCTGCGTGGAGCTGCTGGTGGAGGAGCAGATGAGGAAGTTCAAGACGCGCTTCGCTGACATCAGCACCCTCGAGAGCGTGGAGAACAGCGCCAACCAGCGCCTCTCTCTCATCCGACGCTCCATGGTGAGCGCCTTGGGCAGCGGATCCAAGTGGCGGCTGTCCCTTCGTCATGTACAACAGTTGGACGCGTTCTTCATGCCGAATTGTAATGTTGGGTCAACTATGTTGACTTGCCCATGCTTTTATAGTTAGTGTTATCCGCAATCATGAAGGTTAAAGGTACGGCGCTGCAATCGTTGCTCGTGTCTTTGTTAGCAGAATGGCCTCCGCTCGAGAGCGTTCTGTAGAGCCCCCTCTAGAGGGTATTTTGGCCTCCTCTTACAATCCGCAACAGTGCGGTATGTATGTGTTTTGGTACGTAAGTAATAAACACACGGCTCCCGCTGCTTTGCGTTCGCAGGGCAAAGGGAGGTACCGGCAAAGCCGGATGCGTGCAGGGCTCAAGGACGCCGCAACCGGCACGGCCCAGCCCGGTGGCACGGCCGGCGGCACGAGCGTCGGCGACAAGATAGCGGAGGAGGGCGAGAGTGACTGTGCCACGGAGGCAAGCGAGACCAACGATTTGGACGAGTCGACCATGGAGGAGGAGGAGCAGCTGCTGTCTCAAGAGAAGGAGACCATCAAGGAGCGATTGTAAGTGCTGCACCCTCCTGGCTCTGGAGGGAAGAGGGGAGATGAGGGCAGATGGCCGATCTGGAGCAGTTTATCTGAATTTAAGGGATAATCGTTGACAGTCATGCTCAAGCATGACTTAAAAACGAAGCACCACATTTTTTTGTTCACGTTGCCTTAAATTATTGTGTTATAAGGCAGTACTTATGACAAATGTGGTTAGATTTTCAAAGGTTTGGATCAGAACCAGCAGTGCCCTTTGCCCCTCAATGAGTCCATTGCACTTGAAAGTTTTGTTGCGTATGCTGCCGCAATCACTTGGAGTCTCCCTGTGTTTACTGTATTGCTTGTTCATTTACCGCACATATGAGTATGTGCCGCCCATGCACGTGTGCCCTTCGTGTGCGTGCATGCGTGCGTGCGCATTGAACCTCTTTCGCACCGCACGTAGCCAACCGGGGCGATGTACGTGTGTCACGCAGGTCTGAGCTGCGCAACACGATGATCTCGCTGGAGCGCAGCGCGTCGGACGACGATGCTCTGGACAGCTCCTCACGTGACACCATCGACGGGACCGACGAACCCAGCAAGCGTGACCACGGGCACGCCGGTGCGTGCTCCGCTCGGGGAAGAGCGTCTGAGTTTGAGTGGAATAGGGCAGCGTGCTGTAGAGGTGGCCGTGTAGTTAAGAATGCGGGCCGCCACCTGCGGCTAAACTGGGTTCCCTAGTGTAGTGGGGGATGATGGTGTCAGTACGGTCACCAATGATTGTAAACAAGAACATCGTATTCAATTTGGTTTCGCACTTGATTTGGCTAAATTTCAACTCTGAGAATGTGATAATATCAGTTTTACTCCTGCGACAATCTCATTACAGAGTGCATTGGAAAGTGTGCCCTCTGCTATGCAAAATATTAAGATGCCAATTTAAATTTTTTTCAGAAGTCCTGTGAGAAATGAAACATTTAGATCTATTTTCAAACACATGGTGTGGTGTTCTGTGAGATTTCTAAATGTATTATTTGTCTCTTTAAATGATGGCGATAACATTTAGGATTTCAATTCAGTCGGCTCAGTCTGAGAATTGCACTCTTTATTTGATTATCATAGAAATAAAAGTTTTCTACTAATGCAGATAAAAAAATCTGAAGGCACATCTGCAAATGTATTTGTTGTCTAATGACTGAATACCAATTGATAAGTTAGAATGTTATTGTAATAATAAAGCAAAAAATGTGAAAAGCCGGTAAATGTGTTGGTTCGAGCCCTTAGTGCACTCATGACTGAGTAATTGTCACTAATTTTACGTGTAATTCTCATCATGAAGTCAAGTGCATTACTTCTCAGATGGGTTTGGTGCAGAGCTCATCTATATTTGCAAGCCCTTAGACACTGGTGGACATTCCACATATCAGTGGCAGGGCCAGCTCTCACCCATAACATGACCACTGTGACGGCATTCACCAGATTGTAATGAAAAAAATTGGAAATTGGAACCACATTTCTCATGGTAAAAAAACAGCACTGTCTGTATGCGACTAGTTTTACATTTAGCCATGAAAATGAGATCATTGCAATAGTTGACCACCCAGTTAAGTTACATTTAATGATTTCCACACCTTTTGCATCCCTAACTATGTTTGTGTTGTTAGAAAATGTACACCTAACGAACGGGACATTTGTTCTCCACATTTTGTCAATCCAACTGAACGGTGACCTACGGTAATAACGGCAAGAGTTACATCTTGGCTCAAAATGAAGCTTCAAGGCTTGGGAGCGACTTTGCCATGCTTTTGTGGGGTTTAGAGTTGATGGGAACTCACATGCAGTGGTTAACACTTTTCACCTGTCAACCGGTGCTTTGTTGCAAGTTACGTTGCATAACCCGTCCACTTTTGATCTTCCAAGATTAGGGCACTGAATTGGCAATCGTTTCTGAAAGATAACGGAGTTACTTCCAGTGAGTATATAAAAAAAAACAAAAAACTCCAACAACAACAAATTTCCTTCCTAATGCCCTCCTCCAACCCCTTTGCCCTCTTGCAGAGTTTCACTGGACGAACATGTTCAGGAGAAAGAAGCGCCTGAACAAGGGTTCCATGCGGCAGGAGAGCACGGACTCGGCGACTACGTCCGACGGCGAGTCTCTGTCGGGCCGCTTGCACCCGAGCGTCGCGGAGTACCGGGCGCATGGCGTGGACGGGGAAGGCCGCCGCATCGCTACCTTCGCGCCGGGCGGCAGCGGCGACGCCACGGAGGGACGCTTCCCTGGCTCCAAGCCTGCGGCCGCCGTGGCCGTGACTTTGCGGCAGCCTCCGAGCAAGCACGTGACGCGATCCACGTTCCAGCCGCCCGATCCCAAGCTCAACGGAAGGAAGTAAACGCTTGTGGAGGCCGAGATGCGGTGCGTTGGCCTGCAGCGAGCGAGGCTTGGCCAAGAGTATATATGGTGCCTCGACAAAGTGAAGTAGAGCAAAGCGTGCATAATCGTAGAGACCGTGCCATGGAGAAAAACCCCCCAATGGGTGTGTGGGGAAGTCAGAAGAGAAGACAGTGGAGCCCGTGGGATCACGATGCAAAAAGCGCAATCCTGTCAGTGGGACTTGTCGTGTGCACACGTCCAAGATTGTGCATGCGCGCGTGCGTCAGTCGGTTAGGAAGGTTGGAGTTAGCATTATTTGCTATTTGAGAACCAGGTTTTACACGATGAAAGTCCACTTCTTTACATTGTCACGTAGAGTTAAAAACATCCGAGTAAATAAAGGTCACGCTTGCAAGCATGGTATAGCCCAGGGAGGGAACTGTGTACTGCACAGTGACACTACTCTCTTGTGCACGTGTGTGGACATTAAGATGTCCGTAACTTATCGCTTATATTTTTTTTATTCGGCGCTCAATTGTGTGCCTGTTGCCAAGATGCTCTTAATAACCAACACTCCAGATGCATATGACGTTTACTTATATGAAGGCAGTCTGGCAATGTGATGTCTGTGTTTATATTAAATGCACTTCATTTAGATGCCAGCTCCAATTTGTTTCCCTTTGAAAATTCCAGAAACTGAATTTTGTGAAAAGCATGTCATTACAATGCCTGAAGACTGCAATAACGTTTCGAGTTCATAAAATGCAGACCATTGACTCCTCGCGAAAGTTGAAGTGACCTAAATTGACATGACAGTCTTCCTAAATTTATGATTCTCAAGCAGCAGAGTATCTTGGGGTATCAAAGTGATAGACGGATACCATAGAACAAGTTAATGCAGGATGATTGCCCAATGTAATTGTTGCTGTTGGGAATGTTCAGCGCTCTGGTAGCTTTAAAGCCTTAAGGATTGTACAGCCTGCAGGCCTCAGAACACCCTCGCGCAATAACTTTAATTTGCAGCAATAAGGATTTCCCCCCTCGAAGCCGATCCGTGTAATGCTTCCATAGTAAATTGATGGGGCTTTTTGAATTAGTATTCCATGTGTTTTAATATGATGTTTGTGAAATAGATATTGATGTCCTGATTAGCTCTTGACGGTCACATTATCTCTGCGAAAGCAACATGTTTTTAATTAGTAGTTGGATTTGATCATTTTATTTTATCACACCTCTGCACTGCAGTGCGCGATTCCCATCCGTGTTTGCAGCTCACTGTCAAATCTGGCGAGACCATCTAGTTTGCATCTTGGTGTAAAATGGGTTCCGTCTGCTCAGCAAGAAAACGTGCTTCTTGCCACACAGGCGTTCGTTCCTCGGCATTGACTGCAGCCTCTAAAGTAACGCCATGGTGGCGAGATGGTAACTCCCTCGCCTGGTATGCAAGAGGTCGTGGATTCGATCCCGACCCTGACGCCTTTTATATTTGGAGTTTGCACGTTCTCCCTGTGGTTGCGTGGATTTTTCTCCGGGTCCTCTGGTTTTTCCCTCCACATTTTAAAACATGCTTTTTAGAGTATTTGGCTGCTGTAGATGGCCTTAACTGGTAAAATAAAAATCTTTTTAGTAACGGCAAAGCACGAACCAATGGCATGTGCATCGTGTTCACGGTCTAACTGTGCCTCTTGGACCACATGGGCCCCATTCACTCAATCTCAGGCTGACTTTTGACTTCTGCAGTACATGTGAGCACAGCAGCAGTGGACGTGCATGTGTGTGTGTGTCTACATTAGTTTGGTGGAGACGAGTTCAGGGAAATGAGTCTCTGCAGCGGTCTCATTGCTGCACAACTTTGTCTGACCCTTGGTCAAGCCTAAGCCTTACCTACTGATTGGTCACACGGTTATTTTACAAAATGTTTTCTTATCTATATAAAAGAAGCTTGGGTCTATGCAGAAAGTAATAAAAGCATCACTTGCCACAAGTAAACTGATTTATCCTGAATAACATTGGGATCGATGTGTTTTCCTTAGATGGAAATGTTATGTCCAGGTGAGGGAACTGACATTTTCGTCACACTAATGACATTTGTAGCATTGTACGATGACTTGTGGCCGGTTGTCATCTGGCGATTCTGTATTAGGCTTGAACAAAGCTTGTGAGATAATTTCCCGAGGAGTCGATCGCAGTGCCCTTTGTTTTCGTTGCTAGTGTGCACACTCACCTCTGTTCCACACATTGTGCGTCCTTTCAAAATTGTCGCAATATTTGTTACTCGGAGAATTTCCCATTGGCTACCCAGACAGCCCAAACGCCAAGGGTGAGCAGCCGTTTGGCTCCAGTGACCCCGATACGAGGACACCGAGAATCGGACATTTGCATTCCTTTGACAAGTGAAACTATGGTGTAGAACAAATGTTTATAATGTGAAATACACAACAACATTATACACGCTCATTTGATAAATCTTCTCATCGTACATAAGTTATGTTTAGGTCACGGTTTTGGCACGGGATTTTTGGTTTAAAAAAAATATCTATGAATATGTACATGTCATGTTTTGTCTGTGTAAAGAAATGTACAAATATTTACACTCCATTAGTCTTCTCGAGTGTGTGTGTGCTCGGACACTGCAGTAGCTTAACGTAAACGGTTATTATTTAAATAGGAGACGTATGCATAGATTCGATTGCGTTCATTCCACGCAAGATGTATGTTGACATGGCACGTGGTGGCCAATGCTGCACGCGTGCAATCATAATAAGCACGTGTCTGCCAAGCGTGACGCGACGTGACGCGTTCAGCTTGGAGCAGATCCACACCCGTGTTACGCGTTGCTTTTCATACTGCCTGCTGAAGTTGACTGGCGGCATTTCGTGCAGCCGCTTGGGTTTATTTCACTGCGAGCGTTGAGCACGGCCATAATGTCACTGCCATGGGATGCTTAACATCTTGTGCGGTCATCTGTATGCAATGGTGCAAGTGGAGAAAACTGAAATGCATTGCATTCTCATTCGTTTTTAAGGAACATAGCTTCTCACCTGTAATCTAACACTGTGCCCGGCGTTAACGCAAATGTAAAGATGAGAATACTGTTACAACTACTGGATGAGCAGAGTTGATGCGGGGTGAAGTTGCTGGTTTCTTCTTGATCGGAGGACGTTCTGAGAAGTTGGCCTCTTTGCATAAGTTTACTTCCAGTGGCCAAATGGTGAGGTCACATTTTATATGTTGTATTGCTCTTGCCCGCATAGTTTATGAACAAGTCACATGGCCATCGTGCTGGCTGAGGAGGCCCAATAGACCTATTGGCTCTGTAATAAACTTTTGAGGTGCCTAACCCAAGCCAAGGATTTTGCCTTTCTTGGGCTAAGTCGGGAGGGGGTGGGAGAGCATTATATTCATCTTGGGGAATTAAGGCCAGTAGAGGCCATTCAACAAAAGAACATGGGGGACTTGTAGACTGATGAAAGGGTGAGGGGGGGGCTTCACAGAAGCAGGGTGGTCCGTCTCGCAAAGGAAATCTGATGAGTTCATAATAGCGACTGGAACCCATTTGTCAAGACAACACGCTGGAGGAACCCTCACTTAAGGCTGTGTTTACCCGCGGCAAAAGCCTGCCCTCTGCATCTGGCACGTCAGCCAACACGTGATGGAAAAATCTGTCTTTTTGACAAAGCCCATAAGTCGTGGTGTTTTATTGCTAACTATAAACTACATTTACACACGTGCATTTCCCGCAATCGCGCAACGGCAGAAAACAAGTGATTTGCATTTGAGATAGTAAACGGTGTGTTTGTTGGCGACCTTTTACTGTAAAATTCTACTCCGAGGCAATTTGAGATTGCCTCGGAGTAGAAATATGAATCATTTGTTCCATTTTGACGGGTGGTGCTTTTGAATACGACCATTGCGACTGTCTTTTGTATTAGCCTTCGGAAATATGCACATAACTGCCCAATAATTTATCCAAACCTTGTCAAATGATGAGCAGACTGTACTGTTGAAATAAGTTGAGAAAATTTGACTTCTGATGTGTGAAGGTTTTGAGCGCAAGTTGCGGCCAATTAGTTACCTAAGACCTGATAAACATTTATGTGCATAGGAAATGTTAACCAATCAAAAGCGAAAACAAATTTACTTAATAACTTTAAATATTGTAATTGATTCATAATTTAACGAAATAAAGTCCCAGAGATGTTAATTTACCTCTTCAAATGGAATCGGCCATGTAGGGACTTCGCTTATACATATTGATTGCAGATACTTCATTTCGATTTGAGTTATGACAACTCATGTGAATTTAACAACCTCATGAACGACGCAATTTGTAAAGGCTGTGACAAAGTTGGTAATTCCACGTCGGTATTTTAGCCAGGGCATATTAATTTACCCCATGTAGTCAATTGAGTGGCCAGCACAGTAACCAAAAGGTAATCCATCTGCCTGTCTTTATTATCCGTGATGAACAATTTGACTATTTAATTTTTTTAATCCTATCAATGTTACTGAACGTGATCATTCTTAATAAACCAATTCGTATTTTTATTAAGGCTGTTTGATCAGCCCTTAGGGAAATTCTTAAAATCGATGTTTACAGTCACGCTTTAGGGGTCATTAAACACGACTGGATAAATCACACGCACACTGCAAACTGTTGAAACGAATGAGTTCGCAGTGGTGATACTTACTTTGAACGCTGGTTAAATTTGCTGGGCACAGAGTTTGCCTTTGTTTCAGTGTGGTGACATCGCACTGTGAGCTTTTTGAAGCATTAGCATGAATTATAACTGCATTTTTTTTTTTACAAATTGCTGGAATGGTTATGCTGGAATATAAATAAATTGTATATGTAAATATTCTTGCTTAACTAATGTAAAAAAAACCTGCATCTTGTCATACCGGATTTATAAATTACATATTCTTGGTGTGTGTTTTTTGACACGAGTATGGACTAAACCACTAGACGTTTGATTATCCATACTCGGCTTTAATCACTTGGCGTTGCTGGACATGTAATTTAAGCAAAAACAAGATGTGACATTTGTTGAGAAGATTGTCTCTATAGGTGGTTATGCTGGAACACGTGTAACTCACTGTTGCTGGAAAACAGAATCGCTCGCGTTGTTGCAAATGTGCCCATGCCGAGATTTCTAGGGGCTGAATTCTAAACCACTTGGGCGCGCCTTTCAGTCCCACATTGTTGCGTGCCCATACGCTGCATGGTAAGCAATCGTGACCGCATACGCGAACGTTTCATAATCTCGTCATGACGATGTTATTGAGCATTCCCACAAGTGATTGGCAATGGTCCAACCGGAATTGAGTTCCATTTCAAATTAAACGACCACCCAACAGAAACGAAAGGTGAAAACCTTACGATCGTGGGATTCCTTTTGGTGAAATGTATATTTTAGTCTACATTGTCATATGTTGGCGCTACCTATTTTTGAGCTATAGTTGCAATGTAGAATTTAGTGGTTAGTGATCGTTAACAAAAAAAGACGATGCATAAATTTGACTAATTTAAGAAAGTAGGACCTTGGATAGATTGTGGTTTCACTTTCAAATAAATCACGTTTTTTTACTTTCATTCTATATCCAATTGTTTATCGTTTTGACGTATGAACTTACAAGATAAATGAGTTTGAAAACAATCTTCTGGGCATAGCTGTGTATACTTAACAATAGGACTGTCATTGCACTCCTGGTGGGGTTATTTGCTGAAGTTGTTTCAGAGTTTGTGTACACACACACAGCACGTGCACCCCCCGAGATGAAAGGGGTCATTTGTTAACCAGGTGCTTGATTTGTTCCCAAAAGGACACGTAAGCCTTGTTAATGGCGCTCTGTAGGGGTACCATTTATCTTCCTGTGCTACGGACGGTGCATCCGTGTCGTGGCCTGCAAACATGGCTAGAAGGCCCAGCCTCCATTCGTGTTTCAACGCTATTTTGCGTGCAGCTTTATACTATGACCACTCCTTCGCTCTCACTCCATGTATCACAAGTCTCCAACACGCACTTGCTTGCATTCACGCAACTTCGAATGAGCCATAAAGTGTTCATGTTCCACGCAAATTTAGTGATGGTGGAGGTTGTAAACTGTTCATATTGTCAGTATTTGCAACTGGTTGGAAAGGAACATGATTTTTTTCTTCTGTGCTTTTTAAACATTTGCCAGATACAATGTAACTATGTGCCAGTGATACTGGATATCAACGGCACACACGTGTAGTAATTATAAAGTACCTTGCTGAATTTAGAGTTTGTGTGTGTGTGTGCCATGTACTCGCACTGAATTAGACTTGGTCATTTGGGAATTGGGTACCTCTGTAATGCATTATCACATTGTACATGTATGTAAAAGTTTCTGTATATTGAACTTTCTAAAAGGGTTGGTCATCTATGTGTATAAAGTGCAATTTGAGAAATAAGGTTAACACTGTTACATGCTTTGTAAAGCTGTTTTTGAAACAAACTATAACCTATTAAAGTTTCTATTCGCTATGAACTGCTTTGTCTATTAAAGAATGGTGGGTAATAATTGACTACTTTTATCACCGAGTGCACCATCCGTGCACCATCCGCACACCCTGGCGGCATTGCTGCAATCCATACAGCGTCTACTGCTACTTTGCATTGAAGGACCTCAACATTCAACGAAAACTATACGAAAGAATAATTATCAGACATGTTCTATCTTTTGCATCTCACTCCCACGCAGCTGTGTTTGTTCCCGACCACAAGGGGTAAGGAAACACGGAGCTGGCAATGCGTGTGGGGGTGAGCATCCCCGTCAAATGCCCCTAGCAACATCCCTGGAGGGCCTTTGTAAGAGCTGCCCTCAACAATTATGGGCTCCTCAGGGTTCTTGTGGAAGACGGCCTGGCAACTACCAGGGCCTTACCCCAATTCCAACCATTCTGTGCCAGAGGTCACCCAACATGAAAATTGTGACAGGATGATGACCTGGGGGCAGCCTCTCTTGTTTTAGATTTCTGGGTGTGGACACAGCAAGGTGTTCACCACTTGAAGCGTGTCAAGGGTCAGCCTAAGAAAAAAACAAGTTTTTTGGCCTCCCATTACACAATTCGTCTTACGTAAGTTGGTTTCTCAGTCCACTTATCCTGGCGAGGGTCGCAGCAGCAGCTACATTGATAAATCTTAGTTTCAATAATTTATGATCCAGACTTCACCATGATGGGGTCTCCTACATATTTTCATAAGGCAGTGTTATGGACAGTGGTGTGATGGCTTATCTGCATGTATGGGACCTGTACTGCACCAACACACAAGCCATTAAATTAGATTTTTGCAGCAAGGTATTAGCTATACTTCAGTGAGTCCACCAATACTGGTATCAAGTAGCCTATTATGCATAAACCTATACATTTTTAAAACGTTAGGGTATTCCCCCAGATTCATACTTTCATGTGAACACATTCAACCGCAATGGCTCATTTACAAGAAACAATGGCAAAAGATTAAATATGGTGTCCAGAATAAATGGGGAAAAAAAGCATGTCTGCTCTTGGCAAACCTAAGACAATGTATACATAAACATACAACTACAATTTTTCATAAAGAGCACCATCCTACAGTTGCATACAATATCCAAAAAATAAAATAAGGATTCAATATTAAACCAGCTAAATTTTATTGCACCTTTTTACAGTACAAAAAGCATTATACATGAGCTTTACATGCACAGCTTTTTATTTTTAAAGAGATGCATGTGTTTAACACTGAATTCACCAAAATCAAACCATTTATCCAGCTACATACACATTGAATGAAATACTTTCACTCAGAAAAACCAGTTCGATATACCTTTTAGTTGCCATACTACTCATGACAAGACCCCAACAGTAAGAATTAAAACCACCTTTACAATGGGGGTAAAATATAAGTTACACAATCAACCTGTGGTTTTGCATGTACACGTTGTTAAAGTACACAGATGACCTTTGGGAAACAAGTATCAGTTCATTTGAAACAGAACAGCAATTGTAACTTAAAACACACTCCTCGCTAGTGCAACACTAAACGTTTTACATTTGTTGGGTCACTGTTATAAAAGTACTATTCATAAAATGCCTACCAAGTGAGCTGAAAACCAATCGTGGTTACACAATCACTGCAGCACTTGTGTAGATTTGCAATCTTTGAATGCGTTCACACCATTGTCCTGGCACCTTGAGAAAACTATTTCAAACAGAGCTCTCACGACTGCACAAAGTTTGCGCAGCTGATAGGCGCCTCCTCCATCGTCTGAAATCGCAGTCTCATTCCGAGTGTCCCACACCTGCGGCTCTCAACTTACAGCATTTGAAACCACGATGACGCAGTGTGCATGCAAATCCGTCAAACGTCCAAATGTTTTGATAGGTTTCTTTCTACAAACATCACCTAGACCATCGGCAACAACCTCGTTTAGATTAACATAACCAATTTGAAAATTGAATATTAAAAGAATACACTCCCTGTTATTAACATATTGATATTGTAACCTCTAAATGCACCTATTATAAAATTACTGACGTTTCATTTTATTTCTGATGGCATTTTTTTCTGAAATTTTTATCTCAACATTTTTGTGGTGAATGTGGTTCTTGATTTTTACCCACGGAAACCATAACCCTACCAAGCTTACAGACTCACAACATCCAAGCTACCCATTTAGGTAAATTGTGACAAACTGTGGTTTCCTTAATGTCCGGAAGCAGCACTGATTTTACATTTAATCATCTGTTTTGACAAAACAAGACAACGCTTGCGGAGAAACGTAAGGTCAGTGTACATAATTACTCTGGTTTGCACAGGTCACTTAAGAAAATGGGAATTACTGGTTTAAAAAAATGCAACATTTCAAAACACATGTCTGGACTAAATATCCATGTATTTTCAACAAATGCTGGTCAATCAAATTAAATGTGTGTAGAATAAGACATTTCTTTTAACTGTCCATATTTTCACATCGTGTACAATTGTACAGTATCACTGAGGGAAAACAATGCGGGGAGAAGGCTTCGTATTTTTTTTAATACAACCTAAATATAATTCTTAAAGTATTTTTGTTGCCTACTTTTCCATGTTTCTTATTGGGTGGGATTGCATGTGGCACACGTTAATATCGGTATTACCAACACGAAGTACACAGTCGCAATTGAGGCTGCAAAGAAAACATGTGGACATCAAAACCAATTTCATTTGAATATATATCAAACTGACAAGTCCCAATTTACAATGCACCTTTTGGAGACCTAGAGAGCATTTAGAAGACAAAAATAAACAATAGTCCAACAGTTCTGAAAATCCAGGCTTACAGGTATTTATGAAACCCTGGATACAAAAGAAAATATTCTGAACACATTAAGTTTCAAAGAAAAACAGTGAAAATATTTTAAAATAACATTATTTTACAACGCTGCTTGCTGTGGCATGGATACATATCTTAACCTGCACTCGTGCAAACATATTCTGCTCTACATTAAAGGGACGGAGACGTACCTAGACCATGACAGAGCTTCGTAAAGGCCATTGTGTCTAGATGACGTCTCCACGGACTTGAGTCGGGGTGCTGAAACAAAGTACCTTAATTACAAAGTAATTTTCCCCACTGTATGCCAGTATATTCAGTCCAATGCTTGTTTAGTACTCATAATTGGAACAACAGTAGGATACTAATGAAATAGCAATGTCATTTTTGGTAATGCAGTGACACATTTTGAAAACAAATTAACAATGCATAGATCGTGCCTTTTTTCTCTGATAAGAATAAAGTACTGCTTATGAATTGTTTACATTGTAATGACACTTGAGAAACAACACCTGTGGTGGTAGAGAACAAGCGTGTGAACATTTTACAGCACATTGGATCGTGCAGACTGTCGAATGCTTATCGAGGCCATCCCCTAACTGTGCCACCATTGTTTATCCATATATGGCTCAGGGCTGATTACGAAAGGGGAGGTTATAGCTATGCCAGAGGGTGGTGCTAACAGGCCCTGTGGAGCAGGCATCTGTAAAGCATTCAGTTGTTCGCAGCATCGCGCTGTCTCTGCCAATTGTCATCTTCTACCCCCGAGTCACAGTCATCATCCGTCGAGTCCTTGGGAGGCGCTCTACAACACAAACGGACGGCAGCGACGTTAAAACAATACCCAGCCGACAAGAAAACGTTTCGGTGATCGTTGTTGGACACTTGATTCTACACCTCAAATAGCTCCACTTGAGCACAATTACTTCAATCCACATTGACAGCAGTAACAACAGGAACAATGTTGCAAAACGCTAAATAATGTTGGGAATAATCCAATCAGATGTACCTTATATAGGAGGGCTGCTTCTTGCCATCCACCACATCCTTGTCCAGCTGAACTCCCATGATGTCCGAGCACGGCACATCAAACATAGGATCAAGCAGCAGGGTCTCCTGCAAATACATGCACGACATTTCAAGTATTGGGAATGCACAGAACAAATGGCTTGTTTTATTAAAACATTGCAGCTTATTTAATTATGAATAAAACAGTGAATTGAAAATACATTTATTTTTCACTCAAATAAAGACAGTGACTTGACCATTTTAGTTTGGGTCCACCCCATGCGTTACTTACACTGCAGTTGGGGCCAGCCAATACGGCACGATGCTGTGCGTGTCGCAGCCAAAACATATTGAGAGAAACCTTCAATGCCAGAGGGCTTTTACATCCTGCTTCCATTCACTCGGCAGCAGCTTTTAAACAAGTCCGAGCAAGACACTATTTTCATAGCTTCATGTTACGTATGTGTGTTGAACTTCTTTCGCACGTAACCAAACGTGTTAATCGGAGGTGCGTACGACCTTGCACAGGCGCTCGCCGGGATCCCTCACCATGATGGAGCGCAGACCTCGTGCCCCGGTTTTCCGGTCGAGCGCCATACGAGCGATGGCATGAAGCGCGTCCGTCGACACGGTGAGTTCGCACTGCAAAGACCAAGACAAACAAAGATCCCCCGTATAGCCTTAACCAACAGTTGGGACAAGAGCTGTTAGCGAGTAGCACCTATGGAGACTGGCACTGTATACGAGGGGGTGGGTTGCCAGCACCACGCCCGACCGCCTTTTTCTCCCAAGTGGTGATGTTTACACACCACACCAAGTATTCATTTGAGGCAAGAGTCGACACCTCGGGTTCAGATAATCATCACTTGTGTTGACTGTGAGCGGGAATCGAACCCGGGTCACCAGGTTGGCAGCGCAGTGCGCTAACCTCTGCGCCACCGCTCCGAGCGCGCGCACACACACACACACACTAAACCCGCCGCACTACATTCACACGCACACACGGGCGAGCACCTTGTCCATGCTGAAGAGCGCCTGGTACTGTGGGATGAGCGCGTTGCGCGGCTCCGTGAGGATGCGCACCAGCATGGCCTCATCGAGCGAGTGCAGCGGCACCACGACAGGGAAGCGGCCCACGAACTCGGGGATCATGCCGAACTCGATGAGGTCGCGCGCCTCCACGTTGCGCAGCAGCCGGTCGCGCTCCTCCTGCTCCTGCACGGCGCTGCCGTCGCCGCTCGCGCTGCCGTGTGCCCGCCCGGCGTCGGCGGCCGCGCGCCGCCCAGCGCCCACGCTCACCGTGCCGAAGCCCAGATACTGCCATCGGGAGCGAAGACGTGACGCAGTTTACAAATGGAGCACACGCGTGACACACATGGATGACACAAATGCCGACATCTAATCGCATCACCGTCATGAGGTTAGCCGGTGTGACAGCATTATTTGAATGAAATAAAATTGACGTGTATTGAGGGTACATAAAAGGAATTCCAATGGTGCCGCAAGACATCTCACGATTAGAAACGGTCGCAGCTTTCAATTCTGTCTGGGTCGGCCTGGTGACATTATCTCTCCAGTACGGTGACAATATCTCTCCCCACTCGTGCTTATCTTCCCACATTCTCTCTCTTATCTCTCTATTTCCCGACACTCGCTTGTATCTGCACGTATTTTCGTTCCACCTTGGTCTGCCTTTGGGACTCTTGCCAGTTCATGAATCCTCTGTGATAGACTTAACTCCCTACAACCCCTCAAGGTCATGCTACTGCGGCGAGCTCTTCATCAACTCATGATTGTACTGTATTTAGTTCTGCAATTGCCAAGTTCTGTGAACAGACCCATTTAACTAGGTTAAAAAAATTCACCACTTACAAGAATTATCATTGGGATTTAAAATTATTTTTACATAGAAAACTTAGAAGCTTCTGTAACAAAACTAAAATGTTTTGTCGAAAGTGCTTTACAGGGTGGTTTTTGAATGACATTGGAATAGCAGTATAACTTTACTGTCTGAATAAAACATTTTCTGCCACAATGTAGACTTGTGATGTGAATAGGTGCTCGCATTGGACTGGTTGTGTTATTTCCTGTGAAGGCTTAAATACCTGAACTCAGGAAAAAAAATAAAAAATTTGCTCCACGGTATCCATCTGTAAACATGTTTTTGGAAATAGAGCATTAGCTATTGAACAATAAGACGATTATGATGACAATTTAAATAAGTACAATTATCTATCCAGCGCCATATTTACGAGAAAATGCTGCAAGCCCAAGACCTGCGGTGATTCTCCTGTGCAGAGGTTCCAGTAACTTTCAATCCGAGTCCCAAAGGCTGTACACGCAACGATGACGTTTAAAAAATGTTTTTTTACATTTTGCGAGTTGGGATGGACCTGCGATGATGGACACGCGTGGCTTGGTGGTTAGCCTACTGCGCTTTAGGACAGTAAACGCGTACAACTAAAGCAATGCGTTGCTGTAAACCCGCCCTAGAAATGACAGTTCACGCAAGAAAATCCCAACGCATTACACAACGACACGGTGCCTCACAGCGGAGACTGTGGAGCCAAGGTAAATAAATACCTTCTCATTCTTGCGGCGGCTAATGATGCGGTCGAGGCCGTTGAAGGCACCGGAGGCCACAAACAGGATGTTGGTGGTGTCCACCTGCACAGTTTCTCCACGCAGCTTGCGCGAATTCCTCTCGGGGACGTTCACCACCGTCCCCTCCAGCATCTTGAGCAGGCCCTGGTGAACGTGCGACGCACAGACAGCAGTCGGCATCAGGCTGTTTTCTCGCCGCACACAGTCGTGTGGTGTGCAGTCTCGGAATAAAGCGCTCGAGCAACCAGAAACACGGCAATGCAGCAATTCGTTGTGTACAATCAATTATTGTGCTCTTGATATCTGCACGTGTGAGAATTCTTTAGGATAACCATAGGACTGGTATATTCAGACTAACGGAGAAAACAAAACTATACCAATGAGATAATATATCATCAGGATATAGATTACATGGCAAATACAAGACAAAAAATTATCAATCATTGACAATTCATCACAGAATCACAACATTAGAGTAGGAGCAAGGCTGTTTACATCACAACACAGGTACAGAGAGGTCCCCTGTATAGCCATACTGTATTCTTGGTTCTTTCGGTAAAGTCACGTAGATATAAAATAAAAATATATAATAATAAATAAAAAATTAAAGCAAAAAACCACGACGTTTTGAACACAACACAAGCAGTCTTCATCAGGCGGAGAGAAAAGAGGGGACAAGCCTCCAAATGCAACTGCTTATATAAGGGTATATCATGGGACCTCCTTTGCCAGTACCAAAATATGAGAATAGGTTTTCCCCTTTTATCTAGCAACAAACAGGTGTTAAGATGTTAAAACACTCGTGCTTATAAGGGGCTTTCAAAGTGAGCAAAGCTGTGCGGCCTAAACAGCACGGGCGGGGCAGCCAGCGCCAATGAAGGAGCAAAGCACCACAAGTACAAGGAAAGCGAGAGCCAAGAATATGAATTCCTGCAGTCACGAAAGTTTTAAGTCAAAATGTAGCCATGCTGTCATGAGGCTAAGTTGACCTTATGGAGGCCCAGGACAAGTTCAGATGATCCTCAGTGGTCTTGGCCATGAGCGAAAATCAAACTCGGGTCACCGGGTTCAAAGTGCCGCGTGCTAACCGCTGCACCACCGCTCACACACACACCTGCTGCACACCCTCCCCACCAACATCCCTGAGCTGGTGGATGCCTGGCACACTGCCGATCTTGTCCACCTCGTCCAGAAACACGATGCCTGTGGGAACACACAGCAGAGGAACATCGGCTTAGAAGCTTCAGGACTGAAGCTTTAACAAAGACAAGCCACCGTACAACTAAATACATATTGTCATGTTGCATGTTCGTTGATTTTGTCTTCATGATAATCTGCCCAAAAGTCCTGTGAACACACCGTCTCAATCGGCTTTAATCCGATTGTTAATAGGTTTGGTATTTTCTTCAGATAATAGTTTTCATTGTATTAATAAAATTGCTTTTTGGAATAAAAGACTTTTACATCACCTACAGGGCTTAGACAAATATGCAGTATATATTTTCACAGTCTAAAATCTAATTAAAGCCACCCATAACTTCCAACAATAAATGATAAAATTGAAAATGTCCACTTCTTGTAAACTGCTTGAACCAAAGTTAACAATATTGAATTCAAAAACCGTTACGGTCATTTCAATGACTACAGCAAATAAACCAGAACCAATGCCAAATGTAAAACAATCCACAACGCAGAGAAAACTTTCCATTGGTGCCCACAAACATTAATAAGTTGACTATTTTGTCTAGAAAATACCAGACTATAATTAAAAAAATGCAAATAAGACCACACAAAGCTGCATAAGCAACTTAAACATGGATAAGTAACATTTCATACGTTCAAGTATTCGCGATGCAACTCTTCCATTTTATATTCTTGCGTATGGCAATACTTGAAGGAGCTATGTGTCATGTCTAGGTCTGCTAGCCACGACCAGAGGCCTTTGGGGGAGACTTCGCGCAGTTTTCATATTTCTTTAGAACTAGAAATACTTACGACATGCTGCAACAAGCAGTTACAAAACTTTAAGGATTTTTGTTCTGGATGGACATAACCTTTCACTAGCTCATGGCTAAAATGAATTTAGCAGTAGCACAAATTGATCTATTTAATGTCATCCATTACGTTAACTCATAAACATTGAGTTATAATTTGAGGTACACAGGAAACTTATTTAGGCCATCATGTCAACAAACACAAGGGAAACTGCCCTCTGTACAGCACGTTAATGAACTGATTTTCATACCAATTGCATAGCGCGCGGAGGAAATAATTCAGGAAGAGCGGCGAGTTGTATGTATGTTGAACTTATTCCGCACCCGTCCACCGTACGTAGCCAACCGTGCTAATCGGAATTAGAGACACTGTGGGCACATTGCAGTGACCAATGGACTGAGCAGGAAAGATCCAAACCGAATGACAATGAGGTGTGCGTACGAGCACCCGAGATGCCGATATGCGATTACGGTGGTGCACAGACGCATGGGATGACAGGGAAAACTGGTCAACGGTACGAGAATCGGCGGCTCCAGTGTGCTTGGCCATGCTGCAGCAAGACCTGCTACCTTGCTGTGCCTTCTCCACGCTGTAGTTTGCATCCTGCAGCAGCTTGGCGATCACAGACTCGATGTCTTCTCCCACATAACCCGCCTGTGTTAGCGTGGTGCAGTCGCAGATGGCAAAAGGAACGTCCAGGCATCGAGCCAGCGTCTGAGCCAGCAGGGTCTTTCCTGCATAGAAAAGTCGTGCGAAGGGGTGGAGTTTGTTCTTCATCAGCGGAGAGCACAATCATATGTTTGCATTACTCTACTGTCAAAATAAAAGCACACGATTCGGGGCACAACACCAATGCATGTGATAACACACACCTACATTTCATCTGTATACAGTACAATCATCTGCTCCACAGTACAAGTATAATGTCGAAGAGTTTATAAGAAACACCGATTCGGTCACAAACTGTTTAGCACCTGCTAGCCTTCTCTGCACACGTCCACAATCATGCAGGGATTGCCAACTGGGCATTATTAAAATGACTCTTGTGGATGGCGGTATTGAAGAATAAGACACTTCTCTGTACTATACATTCCTGATTTCCATTAGCATTAGATACGTCAGTAAATTAGCATTGTATAACACATTTTAATACAATGCTTAACACCATGTAGGAGCAAGAAGTGATTAATAAAATCAGTAACAGCCCAAGTAACATGGCTATTTCTCAATTCAAGATGCACGCAATGCATAGCCATTACATTTACCTGTGGATGTTTTCCTTATATTTTTGCCAATTAGGAGCACGAGAAAAACAATTCAGAATTACACTTTTAGAGTGCAGCACCAGCAGCACGACCGCACCTTTGGCCTGGATACAAGCAGCATTCACCTTTTCCCGTTCCGAAATGACTGCAGGTTGCAGGGTGGGTCCCGTTCACCGCTGAATCTCTGAACGCGCAAGCGGTTCAGCGTTAGTTTTATTTAGCGGCATAGCGCCATTGTTTTTAAAAGATATTGTACTGACCGCAGAGAACTGTAGCGACACGACCGCACTCTATATGATAGCTGGCACCAAACCGTGGCACACGCCCTCCCGCATGGCCTTGTGGGAGCCTCGGTACCGATAAAGTAATTTATTTTAGTTTTCCTTCCGGTTCCGTTCCGATGACGTACACGTATGGCATCGGAACAGGAAAGGGTCGAGGTAGAACTACTTCAGCACGAGCGTAGACTCCAAACAACAGACCGGAGCCGGTGGGGCCGAGCAGCACGATGTTGCTCTTCTCCAGGCGGATGTCGTGCGTGGGTGCGTCCAGCACGTCGCTGGCGCGGCGCTCGCGCGGCGGAGCCGGGCCCCCCTCCGGCCCCTTGTCTCCTGCTGCTGTCGCTGCTGCTGCAGCCGCCGGGGGCGCCCCCGGCTGCTGTCCGGTCCCCGCTGCTGCTGCCGCCGCGGCCGCCGCCGCCTGCTGCTGCGCTGACGCCCCCAACGCATTGCTGTGAAGGCCGATCCCAGAGATCTGCAACAGCTCTGCGCATGCCGGGGAGAGGGGACGGAGGAGGTAAACGTGCTCGATGTGGTGCTCCACCAATAAGACAACGCCTCTGCTGCACCTTTTGGTGCGGAATCTGTGAGCAGTGGGAAGTGATTTTAGATACATTTTCTGTGTAAAGTGTTTTTTTTTTTTTACGAAACTTTATTCCAGTGAGCAAAGGGAGGTTTGGATGCTTTTTTGTAGCAAGAGTAAGCAGCATTCGTGCCTTTTATACTGAAATGTATGGGTGATGTTAATCCTTTACCTGATCAGAATGATTTTGATTTACCTACTGTTTTGCACTGAAATTCCAATATTGTGTTTGACCTCACAGCAAATATTAGTATGCAAACAAGTATAAACAGCATACTAGATTTCTTATTAACTGTACTATAAATGGGCACCAATTCTCTCGATAAGCATGTTTTGCGGTTAGTTAACTTTTTGAACACATTTTCTATGAAAACCTTGATGACGACTGTAAACGGGAAAATGTATCTATTTTGCATTTCACACGTGGGGAGAACCCAGAGTGAGTGGCGGCCCTAAGCAAACTCGCGCTGCATGTAAAACTGGCTGTGAAAACACGTTGTGAACACGCACACCACACACATACACAGAACAATATCTGCAAGTGTTAAGAGAGAAAAAAACCAAGACATGTTTAGAAAATCACAGCTGTTAATATTTTGAAACAATTGGAAATGATAATTTTATTAAAAACAGAATACAGTAAAACTTTGGATTGCGAGTAACTTGGTCTGCGAGTGTTTTGCAAGACGAGCAATTTAAAAAAAAATATTAATTTTATAAACGAGCTAGCTCTTGCAATATGAGTAGTACGTGTATACGCTTTGTCTGCCGAGCGTCACGTGATCACAACTGATATACGAGTGCTTTGGATTACAAACACGTTTCCGGAACGAATTATGCTCGCAATCCAAGGTTTTACTGTACGCAGACAGTTCATGTCGTGAAATAGAAGGGAATATTAATTTGGCTTGGCAAGTGTTTCTGCATGCACAAAGAACCGTGAACATCAGGCTGGGCGCTGGAAGCAGAGAGCAGTATTCAAGGCAGTGTTGCTCTTCAGGGTAAGGCTTTTTCCTAACTCTGAAGAGCAATGACTAGATTAGCAATAGGACATTCCATCCACGGCATAATAATTGCAAGAAGGCCATGTCTCATCACTAACCAAACAATCTATCTTTAAACTGAATCTAATCAGTCACTGTAAGGGTTTTATTTGAAGCATCACCCAAGACAGTCAAAATATCCCAACACAGACTGCACTTGAACTCTGTTATGGGTGGGCATGGTTTGTGGGGGGTACTTCTTGGCACAAAAACAGGACCCTTGCATTCGTGAAGTCTTTCTCACAACTACGCTGCATACACTCACGCATGAGGAATAGTCAAAACATTACCAGAACACTTACTAAAGATGTCGTGTGAAAATATTTATCCAGTATTATATACATTTAAGTATCATGAACAAATGATTAATGTTCAGAAATATTTTATATTTAAGCATTTTAAAGTATACAAATTTACAATGGTCAATTATTGGGAGGGGGGAGGCATGCATCTGAGACAGTTTTGGAAATGTACACCATCTTGGCAGAGACTAATCGAAACAAGGTTGACTTTTGTTGACCTCTCACAAATTGGCATTGATGTTATTAACAATGGAAGGATGATGCACAGTTGATCTCAATAAAGATTCAAATTAACCATCTTTCACTTGTGAACATCCATTGTGGCAGTTGGGATTTAGACTTAATATCTGATTAATTATAGGTAAGGAAAGGTCTCACCAAAAACATGCTTCTACAACCATAGTGTGATTTAATCTCCAGACGTTACAACAGCCGATCAAGAGAGAGTTTAAATCCTGTCAGCGCACACACGTCGGTTTCCAAGAGTTAATAATGATCCTCATAATCGGTTAACCGTAGGTGCATGGACTGGCAGGAATTAAAAGGTCTCTTCTCTTAAACGACTGTCAAAATATCTGGAGATTAAAAATCTATGGTTAGAGAAGCGTCTATCTTCTTTGTGAGATCTTTATGTACAAACCGTTGTTTATATATAAACTTTGTATTTTGAGTTTAAATGCTCTAACCTGAGATTACTCATCAGCCTATATTATTCATATGGCTGACCATTTAAACAAAATATATTGTATGAATATGCACATTAAATTGTTGCATTTATATACTAAAACAATACATATGGCCTTTGCAGTTGTGATTGGTAGTTTTGGACAATCCGAAAGAATACTCCTGCTGCGAGGACAAAATTAAACTCAAAATAACACCGAATATTATTCATATATGGAAATAATTTTACTGTTTAAATAAGCAATGTTTTTTTACTACCAAGCAAATGTTTTAATAATTGCATCTTGTTTTTAGTTTTTGCTCGTGACTGCCATCTTTCACAAGATATGTGGATTGTTTTTACTATATAATAACATTAGCATGGTCAATAGAAACAAAGCTTGCAAGGACAACATTTTAAGAAGACCAAAAACCTTACAACAAAAATACGAAGCTGGAAAATCCAAGTCACCAATTACAATCACAGGACATAGTTATGTAAAATCAGCATTTCCAATAGGCAGTTTATATCTGTAATATTGGGCTGGATAATTACCACCAAGGACAGTATTTAAAAATCAATGTTCACATTTTAAAATTTAGGATTTCTCACGTAGAGTTCCAAATTTTATTTCAGCACTATATAAAGTTAAAGAATATCTCACCCTGAAATGTGAGCTGCTGTTGCTGCCCTCTCCATCCTAGCCTGCCCTTCCTACTGCTCCTATACCTTCCTGACACACAGGGCACATTTCATGCGCCCTCAACAACGGCAGAGGCAGTTGGTATTGAAATGCTTCACACGGCCTTGGCACATACAACACTTAACACCTGGGCTTGCTATGATTAGATTTTTGTAACATTTAAATGTTACCAGTGATTTAGACTGAAGGTGGGGTCAGATGTGGCAGCAGAAATATCCACATTGTAAATAGGTCGACTGGTATTTTTCTGTCTTTGTTTTTTGCCCATGTAGACCTGCATTTAGATAGTTTGTGACAGGGTCAATCCTTATAATTTATTTCCTCAGTTGTAATATGCACTTAAAACGTTACAATATCCTATGTCCAGGGTTATAAACATGGGAGAAAATGTGTGCATATGCATGCGTTTGTCCTTGTAAGTATTTAATGAGGGATAACAACATTGTGTTCCAAGTCACATTAACGAGGCTATGTCATTAGTTGCGGCATCACATGCCAATTACATCGTGCCTTGGCCGGCAAGGAAAATACTTTAAATGCTCGATTAGGTCACAAAGTTTTGGCCAACCAATTCATAAATTTGTCTGGCTTTCCGCAGAGCCAACTCTACAATAGCAACGGTACTTTATTTAAAAACGTAGTTTATATTGGATAATTTTTACAAGTGTTAACAAGTGTTAACATAGATGAACAGATTTCATGAATCCATGCTTTCAAGTCAAATATAATAATCCCAAAATTGTGACCTCCATGTTTGTTGCAAAAGGATACTTTTCTAAATGCGTAGACTAGAGTTTTATAAGTAAAGTGTGGGTCTGCTGAAGCCAGCATGGGTTAGTGGTTATCTCAATTGGTAGTCCTGAGCCAACCAGTGCAAATTTCACATTTCTATGGTCAGGGCAATACATTATTTTTTGTCCACAAAAACTATCTGAAGTATGTAAATACTAGCATTAACATAGGTCTATTTTAATTCCATATGCTGTGATGATACTTAATCATGCGCACAATTGTATACACCAAATCGATCAAAAATAGTCGAGTCGTTTCTCAAGACACTGCTGAATGAAGGCTTCCCCGACCATGTTGGTCATGGAGGTGGGTTGTTATTTAGCCATTTTCCCACTCTACTTCACTGCGGAGTGACCTCACCTTTATTAAGAATGTAATCGTAGCAAGCCACAGTTCGCCAACATAACTCATTAGCAACAAATACAACAACAAATACATGTGTTTTCAATTTCACGAAATGTAAAAATATTAACTTGGTTAATTGCAAGATGAAAATAAAAAAGTCTATTTTGATACAGTATACACTGTAATGTGAAGAGTTACCAAGTAAAAACACCACACTTGCGTCAACCAAATGCACACCGTGCTTGGTGTCCTAAATTTAGAAGAAAAATATCAGCACTGTTTACCCATATCTAGTTCCATAAAAGTGTTTTCTTTCGTGCTATTATAAAAGCAGCAAAAGCAGTTGTTAGAGAAGCAAGAAATCAGAAGGGTCGTTAGCATTTGCATTTGGCAGGGACAAAATTTGGCAATTGTTTGGGGTGTGGGGTATGTAGGTAACAAGAACTAACCATATTTACATGCACGCATGAAACAACACAGAGCATTAAGGCAAATGGCTTAAAACCAAAACATGTAGAGTTAAGTGATTTAATAGCACTTTGGATCATCCAGTTTAACCTGCTGCACGACATTAGCTTGGCATGGCCAATTAAAAAAACTGTTTAAAAGTGTCTTTAGATAAGAAATGAGTCTGAAATATTTCAGATTAAATTGCTACTCTATAAACACGTGAATTGTAGATGTCCAACTGCAGCAACTGGCAGGTGCTCCAGAATAGTTTTTGCTCCACGAGTTTGAGCTGCTGCATTGTTGTCATATTGTGTGGGCAGGGCACTCGTTTCACCGCTGTCTCTGAATGGAAAGGATGGATGGGGAGGAGTTGGTGGGAGGTGAAGTGGAAGGGGACCACTTACTTGCAAACCTGTACTCATCCTCTCTTCTCCTCACTTCGAGCTCTACAGCAGGGAGGGGGAGAGAAGCAAGCAAGCAAGCGGACATTCGGAAGAGGAAAATGAGACAATGAGCCCTGATCCTGTATACACTTGTCGGACACGGAGCCTCAAACAGCCCTTATTAATAGAGATCCGCAAACTAATTCCAAAAAATCAACAACACTTTGGTGTCCAGTGATAACCAAATTAACACACTTATTAAATTAAGGTAATATTTAAATGTGGCATTTATTCCTCTGTCTCAAGGACATTGACAGAGATGAGAATATCCCCAAGCTTATTTTAGACGCAATGAGTTACACTCATTGGGACTGTTGACAGAAACAATCCAGTCCCTCTACGCAAGGCATTCCAACTAATTGCTTTCATTTTTCCACGACTGACGTAAGTTGAAATTGAAGATTTAATTTGTAGCCAGATGCATATTTCCCTGCACTCAATTTTATTTTTCTAAGCAGAATTTTGCGTAATGGAGGGTTTTTTCTTCTTCAAGATTACTCCGAGTAATGTATATTTAAACCAAGTTTACGTTGCCACAACCTAAAAGTTAGCTGATCATGGTCAACGGAGCAAATTAATCAGATTCTTGAACAAATTACAAGAGTTCTCAGATTAAATTATTAGAGCTTAATAATGTGATAAATACGCACTGGCTGTTTCTGGCTGTAGCCGTGTTGGACATTCCCTGTGACTTTAAAACAGGACCCGTGCTATGCTGGGAGAGTGAATTTGACCAAAAGATTGAGTGTTGGCCAATGTTTATGTAGGTCTAATAGAAAACAAGACAGTAGAGCAGGGACTAAAGCAGAGGGTTATGCGGTTGTGCTACACAGACCATTGTGTTTTAGGGTTGTACCAAGTGTTTATTTGGCATGAAGTCCGACGTTTCATTGACCATGCTGGGAGCTTCCTCAGACTGAAAACGCCCCATCAATTCAGTTCCTGCAGAAGTGCCCAGCAACATTGCGTTTATTTTATACGTTACACGGATAATCCTATTCATCTAGTTTTCCGGTTTTTTTTCTTAAGGGATTATGCATGGTCCGCGAGCACAGCAATTAATTGATTTTGGGTGGTATTCTTTTGCCGATGGTGTGATCCCAACTCAGTCTCTTTCCCCCCTGCTCGTATTCTGGTAGGACCTGGGTGCCCCCCCATGATGCTAAATGCCAATGTTACCCACAGCTAGTTTTTTTTTATCCTTATTACAACCATGCACATTGACGCCTTACTTATGGACTTACAAAACGTCGTGAGAATTGTTTTATTATGTTTTATTTTTATTATTTTATTACTTCCCTTCTACGTGACTTTACCGAAAGAAACAAGATGTATCCCTATTCAGTAAACACATTATTTTGTCCAAAAATTTCCAAATATGCGTTAAATTTTTGATATAATGGCAACACTGAAAAAGTAGCTTCTTTCAACTCGTGAATTAGCTACTGAATAATGAACATGTGCAGGTGGCATTACGCTACCACAAAAACACACAAGCCAAAGCCACTCGCCGAAACATTGCATAGGCCGAGAGCCATTATAAACATCAGTGGAACACAATCTGCACCACTCTAAATATGAAGTATAAGTCAAGCATGTCTGCTGAGAAAAATACTTCTACCCGTACCAAGATGTGGACTTGGACACACAAGGAAGCACTCGGGATAGGTTTTGTTAACGAATCAAAATGGAAAGTATTGAAAAGAAAACACAACATCAAAGTCTCGTGTATTTTTTGTTCAACGGGCAAGTCAACACGTACATTAATGGGCAAAAAATAATTGTTTTGACCTGACCATGCAAATACGACTTTTATTCATGGGTCACCATGCTAAGTTCAAGATGGATTAACATACATCAGTCTGATGGTTTAACAAACGCCAGTACGTTTGACACTAGGAAGTGTTCAAACTTTAAATATTTAAGTTGATAACAAAGCTTCATAATATACAGTCGAATACTTATGTATATACTTTCTATGCGTCTAAAAAAGACAAATATTTCGGTTCACATTTTTAAGTAGATTTCGATTTAAAGCTTTCGTGAGGGATTCATATTCTTGAATATTTTAAGTAGTTTAAGAAATATCAGTAACGTCAACTCTCCGAGCTATCGTCCTGCACACGATGGTGCGCTGCTAGCTGCAGTGTTTCGTAAGGGTATTTTATGCAAACAGAACTAAACCAAACAATATTTTTCTATTTTACCAGGTAAGGCCCACTTGCTGGTGTGCTGACATTTATTGGGGAAGTCAAACGTGAGCCTGAGATTGAGTGAATGGGGGCCATGTGGTCCACGAGGCAAAGACAAACACTTCAGAGTTAGACCGTGAGCACGATGCACACGGGATTTGGTTCGTGCTTTGTCATTACAAAAACTAAAACTATTCTATATTTTACCAAGCAATGCCCACTGAGCTACGTAGCTCTTTTCAGAAGCGATCTGGCCACAAATGATAGCTTAACGAAGTGGCTTATCACGTGGAAATTCATAGCAGCCAAATACTCTAAACGCATGTTTCTAAAAGTACAGGGAAAACTGGAGGAACCAGAGAAAAATCCAAGCAACCACGGGGAGAACATGCAAACTCCAAATATATAGGCATCATGGTCAGGATCAAACCTACGTCATACCAGGCGAGATAGTTAACATCTCGCCACCGTGACGAGATGTTAACTATATGAATGATAAAAATGAAGCAAATAAAATAATAAGTTAAAGTTAGGAATAAAGGGCATTTTCTAACCATTTAACTCAGGTAACCAAAAGAAATGTCATTCATAATCATTAACCTCATTTGATGGCATGCGTTGCAAAATTGCACACTAGAGGGCGCTCTATAACTAGAAAAAGCGCTCAGATGCAACGGAGGTGTCCAAATGTTCAAACTAAAACTAAATTATTTTATTTGACCGTATAAGGCCCACTGATAAAGCTCTTTTTCAGAAGCGACCTGGCCACAAATGAGAACTCAACGAAGTGGCTTATCACGTAGACATTTCTAGCAGCCTAATTCTGTTTTTAAACGTGGAGGGAAACACCGGAGGACCCGGAGAAAAATCCACGCGGCCACGGCGAGAGCATGCAAACTCCAAATATGAAGAAACCAGGGTCCGGATCAAACCTACGACCTCCTGTATATCAGGCGAGGTAGTAAACAGCTCACCACCGGTGGTGCAAGCTTCTTAAATCCCCCACCTCTGTCCAACTAGAAATCTAACGGGTACACACCCACTGTTAGTCACTAGGCAAGTCACGTGTGACAGGGTAAAGTGTGGGGACTCCCACCTCTTCCAAGATGTCAGACCAGAGTGAAAGAGTAGACCAAGTTCCCTCTAGAGTGGCTCTATAAAGCTCCCTCTAATAAAGGCCCTTATGCCAGCAGTGACATGGGCAAGCAGTGACAAAGCAAATGTGGTGTTGTACCTTTATTTTATTTTACCGTATTGTTTTCGGAAAATATCTTAGGAACAAGCCCACTTACAGAGGTGTTTTTTTAAAAGAGCCATCTCAGCAGCCCAACTCTTTCTAACTTAATTTAGAAAGCAGTTATTCAGCTCATGTGTAGGTCAACAAAGCCAAAGGTTAAAACGAATCCTGCATGACAGTAAACTGAACGTTGTATTACGCTGTGGTGATGACAAGGTACAGGAACATCACGATAAGGTGTGATGGTTATTCTCAACAGCTTGCTGCAGCAATCTCGGGACAATCCAGTGTTGCTTGGGGGCTGCAGACATAAACAACTGATGATTATATGGCTGCAGGAAAGACTCTTCTCTCAACGAGTGCAAATGTGTGCACACCTCCGACACTTGCCTATCCATTATTAAATTTCGATTTAAAGCTGCAGGGATTCATATTCTTGGTTCTTTCGGTAAAAGTCACGTAGAAGGGAAATAAAATTGTTAAATTTTTATTATTTTCCTTCTACGTGACTTTTCCGAAAAAAACAAGAATATGTATCCATTATTACTTCACCCGAAAAAAAAGTGTACGAGGCCAGCTGCTGCTGTCATGCACAACTACCTAAAATCAGTTGACAGGGCGTCTGTTACGTGAAGCACAGTGCAGAGTTCTGCATGCTGGTCTCACGGCCGTAAACATGCAGATACTTGATAAAGCATCCAGTGGCTACGGCATGTCATGCGTAGAAAACAAAAACTATAAATAACCTAACATTCTCGTGGTACAAGAATATTAAGCACCACTACATGTTAAATGACTGTCTATCGCTACATACCCAGACTAATAAATCACACAACAGGCTCGACTTAAGGAACCCGTGGGGTTCAACTGGGTTTGAGTTCACTCACGTGTCTGAAAAATGTGGGTCGAAGGGAAACAGTGGGGTCTGTACCCACTCATTGCAGACATGTAACCTTGGCAAGTATCCCGCTGATATAAATCTCTCTGCTCAGCTGCGCATGTGCGGAATGTTTGCTTGAAAATCTTTTTTTATGCACTTCCCTTGAGGGATACAAACAGTTTCACAAAATAACATGTGTACAGAAACCCGTCATTCATGTCGAACAACATATTCCTTTCAACAACTTAAACCAAAGCAAAGCATTATCAGCAGCTGGACAACAAAGGCACTTGATTTATGTGTTTACGGAAACCACTTCTGGAAATGTATGCCAAAAGCTGAGTCACAGAATGGAGTTCTGCTTAATATTTATACTTTTAATTCTACGACAAAGCAGTTACTATTCTTTGGGTCTTTCGGTAAAGTAATTGTTTGCTATTTTCTTTCAACCTGTCTACGTGACTTTACCGAAAGACCCAAAGAATATGAATCCCTAAAGTCATGAAAGCTTTGAGTCAAGATTTAAAGCAGTTATTGTTTGAGAAAATAGTGCTTTTTTGTAAAAGGTGACCCATTCTTCTATAGTTGGAGAATGCAGATTACAATGTGGGGTCATAAATCGCTGAAAGTTTACATGAATTTGATTTAATAGAATACACCTTTGTTTCTAAATTTCAAGGAATTTTGTTCAAGGTCACAAAGGCAATCAATGATTATCAATACCCAATGCTTCCTGTTGAACAATCAGGAAGACCATTCAACTATATATTTAAGGATACTGTACATCCGTTTTCCGTTTGATTTGCATAGGCTGGCTAAGCTGGTAAATTTAATACAATCGGTTCGGTATGTTAATTGTAAGTTTTGTATTTGAGCTAGGATTTGGGTGCACAATATCTTTCCGATGGGTTTTACAAAGTTATAAACGTATAACGATTGTGTGTGCTGGTAATTCCGCAAATAGATCATTAGGTGGCTGTGGGATCCAAGTTGCTGAGTCAATGCACTGCTGAATCAAGGAAGTGTGATTTCTGGGCGTTGCTTGAGCATAATACTTCACTGGTCAGTGTGGCTGGCGGGGCCCATGTCAGATTCAGCTATCACTCGCCATTTATAACGACGGTCGTGAATAGACGTGATACTCAAATTACCGGGTCCGTCCCTCAGTGTGCCGACTAATAAGTCACATGGTACTCAAATATCCTAAAAGACCAAAATAATTTCAGCTTTTAAGCCCCCCAAAAATTATAAAACCAATGGGGGCGCATCAAATGTTCCATTTGCATGTTGTGCACAGTACTTAAATAAGACGCAAACGTTGTGCCCCACTTTGATTATGGCCTCGCTTAAGATTAATGTGACAAAGACAAGACAAACACTAATATAATCAATAATGATATAATCACGCAACTTTTACCAATAAACTATTCTACATTTACTTGAATCGCCGGAAGAAACACATTTAATTTAGAAACCATCTAAAAACACAAACACCTCAGAATGCTGTACACAGTGACTATATAATGATAAACAGTACAGAGACATAAAACCAAACAAAAGGAATTAGTTGGGCAAATAGACCTGTGATGTGACACACACAAGCTGTTTCAACAAAATATTAAAGAAGACAAAAAACAACTCCCCACACACTTGTGCATTCTGTGAACCGGATCATCTTGATGGCAACATGCCTCATGACAAAATCTACCATCACAAATAACAAAGACATCTCTTGCTTAGATAAAATTGTTGCCAGAGGCTATCAACAAGCACATCATCATCGCAGGAGATGAGCCCAGCCACTGTTTAACCATGCACCACTCACCTTATGAGTAGACTGAGAAAATGTCTTTATTAATTTACGAGGGAAATTTGTCACTGTTACGTATGACAATGAATCAACATGAAACATAAAGCAATGTGCAGATCAGCACAACCCTTGATCACGCATACACTACTGCTTGAAGGCCTCCCAATGAAGTGTTGGGTGATGGGAGTTTGTTTCGACCATACTTCAACACGCTGCTCAGGACTGGTTCCGATATCACTCGCCACTGATTTCTAGTCGTGGCTGGGAGTCAATCTCAGGTGAAATGGTTCGTAGGTTCAGTGCGTGAACCGCTTCGCCTCCACTCGCCCCCCCCACACACACACACACACATTTGTTTAGATACACCAGGGGTCGGCAACCAAAATAACAAGAAGAGCCATTTCTTTCCAATTCGGTACAAAATTCAGTATTTCAAGAGCCGCAATGCATCTGAGTACATACTGTACATACGTACATATCGTCAAGAAGCAGCCCGTAAAGAGCCGCATGCGGCTCCGGAGCCGTAGGTTGCCGACCCCTGAGATACACAAAGGCTTACCTCGCGGGGAAAGCGGAACTTGCTTGCTCTCCAGAGCCTCGCTGGATTGACGGCCGGGTGCGGGGATGTTGTTGTAGATGCGCTTATAGTGGTTGTACACAGCCACGGCCAGCACCTTCTTGGCGTACGACTGCCCAACCACAAACTTGTCCAGGAAGTCATAAATCTAACAATTTCACAATGTGAGAAGCAAGCACGTAAGCAACATTAAATATGCCATCATAGCAGTAACATCAGGAGGTGGCAAAATATAATAGTACAAGCCTTTTGCCCGTCCAAGAACGGGTATATTGCAATAAATCTGAAACTTGCAAGTGAAAAGCAGACCGCGACGTGATATTAATTGCATCAATGCGTGTGCAATTTGTAAGGGCGCGGTGACACAGACCTATGTCATTTTAAGGTTACAATCCCTTGTTCATCATGACGTCCTTTTTACTTCTATGTCTCAATAGCGTTACGGAGATCGCGTGACGTGAGGGTTCTGCCTTTGTAGTGAGGGTTGTGAGTTGACGCCGAGGAGGGGGGAGGAGGCGCCTCGACCCCCCATGTGGAGTGACGTGACCCGCTAATTATTGGGGGGGGGGGGGGGGGTGTCCATTTGGAAGACGTCACCTCCCCGACACTTTGAGATTGGAGCAACATCTGCCAATTAGGCGGCACTTATTTCCACCAGAAACCTTCCTGACATTCTTACAGTAGAGGCCATTTTATCCTCTGGGTGCCAATCTGTGATTGATAACCTGCGCTCCACTTACCAACATGTGCCTCAACAACGTCTTCCTGATTACGTCTACAATGCTCCCCCCTGCTACATGCTACTCTGAAAATTCAGGTGGTTTCCCATATCCTAGGATGGACAAAATAAACATTTAAAGCGTGCTCTTTTGAAACATGGAGAGGAAGACCTAAAAGAGAATGGGCTTGATAACACAAGGGATTTGTGCCAGAAAGATGTGGCCACAACTTGAGCATATTGGCACAAGACAGAGGAAAGTGGAAACAACAAATGACGAAATGTGATGTGGGGACACCTACGGGCTCTCTGCCCATGGATCGTGATGACCCTATCCTGCCATGTCACATCACTCCTAGATCATTACAGACAGATTTGACTAGTTTATTTATGTAAAGGCTTCACTAAGTAAATATATGCCAAGAGCACAACTAAAATGTAATTGGTGCAATTAAACATTACAAAAGTAAAAGTATGCCACTTTTATATTATACTGTTATAAAGAAAGAATTTAAGAGCAGCCTTCTGCCCTTTGAGCATCGGGGCATTTGGAAGATAGGATTTATTTGGATAGTCTTCAAGCACTGCAAGCTTTTTATAGGACGAGTTATTAAAGCTGAATACTTATCTCAAACAAGTCCTGAAAGTTTGGCTTCGAACATTGTATGAGTAACAAAATATTCATTTCACAGTTTCCATGCAGTAGTGAGTGAATGAGGCAAGATCAACCGACTCCTTCGTCTTCTACATTTTTGTCTTCTACATTTTTACATTAGGCGACTGCTAAAGGTTCAAATCTAGGACCACTGTGACGTGGTTTAGTACAAAGGCTCCTGACTAAAAGTTACTTTGATTCATGTAAAATGTCATTAAACAGACCAAAATATTCTTCCACTACAAAGTTCCCGGCCAAAACTATTTTTTTCAAACGGCTTAACAAATGAATTACAGGACATTTGCAACTGGGACTTCGAACCTAGGACAACATTTAGAGCCTGGTTAAACATTAACATCGCATTATGTTCACAGCTTAAAATAGCTACCACCTGACAATATTAACTCTGAAGAGAAATTAACTCTGCTTAAAGACCACGTGTTCACAACTTCATGAGGGATGCCTGAGGTCATGAGAAAGATACAGACAGGTGGACCTTGTACACATACTGCCAAGTGCTTATTTATTTATTCATAAAGGACTAGGATATTTTCTGTGTAACTATCTGTACTTGTGCACTAATTCATAGATAGTCAATACTACCTTTGTTTACCAAGAAAAAACAAACGCTTGTGCTTACGTGCAATGATTGGTTAAAATGTTATTAGTTTATGCAATCTGACACTTTAATGTACCATAGTCATATAGCCGAGTGGTCAGTGCACTCAGATTTGATTGTCCACGAGAGAGCTTCTACATGAACACAAAGGTCCCCCCCGTATGGAGCTGTTGTAGCCCCAAATCTGCCATGTTACAAAATTACCTGCAAAGATAAATTCAAATATAATGGACTTAACGATGGTTTTTCAGGTAACTCTCGCAGAATCCCAATAGTTTCACACCCAAGCAAATAATGCGCAATAAATTAAAAGGGCATTCAAATGAATAGATTGCAGACAAGTGCTTTAGTTCGCCAAGCATGTAGGGAGGGGGAGGAAACTCTGCTTTGTTTACAATTGCAGCGAGATAATGACAACGGGCAGGCGAGTGGACACCAGAGAACCCATTTGTAGCCCAGCCAGGGGGGGGGGGGGCATTCCCTAAGTCAACCCGAGCAGTATGCCAGGGCACAGCGACACCGCATTTTGTCACACATTGTACAATGGATGTGAGCCTCACGTCTATATATAATTCAGTGCCTCATTGAAGTTTGCCTTCTAGCATTATAATCTAGATTTGAAGTTTTCGTGACTGCAGGGATCCATACTCTTTGGTTCATTTGGTAAAGTCACGTAGGTAGAAAATAAATTAAATCACGACGTTTCGATCGCAACACAAGCGTCCGTCATCAGGCGGAACCGAAACAGCAGGACGACTGCTGATTTAGCAGTCGTCCTGCTGTATCGGTTTCTAGCATTATCACAATGTTTTTAACTTTTTGGCAATCAAGAACTTACACAAACACCTTCCTTATGAACCTCAGCAGTTTTAAAAATGTTCCCACAATAGGAAAATAGAAACACCGAGATATCCTTGCTATTGGCACAATGGAGCTCGTTTAAAAATGGAAACACAGAGTGATGATCTAAACTTTGCTCTTAAATGCTGGAGAACACACATCCACTTTTTTGTTTCTCCCAGGGGGACATTGTTATATACTGGGCTGGATGTTATATATATTTAACTCAATCCCTATCTTCTCCACCATGCAAACATGATCTGCAAAATAATGATCAAGCATCACATTCAACAATTCAAATTGCTTGCACATGCAGTTAAAACAAATGTGGTTTAAAATCCACAAATTACGCAATGGTAAAAAAACAAGCATATGCCGATTACACAACGGAGACACAAGACGTGTCGGGCAGCAGACTTGTTTGTTTCCTGATATGCAAGCATTGGAATAATAACAATAATACGTTCTTGCCGAGATTCATTAGTATTCTTGGCTTATTTGGACTGTATACAGTAATGGCCTTTCTGCTACGTTTAGTTTCAGCGCCATTAATAGAGCACTGCCCTTTCCTTTTCAGCGATTTTTAAGGACGAAATACATCAAATATGCAGAGTAATCACAAAGAATGCAGAGGTTTAGCACGGGAGAACGTCAGGTGGTAGACTGATTGGGGGATGTACTGTGAGTTTGTTTGTGCAGAACCGGTGCCGGAGTCAGCGTCATACCGTAAATGCTGTCCGACCACCGTAAATAGTAACACGGGTGGCAACTGCTGATCTGCCATAAGTGCGGATCGATGCAAGTCGAATTTATCTGCTGTAACAAAGCAATTGACTCAATCAAAAGGTCGTGAGTTCAAATCCAGATCAGGTCTCAACTTTAGCCATAAGTATCCGTTGGGCTACAGCTAATGAGAGACTGGCCCCCTGTACAAAGTTAATTTCCGTAAACTGGCTCAGAGCTGCCATTGGTGCAGAGCGCAGCCCATGGCTGATTTGAGCACGGGGACACTGGGCTTGCTGGTGTACACAGGCTGCAGGATGACGTACCTTCTTGGGCGGTGGCGGGGGCTTCTGCTGGAAGGCTAGCTTGGCTGCCTCTGCTGCCGACTCGGGCTCCTTGAAGCTCTTGCGCGAGTCCGTTTCCGAGAGCACCACGAAAAAGTGATGACACTTCTCACACTTGACAAATCGACTTGACGCTGCTCCAACACACAGGCACACGTCATTGTTATTAAGGACGGAAACTTGGAAATAATGGAGCAATGCCTCAGTTACATCAAAACATATTGCAGTCACCCTTTGCCCATAACATCTTCCATTTCAATAAAGTTTGCATTCATAACGTGGAAGACAATGTAACAGTTTTAAGAGCCAATATAAATATAAAACCATACCAGTTTCTTCCAGAATATTACCTGACAATCGTATGAAAGGTGCTTTTTTTATTATTATTATTATTATATTTTTACACAATTTACATAGTCTTGAAAACAATCACTAAATTGCTGGTAATGTTAGAAACATACAATACTTATTTATGTGCAACCTCTCCACTGTTATTTACTTTGTATATGTTTGACAAAGTTGCAATTATTCATTAATCATTATAGTTCATTATCTTATCGCGTCTGTAGAATGTTGAGGAAAACTTTTGTATACGACACTACAGTATAAAACACATTTTTTTATAAAAAATGTACGTGGGCAGAATTTTATTCTTCAAGTTTAAGCATCAGCCTTCATTTTCCTGCTCGAGCAATATCTACAGATAGGTTTCCCCAGAACTCTCATGTTTATTTTATTCCACATGAAAGTAGACCAACAGCATGGCTGAGTGCCACCCACAAGAGTGGATTGCAGCTCTCCACGGTCTCTGCATCGCAGTGCCAACCAAGCACAAGGAACAATCTGTTTTTGACTACATCTTGAAACGCTTACAACATTACACTTGACAACTAGACAGATGTATGCTAGCATGCTGACTGTAGGTTGTATGCTTGGGGTCATTGATTTAATGTCCAAAGTTGTCTGGCACTCTGAAGCAGACCAGGAACGTATGGTCTCAACACCAAAACCCAAGTAAGAAAGGAACCCACATCTACAAAATAAACCGCTTATTGTAAGGTTAGTATTTTAGAGGTATCTTGATTAACAGGCACTCACCTGATGATGTAAACTAACTGAAACTTCATTAATTACAGAAAAAAAACCTGTGAAGATTATTCTAATTACCGTAAATACATTACATCACTATTACTCCAAAATAACTTTATTTCCTTTTGGTGGTTTTGATGACAGAGATTTGTGTGCGCTTTATGTGAAGAAATATGACCCTCACATTTACGAAGCTAGATTTGAAGCCGCGCTTTATGCTGGGGCAAGGCAAGTTAAATTAATATTGAACTCTAAAACACAAGGGGAGAAGAGACCAAAACATCAGAAATCCAATAGATTTTTGTGACCAAAGGGAAACCAGAGTAATATACTTTTCAGTATCTCAACCTTCAGGAATTGCTCACTGGACATATCATACAAAAAATATGTTGATGTGCTCACCGAAAATTGTTCCCATTTTTGTCAAGAGAATGCTGAAGAACATGGTAGTTAAATGTAGTCAAAAAGCATCTGTGGCTGACAGGGAATCTGTATTCTAGTTGCTGTAAGTGAAATAAGATTGAGTGCCATCTCCTTTTCTTCCCCCCTACTCCGTCTACTCCCTTAAGTTTTTCTTCCCGCACCTTCCCTGGAGGGACTGTCACTCGGCTGACCTGGGAACGCCTGGGAATTCCCCAGGAAGAGCTAGTCCCTATTGCCAGGGACAGGGAGGTCTGGACCGCCCTACTTAACATGCTGCCGCCATGACCCTCACCAAGACAAGAGGATTGAGAAACGAAAGAACATTAAATAAGATTTGAGTGCCATCGCACAAGTGAAACAATTTATGTTGTGCTTGTGACTCACACACGAAGGTCTCCACGTGAGTGCACAACTCGCCACACTTGGGGCAGCGCAGCTGATTGCTTCCGCCCTTTCCAGAGGCTCCTGCGCTCTTCTTCCCTCCATTCGAATCTCCTACAGGTTTCTGTGGAAATCGAGGGAAACATGCAGCCAGGGTTTCCATTAATTTGTGAAAATTAGTGATGGCGCGGCGACAGAGTGGCGAGTGCACGACCACCAGAGTGCGATTGCTGGTCGCAGCCCACATCCATCAGTGGTGCATATCATCTTAACCGGTCCTTGGCCTCTCTGACCAATCTGCAGAGCAGTGTTGAAAAGTACGGTCAAACAACCCCATGATTGATACGGCATGAGCAGGGCTTCATGCAAGATGAAATTATTTTCGTTTCTATGATTTGTCAAGATTTTGAACGTAATTGATGTATTCTTTAATAATGCAGTGAATTAAAAACATTTTACATGTATAATTCAATCAATGTATATCAAACATCATAATATATTTTAATAATTCAATCAATGGATGTAACATGCCCAATGTGCATGATATCATATCCCTTCCGTAAGATTGTATAAAATCACGCTTCTTTTTCCAGCTTAAGTTATGCAATTTGGTCTTTGTGGATGATTGCATTGGTCTCCAAATGCAGACAATCAGCCAGTTGGAGCATTTATTCAAATGAAAAGAACAAAAAAGTTGTGATCCAAATCTAAAGTTCAGGAGCATGTGGAACCTTAACAATGATTACAGGCAGATGGCAAATAAGCCTGTCCCGTAAATAAACAGTGTTGAATAGCTTACAAGTTGCACAATGCAGCTTAGAGATCAGAAATGCAGGAGCAAATGGCAGTTTGCGTACTCGTGTGCTGAGGTCTTCACTGATAAAAGAGACACTTACTTGCCACCATCTCTGGTTATAACATCTAATCCTGTGCAAACCCACTGATAGAGATAATATTTTTCAATGTGCACTCGTGATAGCCTCTGTTATAATAAGAGTTGCATGTTGACAAAAAAAATACTTATACCAACATTTGCACGGGGACAATGATTATTTTACAATTTAGTTACAGGTTAACTTTAACTTTAAGCTATTTGGCAGTGACAAAGGCATGACCAGCTTACCCTTAAGAATTAAGTGAATGGGTGTTCAATATACACTTTTCAGAGAACAAATAACTTCGGAAATTCCCCACAGTAATTAGTACACAGCTGTGAAAGTGGAACCACAAACGCTATAGACTCAATGGCAATCCCTAAAGCAAATATATGCAGTTTCATGATCACAATGGATAGGGGGACAAAGGCAGAGTGGTAGCCCATTCCCTACATGTTGCAAAGGAGTCTGGTTGAATTCCGGCTGGGCTCCCTCATTAATAATGTATGTACAATTAGTATACAATAATGTGGCAGTGTTTTTTTTTTATAAAATGGCAGTGTTTGTATAACCAAAGCAAACATTCGGTTGACCCCTTTCAGCTGGGATTTGAAAATAATTATAGAGTAATCTAAATGTGGAAAGCTGATGGAACATTTTTCCATTGTTTAATGATCTTATGTGATCATCTAGCTCCCCGTGCTGAGCTCAATAACACTCCTGTTGCTGCCAGTTGAGTTCCATAATAAAAGCAACAAAAATAGTTTTCCATTTCGAAATGCCACTTAAAGGATAAGGAAACACGTTACATATAAGCTATAACCCTACACAATGCCTCGTTTTCCTGCAGGAAAAAGCTCTGTATTAAAAAAAAAAACATAGGTTTACTTACGTAATTACACTTTCAATGTTCTCAAGAAAATAAATCATAAGCGGGTGAGAATACAAGTGAGCAAAGTAGGTCAAAGGAAACATGAATTGACCGATGACTGTGCATTCCCTAAAAAAGAATGGACTAGCAGAGGGGTGGCAACCTTTCAAAGATGCGTTTTTTGGCTTTAGTCTTTGACCAAAATAGTTCTAGAGCCGCATCACACACAGAGCTACTTGTCCACATACACAAACACAGCAGGTATACAGCAGATGACAATCAAATTCTGACTTAAATAACGAAATAGATGGAATAAATTGTGTCTATTTAGTTTTTTCCCTCCTTAGTTAATCTTTAACAATACAGTTTGACTGTACATTTTCTTGTCACCAAGGCATTCCATAGTGGCCTAATCCCTGTCATATTTAATACACAATTTTTAGGTTACATTATGTTTAAGATTGAAGGAAAAGAACAGCTGCCCGCAAGGGCAATGCCCTCTGAAGCCGCAGGTTTCTAACCCCTGGACTAGCATCATTACCCAAAGCCATACATGGAGAATTTTATGTTGTCAGGAACAGTGTGGTGTGCGAACACTGTTCCTCCGCTCCGACATATGTCTATCCACTCCTTAATGTACCATTACCATTAACTACTCTCAAAGGTCTACGAGAAAATAAGTCCGATTAAACTCATGTACGCATAGTATATGCATAAACTTTGCGCAGGTTGAATCTGCAAGTTGTATGATCATGGTGCAAACATGGCAAAACAGGCCTGTGTGTTTTTAAGCTCAGCCAAGCAGAACGTCACTGCATACAAGTGTGCTTGTACCCCACCCACCTTACTCCCTTCAGTCACACCGGGCTCCTTCCCTGTGCCGTCTGTCTCTTTCTGTTTGTCCAGCACCGTGGAGATCGAGAACACACGGACAGGAAATGCACGGACCGCAAAGATCTGTCCTGGACTCGGTGTTCGGCCAGAATGCACTCGTGGCGTTGAACCAAAAACCTGCCCTGGAACACAAAGACAATGTGCTTTTAAACATGCTGTTGTCACTGCACGCTCTATCCCCCCTAGTGGCTGATGAACCGTCATTACACTCGACCCTTGATCATCTCCGTGCCTTTCCTTCACCCTGTTCAGCGCTCTATCCCCCCGAGTGGCTGATATACCGTCACTACACATTGACATGATAAACTCTCACAATACAATGGCCATCTCACGTAGGTAAAAAATAAAATAAATGAAAACAAAATTTCATATGTTTAATTTAATTATTTTACCTACGTGACTAAACCGAAAAAACCAAAGACTACTATGGGTCTCTGTGAACAGACTACTCAATATTAACTTTGAAATATAGTAATCTAGTTGGTAAAAAAACTATGAGTTTGAGGTAAGGAGTTAGTTGGGAAAACAGCAAGTGGTACCTATGAGTAACACTTTTTTAAAACAAAGTTTAACATAAGAATAACTTAAAATCCGGCTACGTTTTGTAAAATTCAAGTTATGGCACTCATGGCCTTGCATCAACATGGTTCCATGGCGTTGCCAGTCATGCTCCAGAAAGAGTGTAGGCATGGCATGTTCACAGCAAGCACATAACGGCACAGCCACAGAACAAAATTACACGGGAACAGTTATAGATAGAGAACATCCTGGGGGTCCAGCATTATTTTCACATTCCGTGGAAACTTAACTGCCTGTGGGGTGTGTGACGACCTTTGTGTGGCTCACGGTAGGTAGACAATTACTGGAGTGCAGCTTACCGGCCTCTGTTTCATTTGATAAACTAGAGTTTTACGCTGTGGGTCTAAGCACGTTTTTTGACTCCATCAAAACAATAAAATGTATACATGTACATAAAATCACTGAGGAGGATGGTGAATCATCGCATGTATTAATTAAACGTGAAATAAAATAGAAAATTACTTTTAATTTGTAACTTGAATTGGAATTTTATTCTATTTCAAGGTGTTTACTTAAAATTATACCACAACCATGATGGCTTTGCGAAAGTCTCACAATCACCAAGCATATTATTGCTGCATAACTATGGCACGAGTAATTTAATCATTTACCTGATAACTTAGAACTTATCTGCCGTGAATTTTTTGAACCCATTAAACTCTCTTTTGGTGAAGATAATATAAAACTCACACAGCCACTCCTCTTAACAAGCACTAACTTATCGAAGCAGGTTATAAATATCGGACGTAATTATTTACAATTAGGAATTTACACGACTTGATGATGTTATTAGGAATGGATAATCATACGTCAGATTTGCTTACAAAGCAATGTTAAAATTATTAAGGCGAATTATTCGTCCGGCATTTGGCAGTAGGGAAGTTGGAGTTTACAGTCATGTCCACAGACGAGCTTGGGAGGTTACAAACTCTGTTGTGTAACCAATGTGATTCTGTAAAACGTAGGCTTTAAGTTAGAAGTTATACAATGTTTAGGACTTTAACTTATCGATCACGGATCTTAATATTCCATGCACAATAACACAATCTAATCAGTCCTAGAAACATGTGCCCGAACTTAACCATGTGACCGCCCCTTTAATGGGCCCCATGTTACTTCTGGCTGACAATTCATCACAAGTTTGCTGTTGGTCCTTGCCCTTTATAGCCGTCTTTGATGACCACTTAAATGTGTTCAATTTATTGATATACCTTTTTGTAAGTGATCTGCTATACCATTACAATTTCACTGTTTTGCATCCAAACTTTAACATTTCCGAGTTATACAATATTCGTGTGTTAACGTTTGTCATCTAAGCACCATACACCTGTGTTCACACCAATGAGTGTTTTATTAACATAAACCTGTTAGGCTCAAGTTGAAACCCAAGTTTAGCACACGTGGAACACAACTGTTGGGATATTTAACTGAGAGAGACCATTATAATATCTGGCCACTCCCGCCACTTATTCTTTATTTTGTATATCTGGTAATACATTTCCTTCTTCAAGATATATTAAATATTTAAGGTAACTTAACATTTCTCTTATAAGAGGCCGGGCAATTCAGAGTTGAGAATACAAAGCTGGAGCTGCTGATATGCTGGCTTCAAATCCAAGCAAGCCACCTATGATGATAACACGGGGTTCTGGTTATTGAACTTAATTTGAATAGATCCCGAATCTACTCATTAAAAATATCAACCGCCATTCCATGTTCTATTCTCTCTTATCAGGGTGGTTAGAAAAAATGTGCCCCCTAGTTTACAGAAGGGTTTACAATAGTTCATGATCAACGTTTTTGGGTTAGATCGCATTATTTATAAATGTGTCATAACCCTCCACCACCCGACACGGCCAATGAGCAAAAAAGTGTCACGTTGACAAAATAAAATTACGAATTTTAATCCTCCTTCAAATATTTGGCCAATTCCTTGTGACGATTACTCAACGTTAGGTTGCCGAAAACGCATATTGTGCCAGAATAAATTCCAAAGATTGATTACTGGAAACATAATACACTCCGAATCGAGCACAGATGCGTGATCCACCGACCCTGCCCCCAAGGCTCCAGTGTATAGGGGTAAAGGTGGTTAATGGAACCATGGGAGGACGTAGGGGTCAAATGGGGTAAGGCTATCATCATATAAGGAGAACAAGGTGTATACAGGATACTGGGGGATGAAGAATATGGAGTGGTTAGAGGTTATAGGGGTTATGGGAAAGGGTGTGAAGGGTGTATTGGGGTAGAGTCTGACTAAAATTTGTATGAGAGATGTTTGTATGCGAATTGTAGATGTTATGCAGTGTACAAGGTAAGAATATGGAATACAGGGAGTAAATGGGGTACACATTACGGTGGGGGGGGGGGGTTATATAAAGTACAGTATAGAATATACATAACACTGGAAATTACACAATGAATACAAGGGTACAGTGAAAATGGGTGGCTTCAGGGTAACACATGGACAGGGGTCATATGGTTATAAAGGATGTAGGAAGAAACAAGGGCTAAGAGGCGGTGTCGATGGTGTATAGGAGTAGCATGACACATATAAATACGTGTAGTGTATCATGTAAGGGGAGGCCATGGTGGCTAGGAGATGTTGACTACCTCGCCTGGTGTACAGGAGGTCGTGGTGGGTTCGATCCCGATCCTGATGCCTGCTGCTGCATATTTGGAGTTTGCGTGTCTCTCTCTCTCTCATCATCATCATCATCACGGTGGCTAGGAAATGTTGACTACCTCGCCTGGTGTACAGGAGGTCGTGGTGGGTTCGATCCTGACCCTGACGCATGCTGCTGCTGCTGTATATTTGGAGTCTGCGTGGCACTTTCCCCGTGGATTTTATCTCCGGGCCCTCCGGTTTTCCCCTCCACATTAAGACCCAGCATCAGGCGTCTAAGAGTACACTGGCTGCTATGACATTCCACTTCGTTGAGCTATCGATTGCGGCCAGGTCACTTCTGAAAAATATCTACATAGCTCAGTGGGCCTCACCTTTATGAAGGCGACAGGGGTAATGCGAGGCATACCGGGGGGTACAGGTAGCTTGGGCAGGGGGTGTAGGGGGCAGTAGGGAAGAAGAGAGGCAGGGGAATGTAGCAGGAGGAGGGGTGGGGAGGGAGGGAGGTGGATGTGTGGTCCTCACCGCCGTGGGACAGGGCCCCACGCACCACCACGCGTCCCGTCCAGCGGCACCCAGCGCACGCCATGGGGCACAGCAGCAGTCGAGGACGACGACGACAGTCGCTTGCCGAAGACGAGCGGGCCCAAAAGAGTGACTAAATAAAGGAGTCAATTACAAATCAAACTCGATTCGAACCCGCAGCAGCCTCAAAATGGAGGCGCTGGCCCAGCGCCAGGGCTCCGAACGGGCGGTCGTGGGGTCAATCACCGGCGCTAAGAGCCGCAGTAGCAGCAGCAGTAGCAGCAGTCAGGGCTGTGGCAGCATCGGTAGCGGCGACGGGAAGGATGCGGATGGCCCCCTGGGGAGGCGGCTCACACCGCCGACTTCACTGCCGCCACCGCCGCCGCTGCTGCTGCTGCCGCCTTCTCCTGACGCGGCGCTGACGGTGCGCGGGAATCGACTCCGCGATTCCGGTCGGTAACGATCTTGCGCGGGAATCGACTGCGTGAGCGCGCGTGAGAACCGCCTTCTCGTCTTCGAATGTTTCATACGGTTTGAGGATTGTAGAGGTGGGGGGAGGGGGAGGGGAACGAGCAAGTTGGAACGCTCGAGACGTGAGATAATTTGCTGGAACAAGGTTAGAGGAGGCGACTGAATTAAAAAAAATCGATTCTGGGATTCGAGACCGGTGATGGGGTGGAATCGCGATTCCCACACGTACAGTGCGAGCAGTGCGAGGCGCGTGCCGCACGTGACCCCTCGACTCCCCCAGGTGGCCCCGCCCCCTAAAGTGACTCTGCCCCTCCCTCCCCCCGCGGGGGACACGCCCCCTGTGGTGACTCCACCCCCCAGGGCGTAACCCCGCCCCTCCCCCCCACCGCCGGGGACACGCCCCCTGTGGTGACTCCACCCCCCAGGGGGTAACCACGCCCCTTTCCCCCCCCGCGGGGGACACGCCCCCTGTGGTGACTCCACCCCCCAGGGCGTAACCCCGCCCCTCCCCCCCCCCCGCGGGGGACACGCCCCCTGTGGTGACTCCACTCCCCAGGGGGTAACCACGCCCCTTTCCCCCCCGCGGGGGACACGCCCCCTGTGGTGACTCCACCCCCCAGGGGGCAAGCTCGCCCCTCCCCCCCGCGGGAGACACGCCCCCTGTGGTGACTCCACCCCCCAGAGGGTAACCACGCCCGTTTCCCCCCTCGGGGGACACGCCCCCTGTGGTGACTCCACCCCCCAGGGGGCAAGCTCGCCCCTCCCCTCCTCGGGGGACACGCCCCCTGTTGTGACTCCACCCCCCAGGGGGTAACCACGCCCCTCACCCCCCGGGGGACACGCCCCCTGTGGTGACTCCACCCCCCAGGGGGTAACCCCGCCCCTCACTCCAACACCCCTCCTCCACCCTGATGGTGGTCAGGCCACGCCTATCGACCCCGCCCACTTTGTCAGGGGTGGATGGGGCAGAGCTTCCTGACACGTGTTGCGTGTGTTTTGGTAATCCGGTGACACGAGTTCGATTCCCGCTCACGGCCGACACCAGTGACGATTATGTGAACCGGTCCTGGGCCTCCCCTAGGTCGACTCAGCCTCAACTGAGTACGTGGTGCGGTGTTCAAACATCGCCACTGGAGAGACAAAGGCGGTCGGGCATGGTGCTGGCCACCCACCCTCTCGTGTGCCGTGCAGGATTTCATAGGTGCTCACTACGGGGCCGTTCATAAATGACGTCACGCACCTAGAGGGGGGGGTCAGACATTTGTGACGATGTGTGACGACGGGGGGGGGGGGGTTGAGGAAATGTGACGTCACATCAAAATGCGCAACTTTAAATAAATATAGACAACAGGTTCTACTTGATTAAATAGACTTTTTAATAAATGTCTTCTCCTACAACATCAGAGTGCAGCGCCACATTAAATACGCACTACAATGACAATAGTTTAATGCGATTTGAAGCATGTTTTTTTGGGGGGGGGCAGAGTTTTGTAACGTCATATTTGAGGGGGGCTCTGACTTTTTGTGACGCCGTGTGACTAGGTGGGGGGGGTCAAAAATCGTCAAAAATCGCGTGACGTCATTTATGGACGGCCCCTTAGCACCGTTGGCTACATAGGGTTCGAAAGATTTCAACATACAGACCTGTTCTCCACCTGAGGACGGCTGCTTACGTAGTGGCCGAAACGTCGTGAGAATTATTTATTATGTTTTATTTTTATTATTTTATTATTTTCATTCTACGTGACTTTACCGAAAGAACCAAGAAGATGAATCCCTGCAGTCACGAAAGCTTTAAATCGAAATACAGTACATATACTTAGGGAGCTTTAGAGGCGGGTGTGGGCGGGGCGAGAGGGGGTTGGGGGCGGGGCGAGAGGGGGTTGGGGGCGGGGCGAGAGGGGGTTGGGGCGGGGCGAGAGGCGGGTAGGGGCGGGGCGAGAGGGGGTTGGGGGCGGGGCGAGAGGGGGTTGGGGGCGGGGCGAGAGGGGGTTGGGGCGGGGCGAGAGGCGGGTAGGGGCGGGGCGAGAGGGGGTTGGGGGCGGGGCGAGAGGGGGTTGGGGGCGGGGCGAGAGGGGGTTGGTACGGGCCGAGAGGCGGGTAGGGGCGGGGCGAGAGGGGGTTGGGGGCGGGGCGAGAGGGGGTTGTGGGCGGGGCGAGAGGGGGTTGGGGGCGGGGCGAGAGGCGGGTTGGGGGCGGGGCGAGAGGGGGTTGGGGGCGGGGCGAGAGGGGGTTGGGGGCGGGGCGAGAGGGGGTTGGGGGCGGGGCGAGAGGGGGTTGGGGGCGGGGCGAGAGGGGGTTGGGGGCGGGGCGAGAGGACGGTGTGGGCGGGGCGAGAGGCGGGTGTGGGCGGGGCGAGAGGCGGGTGTGGGGCGGGGCGAGAGGGGGTTGGGGGCGGGGCGAGAGGGGGTTGGGGGCGGGGCGAGAGGGGGTTGGGGGCGGGGCGAGAGGCGGGTGGGGCGGGGCGAGAGGCGGGTGTGGGCGGGGCGAGAGGCGGGTGTGGGCGGGGCGAGAGGGGGTTGGGGGGCGGGGCGAGAGGGGTTGGGGGCGGGGCGAGAGGGGGTTAAGGGCGGGGCGAGAGGGGGTTGGGGGCGGGGCGAGAGGACGGTGTGGGCGGGGCGAGAGGCGGGTGGGGGCGGGGCGAGAGGCGGGTGTGGGCGGGGCGAGAGGGGGTTGGGGGCGGGGCGAGAGGGGTTGGGGGCGGGGCGAGAGGACGGTGTGGGCGGGGCGAGAGGCGGGTGGGGGCGGGGCGAGAGGCGGGTGGGGGGCGGGGTGTTCGCGTCCGGGTGAAAGGGGAAAGGCGGCAGCGGTGGCGGCTCCACATCGACTGCTGCGGTGCGCTCGCAACTCTCCTTGCACGGGCCACCTCGTCACACAGACACGTGATCTCGTCACCTCGTCATACAGACACGTGCTCTCCTCACCTCGTCACCCAGACACGTGATCTCGTCACACAGACACGTGCTCTCCTCACCTCGTCATACAGACACGTGCTCTCATCACCTCGTCACACAGACACGTGATCTCATCACCTCGTCACATTATCTCGCTTGACCACCTGAATGTGAAATTGTAGCTGTTGTTCTGCGTCTACATCAGCTGCCATACGAAAGAAAGTGCGCAAAGTTGACCTAATGGGCCCTTGTTTTGGGGAGTGTGGCCCATTGCTCTTACACAATGCTCCATACGTTCTTAGACATCCACTTTACATCACCTCTGAGTAGCACGATTGGCTATACGTTTTTTTTTCGAGTTGATAATCCAAGAGACCAGAGAATAGCCTAATTTGTAAGAGTGACCTGGATAAACAAAATGACAAAAGCAGTACAATAAAGGACAATGAATAAAATATACATCAGGGCAAAAACCAAATAGAAATCGACGATATCAATGGAAAATTAAGTCTCGGAACAAAAGTTGGCTGGGATAAATTCGTTTTACATTGGTGACGTAATGACTGCAGAGACGACCGATTACTCTGAATGAGTACTCCAATGTAATTTAATGTAGATGCACAGTGCTTCAAAGTTGTCACTGGCCAGCGTGCTAACTGGTAAAGCACTGCATTTGCTCATCTTTACCACACCCTCGTGGGTTACCTGTAAAAGGCAGATATTCTGCCTATTTTAAAAACAATGAATTAGCTTTGTTGGAAATTACCGCGTAGGGTCAATATTTCGAATCTCAAAACAATACAATTTATTTTTAAGTAAATGAACGTGTATATTCATGACTGCGGAAATAACATTCCATGAAAATCTAATTTTCCATTACGCTACGGCTTAAAATCAATCTCAAACAGCCAACTAAAAGCACACGCTTGAAGTTAGCTATGAATGATACGGTGGGGAGATATTTTTTTAGGGAATTCAATTAAAAGACCCTTCAGCAAAAAAAACATCGGGAGTGTTTTTAAATCCTTTATATTAAGTTCGCTTGCTTGCTTAGGACCGTGCAAATCTTTCGCTCGTTTTTAACCCACTTCCCGTGATCCAATCGAGCTGACATTTTCCACACAGACTCGTTGTGTGTGACAATTAATTTTCATGAAATTTTTTTTCCAAAATTTTACACTTCAGGGAAAACAAATTAAATATTTAATTACCAATTGCTTAATACTGGCAGACAATCATCTGACCCATAGATTGCAGCCATCTCAAGCCAGAGGACGAGAGAACTCTAGCCGCCACGCATATAAAGGATTTAGAGTGAAAAACTTTGTTTTTACGGGTTTACTTGTTTTCTTTATGTAACACACATCTTTGCAATCTGCTGTGCGTTTCAGGCAGGGGCAGATGTAAGAGGTGAGAAGCCCGGCGAAGAGTGGCTCGCGTCGGGTGATTTGCCACATCACTCACGATGGCGGGGCGGGGAAGAGGACGTGGCCAGATGACCTTCAACATCGAGGCCATTGGATTCGCCAAAGGAGAAGCACTGCCTCCACCCACGCTGCAGCCACCGCCGCTCTTCCCGGTGCGAAAGCCAGCGGTTATTCGTTCACTCGCATCCCGTTGCTCTTTGCACAGTTGTAGCACATTGCAGCCCGGTCTCTTCAGCTATCCTAAGCTGAGTAAATTCGGATGCATCATCTGCCAGTCATCTCAGTCAGTCAGGCTATGGCACCTGGTTCTGTCTTGTGACCTGTCAGCGAGCCTTCGACACTTCACGTGGCTTCAAAGTGCACCTGGCCTGGCACGGGCGCCATGGTGACGTCACCGCCACTTCGTGGGGATTGGCGGCTGTTGTCTGTGTTGTTTCCATGTTCTGTTTTTGTCGTGTTTCTATAACGGGGTGATGCTTTGTCTGCACTCGTCAAAGCATCCATTTACTTATCTGTGTGTATCACTGTCTTCACAGATTTTAATTGTCTCTATGTATTCACTTTTACGTGTCAAACATATGTCGATCTTACTCGTTTGTCGAACCCTTTACCTTCACTGTTCATATGGTGTCCTCGGTGTCGCTATCTTATTGGGTCTATATCTCTGCATTTCCTTGTTACATATTTTGACTCCTCAGTAATTACTTACAACCCCTTTGTCAAATGTTTTATAAGCGAGAAATACATTTAGGTTAAAACACATTTGAATTGACAGTTTTGTTATTTATTGATAAGTAGTCATGTACAAAATAACACGTTTATTCTCTTTTTTCAGTTTGTAATTACTTTTGTGAAATGTTTACATGAATTTGTAGCCCAATGAAATGATGTAATACCCACATTTATGTCTCCCCCTTTTACATCGTTTTGTAAATACGTTATCACTTTATTAATACCGCTAACTGATCTGCATCGCTTCAACCCCAATCTTATGTCGCTCACAGCATCCATCCTTTCTCGCCTCCTCATACCTTGTACACGCACTACATAAAAAAAACTACTGTAGAGTCCAATATATAATTTAAGTACAGTATTTTGGCGATATGGAAAAAATGTATGCAGAATCGATATTCGTCGTCGCACCTTACAGGAATGCATCCCCGACGTACACCGGGCTTTCACTCTATCACTCCTTGAGCCGCTGTCTCTGTTGCCGGCAGCCTCTGGAGTACCGTCCGCTGCCGCTGCTCGCGGGGGAGGAGACCGACTACTTGCTCGCACTCAAACAGGAGCTGCGCGGCGCCATGAAGAACCTGCCCTACTTCATCAAGCCCGCCGAGCGCAAGAAAGGCAAGAGTCGCGCTCGCCCGACCCCATGGCTGTCAATCGGTAGAATCACCGCTGCTCTTTTGAAATGTCGCAACAAGTAACATTCAAGTTCAAGTTCATGCATTAGGTATAGCCCTGTGAGCCATTCTGCTCTTGAATCGGGTGCAACCGCAACAAACAAAAAACATGAACAAATTAACATCTTTAAGTGAATATGTGACTAAGTGCAAACAGAAAATCCAAGAAAAGACAGCAAAATATTGCAGAAAAAAACACCGTACATGCATAAGCTCATCCCCTGCAGATATTTACACAGAGAGGTTCTGTGGTATACAAGGTGTTAAAGCATATTAATTGGTTCTCAGTCTTCGGGTCATGAGCCCAGGTGGAATTACTGCAATAGTTTGATGGAATGAGGCAAATTCGATTTGACCATTGCATACATCAGTTGGGAAGATTTGCGAATCTATAATAATGTGTACCACAGTGTTCGATCTGTTTTGCAATATGAATATTGTGTTGCCAAAAAGCATAAAGAGCAACGTAAAAGTGTTGAGGGAGGTCCCACAATATGCTATATGTATATATTTTAAAGTTGCTGAGTCTTGTTGAGAGGTGTTGACATTAATGAGATGGTTAAAGAAAAAAAACCTATACAGTAAAACCTTGGATTGCGAGTAACTTGGTCTGCGAGTGTTTTGCAAGATGAGCAAAAATTTTAAGTAAGTAATAATTTGATAAACGAGCGAGGTCTTGCAATACGAGTAGTACGTGTATACGCTTTGTCTGCCGAGCGTCACGTGATCACAACTGGTATACGAGTGCTTTGGATTACAAACACGTTTCCGGAACGAATTATGCTCGCAATCCAAGGTTTTACTGTATATTAAATGTTACGTGACAGCTGAATTGGGCCTGGTGTTCAGGGTTGGCCAATTACCGCTACCACCCACAGCATAGAGCTGTAAGGGGTGAGAGGACACAGTGAGGACACAGAGAAACAACCACAAAGAAACGAGATGGACACCTCTTTCATTGGTGAACCTGAGGGGTGCAAACGTATTTGTTTACCCAGGTGGCCACAAATATGTTAAGTTCTGCCCTCAGCAAGACATCATGCTAGTTAGCGTATTTTTAAATAAGATGGTTCACATTGGTTTGATAGTTGGCTACCATAATTGTCTGGCAATGTTGAACATTACCTGGGAATTATATACCATTTTACAAAGTTGGTTCTGAAGAACTCCCGGTGATAATTGACTGTGCAATTATGTCTCCAAGATCATGAGTTGCTCATAGACCTGCTATGCTTGAGTTGGACCAAAAACCTTCCAATAGACAAATGTGCTTTGCATGCAAGCTCTGGGCAGCTGGAAAGTTACCTTATAAACATATTTCACAATTCACATTTGTTTAGATGTTTCCAAGTTCCATACAAAAAAAATTTGGTATATTTTGTTTACGTTATGTTAATGAAAATGTGTTGTTTACCTCTTTATTGCGATTCTGCAGATATTGAGCGGTATTCTGACAAGTACCAGAGTAAAGGACCTGCAGATAACGCCATAGACTGGGCCCCAGGTGATGTCCCTGCATGCCTTCTGCATTACCTCGCCATGACAAATAGTGGGGCTTCACTGCTGCTTGTAACCTACCTTCACAATCGTATCTTGTGCAGTATGGTAATGAAAAGACTTCTCAGACAAAAGCACCCGCAATGCATGCCCTGTCTTAATACAAATGTTTTTCAACTTATGTAATGTGAATAGCTACCCAGTCAAAAGACACTGTGCTTGTGGGTCTTTGTATTGGAAGTCGTTGTGGTATAAAAATCTGGTTATAAATCTGGAAATTTAAATGTATGTATGCATGCTGAACTGCTTCACACCGTATGTAGCCAACTGTGCTAATTAGAGGTGCGGGGGAAGGACAACACACTAAACACAAAAAGCTATTCTAAAGAAATAAATTATCTATATAGATTTAAAAGTGCATCGCTCCAGTGGCTTCCTAATATCGGAAGGAAGAGCATTCCAGACGGCCGCAGAGGCGCATCTGAAAGCGCGCGATGCAGTGACCATCTTTGTTCGATGGATAGCCAAAAGCCACTGTCAGGATGGACCAAATGTCAGGCAAATGATGAATTAATATAAAGCGAATTATGGACAATTGCCTAATAAATTGTTTTTTTTCATTAAAAATACTTTTTCAGGAGTCTTACATCTGGATGTTTGGCCATATCATCTTGATTAAAACATGCATACAGAGTAATAACACTGAGAAATTCTCACACAAACGTGAGAAACCTGTGTGAAAAACATATACTACCATCTCCTGACCACATTAGAGTCCTGTATATTATGATATATATCTCAATAATTCATAGATTTAACTGCTAAAAGGAGTGTTTAATGCAAGCCATGGCTCCTACATTGTATAAGCTCACACTAACACTGAATGTGGTAATTACAACTTCCAGCTTCAACAGAGGAATTAAATATACAAAGCTTTAAAACCTTGGTATTGTGGTGTCACCTTCATCATCCAGTCTGTCCCCAAGGATGATGGCCTCTCTTGCATTGGGAATTGCTCGTCCTTCATCTTATAGGGTTGTTATATATTTTTACTGTGCGTTCGCTTGTGACTAGCAAGACCAGCGTTTGAACTGCTAGATCAGTCCACGTTGCAGCCATCCCGGATGGTCTTGCATTTCCATAAATAATTTTACTCGTGTACATGAAATAATGTCATCGCTCCATCGCTGCAGTGGTCGTCCATCGTAGAGACGGACGGCGTGTCCTGCACTGTGAACCCAGCCACCTGAGTTTGATTCGTCGCTCTGGCTAACATCAGTTGTGAGTGATGGCTATGCGTGTGATATTTTGAAATTACTGAATTCTCACATAAACCATTCACTCCCTGTGCATGTCTCTCACCCTCTAGCACTTCGGTGCTTATCCTCTATGTCAGTGACTGATTTTTCAACCCTCTGTGAACGTTGATCTCTGTCAGACTGGAGACTGTTGCCCAGAGAGTTGAGGATACAAGTCCGGAAGGCGACCAAAGTCAGTGAGTCCCCAACTTGTATTAAAGTTCTAGATTTGAAGCTTTCGTGACTGCAAGGATTCATATTCTTAGGTTTTTTCGGTAAAGTCACGTAGGTAAAACATCAAAATTAATGAAAATAAAATAAAATAAAAATCACGACGTTTCGGAGGCAACACAAGTCTCCGTCATCAGGTGGGACCGTCACAGCCGGATTAGCTGCATCGAGGCAATGATTCAAGATGTAATCCCTTAAAAGCAAGTTGAGGGGGGAGGAGAGGGGGGGGGCTCATCAGAATGTGGTAGCCAATGAATGGAACGTATCGGGAGGGAGGGGGGCGGGGCTCAAAGACGGCACGGAGTGCCAAGTACAACACATCGGGAGGGGGAGGGGGGCGGGGCCAAAAGAATGGAGGATGGCTTGGACGCGGTCCATTCTTTTGTTGCAGCGACTTTATGCTCTAAGACAGTGGTTCTCGACTAGAGGGACACGGACTCCGGGGGGTACGTGCCAATGTCCCAGAGGGTACGTGAAGTGATTTATAAATATTCATATATGAGAGTCATTGGTGAATAATTGTGTATGAATCTGCCAATATAAAATAAGCAGGATAAAATTAAAATCCATATGTTAACCTCGAATGATATAACAGACCTTTCTAAACTCATTGATCATAAACAATGTGGTTTCCAAGAGAAACCAGCTAGCATGAACAAATTACATCATACATGCATAGTGTCCTTGGAATTTTTGTATTCGCTTCCAGTTACTAGCTAGTGAGGACATCTCACAAAATTGACAATTGGTTAAAATATTGAAGTTCGTTACTCATACATCTGTTTCTCAGAACCATGTTGGTCAGACAAGGGGGTACTCAGTTGAAACAAAATTCAACAAGGGGTACAGTAGCCGAAAAAGATTGAGAACCACTGGTCTAAGAGATGACAGTAGAATTTCTACCTCTGGGCTTCTTATCTGTGACTTGTGTCATGTAAAAGGTTCAGTTGGACCCGCATTTCATTGTGATCTGCAGATTGGCCGTCTGTTATCGATAAATTAAAGGCTAAGAGGAAGTCGGCAGACATATTTGAGAACAAGATATCCTAATTGGCAACTTATTGTTTACTTGGCTGATGAGATGAAATAGTCGATGCTTGCTTACTCGGTCTGATTTGCAGCGATCGACAAATGCGATAATGCGAGTGATGTTAAGATTTGTTACATGCAGATTCACGTCCGATATGTGTGTTCCAAACTACAGAGATATCTGTATTTTGGTGGGCCAAATGGGTTTAATGCTCAATTTGAATTTGTTATCAGTAATTTGACAAATGTAACACCAAGTATGGGGGTAAAATATTACCTTTTAAAACCATCATCTGACAGCAAAACAGTTGTGAAAATGTGTGTGTGCATTGCACGATTTATGGTGAGTTAGAATTATGATACTTGAGATAACAATATCTGTAATATTTTCATGAATAACATTTTTTGTCTACATTTTCCCTTGAATAATGGAGCAAGGGGTAAGGCCAAGTGCAGCCCCATCACAATCACTGGTCCAATTCGTCATGATATGGAGTCTTGAGCACGACTGCTGTAATAGTCATGCATGGCCTGATGTTAAGTATAATAATGGAAATGATGATCGCAATGGTTATCCCATGATGATGATTGTGATCATTTTCATCTGCCACGATCTGTCCGCTGCTAGATCGGTCTATGTTGTAGCCGTCCCTCACGGTCTTGCATTGCCATAAATCATCGCGCTCTTGCACGTTAACTAATCTCATCGCTCCATCGCTGCAGTGGTCGTCCATCATAGAGACGGCGTGTCCTGCACTGTGAATCCGGCCACCTGAGTTTGATTCCCGTCCCCGGCTAACATTGGTCATGAGCGATGGTTGAACTCTTTCTGCCCCCCCCCTTCATCAACCTGTACTGGCCAACGTGGTGAACTCTGGGCATATGACCCCCACCACTAACACTTTTGTGTCAGTGGTGGGGGGAGGGGCATTCAATCAGCAGTGGATTAACAAGAGGATATACATGATTATTATGTCTCTAATATTTAACATAAATAAAATAAAACGCAGTGTAGCTGTTCAATCCTTACAAGTGATTTAGAAAATGTCTATTCGTCATTTATTAAGGCCTTGATTTGTGAGAGGTTGATTAACTGCTTTAGTTTTTGTAGTCTACAAATGCCAGGCATAGTGATATCTGGTATTAATTTGGCTTGTGTGAACTCAAAGTATGTTGCCAATGGTAGAAAACACTTTTTTAAAATCAGCTTACTCACATGGAGGGTTGGCTTCTAAATTGTCCATTTTTTGGTTGTCAATGATCTTTGTAAACAGTTTATAAATGTATGATATTAGGCTAATGTGTCTGTAACGATTTAACTCAGCCTTGTTTTTCTTCATCAATCGAATATTGAAAGAGATTACCTTATTTCTGTTTCAATATTTAATAAATAGGTCTGCTAATTTTGATCTAACAGATTGGCACGTTTTTTTGATGATGTCCAGAGTTATTCCATCTTGTCTGGGAGCTTTCATTATTTTATTTTAAATGTGAAATCTGAAGCTTCACTAACATGACTCTCATCTTATTCCAGGGGTTTGTACATAAATATAATAATTCATATATCCCAGAATTAAAAAAAATTGATTATTATTTTCATTGAGGATTATGGCAGTGGACGTGTAGACAATTTAGCACCTAACTCCATACTCCAAATCCTCTATTCAAATCCTAATTGTGCATCAAAGTTGACCATCTGTAAACCACATCAAAAGTTCTCTAATGCAGTACATCGTCCATGGAGTCCCACTGAGTATCAACGCCTCTTCGGTATGATCCTCTTTTGGAATATTTTTTTCCCAGTTTCTAAATGGGTGTTTCTGCATGTGGATAAGGACACATCCCTTGCCCGTATATAAGGAACACACTCAGGCAGTCTATCACAAACCTTCTTTAGGTCCTGGCTCGTACAGGAAACACCACACTTCCCCAGCAGGTGGTGTGTGTGCCACACGTGTGGTTGTATCACCTCGTTGTCAGCTCATCTCATCTCCGAGCAGCTGTTTTTGGGTTTGCATGACAGCCACCGTCACGTGACGCTCGGTGTATTAATAGAATTATAGTGAAAACAACTCACTCAGCCATTGCTGCCTATCTGGGTCTTCATCAAAGTGCCTGCCACGGAAAAAAAGTAGTGCCCTGCATTGCTTTACTGAAACACCACGTGAATGTTAGTACAGGGACTCTTCTGCTTACGAACATTCCACTTACGAACTTTCAGAGATACGACCAAACCTGTCTATGTCCTGTTGCCTGTTCTGGACCGAGAGTTGTAAATTCAACCGCCGCACAATAGATGGCGGTGGTGTCATCTACATCTGCAGAACGTGAAGAACTAGTGGCATCTACAGGATTTTATACAACTTTTAAAGCCATTCCCCGTGTTTAGTGTACATGCCATACAACATGTTCGGAATCGACAGAAGTGGACTTACAAATAAATCGACTGACGAACCTGGAACATAACTTGTTCGTAAGTAGAGGAGTCCCTGGAAAAGGCAAAGGTGCAGCCCGACGTGGCACTGCTGGCGGAAGGGCCTCCGATAGAGGGACCCCGAATTGTTTTCTTGAGTAGATCGTTTTTACCACGTACAGTATACAGGCAGACCTCGGTTAGCGCTCAAGATGCGTTCTTAGAGATGGGAGCGCGAATCAAATCGACCCTAAATGGGGTCATTGTAGATATATAGGGATGTGGGGGGGGGGGGGGTGTTCTCACTCGCAAGCGCTGTTTAGATTTTTTTATTAAAATTTTTGTAACATTTTTCTCAAGGACAAAGAGTGCTATAACGAATCAGCGTTCTACGGGGTCGCGCTTAGCGAGCTCTCCCTGTAGCTATTTTTTTATATTGGGAAACTGCTTGGTTAAAACATAATCTTGCAGTACGTATAAAGCACTGCTGCCAAATGTTCATCCAATCCTCATGAAACAGGCATTTGCACCTTTAACATCTAGATTTTTACATTAATGTATACAACATTATTGTTGCAGGATGCATGTGGATGTGTTTTCTCTTATTTCGTCAGAAAAAGCTGTGGTTAAGACACAGTTGCCAAAACCCGAGAAGTCCAAGAAAGCATCAGAAACAGAAAATCTTGAAATGCTAAAGAATCTGGAGGTAAGTAGGTCATCCACACCCACAGCTATTCCTGTACTCGTTGCATATGGCTGCTCGTTTAAATCAGGAAGCTATATTTTTAAGTGGTTAAAAGTCTGCCCAGGTGATTAAGCGGTAGAACGGGCCGCTCACGATTGTAAGGTTGAAAGTTAAAATCTTGATTGGGGGTTGATTTAACCAATCACCACCCCCCCCGCCGGGTTTGCTAAAATGAATACCACTTTGTGGGAAAATTAACATTAGTTCTGTGGATAGACTTGGCGCCACCATATGAATGTTGTAATTTCCACCACTGGCTCAGGGCTGTAAACAAAAAGGCAAACACCGCCTCAGTGGTCATTTGAGTAGGAAATCACTTCGACTTAAGCACGCCACGAAAAAAAACGCCAAGGACACAGCTTATTAAGTAAAAATGGTTCCGATTTGCATTAATCTCTCCTGTGTAAGGACTCGTGCACCCAACACTTCTTGCTGCTTTCCCAGACCTTGGAGCAGAAGGAGCAGCAGGCTCCGTCAGACGAGGACGGGGCTGAGGAAGAAGAGAAGGAAGAAGGGGAGGAGGCTGAAGAGGAGGTCCTCGACGAAGAAGAGTTTGAAGAGGTGAGCATGAGCTGTGGCATTACCTGGCACATTATCGCTCAGATTCACTTGGTTCAAGCGACTTTTTATCTTGTTTGGCTCACACCATCAAACACTTTAAAATAATTTGTCCTGCAAACCCTGCATATAATTCCCATTTTCGATGTAATATGGACTGTCTCGCCATTTTAATTGTATTACATGTATACTTTTAATATCATTTTTTCCAATGTAAATATTTTTGTAAATTTGCTCGATTATAATAAACCCACTCTAATCCACACTCACGAGAGGGCTTCTGTGTAGAGACTTTGCGGATAAGCCGAGCCATCCTTGGACTCTCTCGATGGTCTGCCAGCGAGTTATATTGGCAAGTCGTCCTCAGGCCGCTCCTTGTCACTCTGTCTGGTGTGGTGACCAAAAAATTCAGAGTGGTCATAGAGGTATCATCCATTGTTGTAAAATTATAATTATCAGCATGAATATAGCATCGTAGTCCAAGCGTTTACATGTCCGCGATGGCGTTGGCAGCACGCCATTGTACTGATCTTGGAGAGAGTCCCAGGCATGTGATTACATCTAGTGAGTGATTGTTTCCAATGCTTTTTGTTACGTGTTGTTGAAGATCACTCGTTCTCTTCAGGTAAAAAAGCGTAAGTTTAGAAGTACTCCGTTTGCAGCGTTTCAGCCACGCAGTTCAAAACCTATCTAATTCTACGGTGAAAACCCAGGGAGACACGTCAACTCATAAACCGAGCTTCCCTTGTACCCCATCGATGTTAGGAAATGCAATGCATTGTGGGAGCCACTGAAGCTCGACCATGAACTGGCAAATCGTACATTGCTGCTTTAATTCTAGCTGGGTTCTGAGAATTGAGAGATAGCATCTGAACTTAAATTTATCCGAAATGATTGGTTTCACTGCCATACCCTGCAATGGGTATTCAGGTGATATTCAAACAAGACCAAGCACCTGCGTTCTTTTATTTTGTAGCGGCTTCCTTCAATGAATGAGCGTTGCACACACTAGAGCACAAGAACAGGTCGGACGTGTTGGTACGACTGGGGGGCTGTCGCGGGGAGTGGCTCTGCGTGGGTGCAGCGCTGCTGTGAAGCCCTTAGGATAGGGGGGGGGGGTCTCTTTCAGGTGCATGGGGTTCAAACCACGTACATCAAACTCGTTTGGTTTTTACGTGTCATGATCAGGAGAGTTGTGCATTTATGTCAACGGTGTGGGTTTTAAAAAATTATTTCTTTATTTTCATTCAACACGAGCCTGGTACAGAGCACAAACCGTGACAAAGGGAGGGGCACAGAAAGACCGCGGACTGAGGCCCCGAATTCGGTGCTCCCGGGTTTAGGGGAGGGGAGGAAATTGGGCGCTCACCTGCCCCCATCCAGGTGGGCACCACGAGCGGGAGTGTCGGTTTTTATATGGGGTGGGGGGGGTATAAAGAAAGAGGAACAAAACAAGGGGGTAGAACAGAGGTCGCAAACGGGTTTTGATTCCTTACCCGTACCCGTACTTGGCCGCACCAGGGTCGCAAACGGGTACCTGTACCCGGCCGAACCCGTACCCTACCCGTACCCAGCCGGGTACGGGTAGGGTACGGGTATCGGGTACCTGATTGCGACCTCTGGGATTAAGCCATGTTGCAGGCGTGGGTGGGTTGATTCTAGGAACTTGAATTGTGAGAAGAGACAAGACGTTAGGAAATGAGTGACAAACAGTTACTCACCAGTGACTCATGATCTACCCGTACCCGACCGCACCAGGGTCGCAAACGGGCACCCGTACCTGTACCCGGCCGGGTACGGGTAGCCGGGTATTGGGTAGGGTACGGGTATCGGGTACCCGGTTGCGACCTCTGGGGTAGAAGGGACAGGGAGGGTAGGTGGGGAAGTCAACAGTGTATTTAATAAAGTATCTAGCATATCTGTTGCAAGCGAGAGTGGCGTATGTATTTTTATTATGGGATTCATTCGATGTCACACCTGACTTACACCATACTGATGTCGTGTGGTTGACGTGGCAAGCAGAGGAAATGCTGTTTGTAGTATTTCAATAACATTACTGTGAGTCATGGTGGGATAAAATACAAAATGCCTCCTTGCCGTCAAATGAAATGCTGCGCCAAGTCTTCCTTTATGTGGGCCAATGCCAATGTGAATCATCGTCTGATGGAATGGTTTTAAACTCGTAAGGTGGATCGGTGCGCTGTCTTAGATCCAAGCATGTTCAGCATTTTTAAAGCCTTTGCTAAACATAATCACACCTGGAAATGTTATATTGCTATGGGCACTCATAATGAACAACACATCACTCACAGACCTGTGAGTTGTAAGGTGGTTTATCCGATTATATTCTGCAGAAGGAAGTATTTCGTCACTTTTGTTTTCAACAGACAGTCTTGACTTTACTTAGTCTGATATCTGGGGCAATTTAACCCAAATATAGTTGAAGTCTAATTTGACTATGACCAAATCACATACACATGCTCATCATCCCATCGGATCTCAGAAGCTAAGCAGCGTTTAGCCTGGTTCGTAGTTGGATGGGATACTACCAGGTGTTGTAATCTTGAGATGGCGGTACAGTGGTTGATCCATGAATGTGTCTGCGGAGCTGCCTGGAGTGTTATCACTTGTACACATGGATTTCCTCCAGATATTCCGATTTTCTCTCACATGCCAAACACTCATACATTAAGAATTGGCAAAACACCTTAGTTGAGGTTCATACCTCGCTACTGGATGAATGACGATGTATATTCTGTTGGTTATAAACCTTGTTTGAGCATATGTGGGTTGTGAGGGGTCAGATATCACTCACCACGGATGTTATCTGTGGCCAGAAATTCGTCTCGGTTGGCTGGGTTGATAGTATAGCACCCTAACCACTCTGACGCAAACTCTTCCCTATATGGCTAAATCAATGTCAGTATTATAATTGTTTCTTTACCCTTCTATCTGGCAACAAAACTGACACCTTTTTGCGCCTTTTGGCGTCATCTGGTCCAACCCATATGAGACTAGGCTCGAAGGAAAGCTGTCTCGGGTGTGGACCAATCAACTTCAAGGACAGTGCACATTATCAGAGTTATGTTCTTTTGTTTGTATTATGACTGCAGGTATTGCGGTCTATGCAAACATGACTCCTTGCAAAAAGGTGTCAGTTTTGTTGCCAGATAGAAGGGTAAAGAACCAATTATCATATTTTTACTGGCAAATGAGGTCCCCATAGTGTAAATGTCAGTATTATTAATGCGGTATTATTAACACAGTATTATTATTTATTAAAGGTCTCTGGTTAGATCTCCCTGCACAGCAGTTGAAACAATGGGTACGTTTCTTAAATCCCCCACCTCTGTCTGCCCAGAAGTAAAAATGGGTTCATCGCAGCTGATCACCAGCGGGTTGTGTGTGGTGGGGTAAAGTGAAGGGTACAGCCATTTATTGTAAGATTTCTGGCTCACGTGGAAGAGTAGGCCAAAATAGTCTCTTAGAGGGTCTATCCAGAGGCCATTCTGCCACGCCGCAGTGGTGCGGGCAAGCGATTGCGGAGCGGCACCTCTACCTCTGGTATTAAAGTTTATCACTCCCCATAACGCATGCAACAAGTAAATGCAAACATTACCTGGTGTGACCGAGCGAGAAAATGCATGCAGTCGCAGCCACCCTCAGCGAGAATCAATGCTCCCACTGTATGTCACTGAAGATCCGAGCATGCTGAGTTTGAACTACAATGTGGCCCCAACTGATTTTCGCACCAGCCAGACAATGTAGTCGTGTAATTAATGACTGCATAATCATGTGACTGATGTTCCTTTTTAAAGCAAAAGTGGCGTAAAATCAAACTTTCAGTTTTGAAAAAGTGGTTTTAGGGGCGTCAAGCTATTTTCGTTTAGCTATTAACTTCGTGATTTTATTCCGGTTATAAACATTATTACTGTTGCTTTCATCAATAAAATGCCACATAAGGTCCAAGGTACATTTGATCTACATTGTCGTATGTAAACAGAGTCTATTTACTTGCTAACTCTTTACTTTGCTCCCGTATAGGTTTAAAACACCTTCATTAGGTTAGGCTTGAGCTGTAGACTTTTTTCTGTTGGACACTAGACATAGGCACTGTGACAGAGCACTCCACTCACAGAAGGTTGCAGGGACAAATCGGGGTCTGTTTTTGAGTCAACACTTCATCATTTTCATAGTCCAGTAAGTTTCTGGGTTGCGGAAGGACCCGACTTATGGAAATCCAACTTTACGGAAATGTTCCCATAAATCATGTAAAAAAAAAATGAGTATGCGGATTTTTTTTCCTTTCCGTAAGCGCAAATAGTTTAGCGTGTGGTGAAGTTTCGGATGAGTACTGTGGAGTGTGGCGTGCACCGCGCCGCTTTATGTCTCGCTCCACCAAAACGCCGCCTTCACGCAGCCTGAACTGCACTAGGATGAGGGTGAATGGGAATTTTTGTAGAATTACGGAATACTTTTCCTTTGTAGCATTACGCAATTGTTTTTCTTTCTATACTCAGAACTATATATTTTTTCCACCCATTTTCATATGGATATGTTTTATATATAAATTTTAGAGTTTATTTCATTAGTTATTTACTGTCTGTACTTTAACACAATTACACTTTTATTACTTTATGGTCTCAGCCGACAGTGATCAAAGAATTCTAAGCCTAGCCTAATGCACGTTAAACAAATATTTGGAAGTTACTGCTTTCTTATTCTTGGTTCTTTCGGTAAAGTCACGAAGAAGGGAAATAATAAAGTATTCTTAAAAAATATTTTATTATAATTTTATTATTAGCTTTAAATCGAAATTTACTGCGTTCTGTTAACAGTTACAATATGAAACACGAATTTTGTTCCTGGGTAGTAAGTGTTATTTTCGAATTGCTTATGCCTTAAAAGTATAGAAAATGGCTATTCCCTACAAACGTTGCTTTTGTGAGCAGGGCTTTACGTAAATGAATAACACAAATGCACACCACGTTTTCTCATTGAAAATAGGTACAATTCAAAATATCACTGTCCTGGTCACAAAAGCAAAGTTGTGGGGAATAATAGCGATGTTTATTATTAATAATATTGGTCGAAAGCCTAAGTGTTAAACTAAATAATCTCCACCAGCCTATGGCCCTTGCAGACCAATAGCTGGCAGCAGCAGACGCATGTGCTGAGACAACGACATCAGGACAACACGTGACGCAGTAGTGCACATAGCCACCCTGTAGTCCCGCAACCAGCTTCTCTGCACGCTGTGCAATATTTATATGCAGATATATATTTAAATTCTGCTGTAATGGGTCTCGGTCCAAACATATGTTTGTAGATATATCCCTACAGATATATGTATTTCCTCACTAAAAAAAGAGGTTGTCAACTTAAAAAAAATAAATGCGACATTTTAACAAAATCCATAGCAACCCTTGCTTTCTATTTTATATCAACGGTCAAAAGCACGCACCACTAAACGCTCCCCACGCTTGACGTCAAGCGAGCGTGCGAGTTCTCCACACTTGCGTGCAGTTAACCGCACATTTGACATTTGACTGGATAAGTGACGAACTAAAGAGCATTGGCCACGTTGTCCTTCCACCCACGCCTCCAATTATCACGGTTGGCTACGTACGGTGCGATTTCAACATATGTGCACACACAATGAGAGCGCTCAGCCATAGCTGCCCATGTGAGCACCAAGAAACATTCCTTCCACCGAGACCTCAACGCCGGTACTCACTGCCTCCTTGAGTTACAAACATACAAATGGGTGAAAATAATTAAGGTGGTTTTTTTAAAAGTCCATTTAAATGTGCATTCAAAATGTTTTCTTTACAATAAAAACTGGTATTGTGAAGGGAAATAATGAATGTAATATTATATGAATCTTACGTTGACTTAGCAGCATTATGGGCATCTAAGCTTGTTACAACAATTTCTTCCAATGGTCTATAGCAAACTTGACTTAATGCCCTCTGCAGAACTTGAATTTGAGCTCTTCTATTCTGGGAAATGTTAATCACCTGTTTGTTAAAAGTAGTGTTTGCATGTAATTGCCATGCTATTTCTGTCAATAATGTTTGAAAACCTCTCCCATGTGAAATATATGTACATAAATGTATTGTTTTTAGTTAAATGTGTGGCCTTATCGCTTACTTGATAACGCCACTTCTGGCAGAAGGGTCTTCACGAGAGGGAGCTCTCGAGAGCCTCCCTCTGGATGGTACTTGGCCTACTCTTCCACACTGGCCAGACATCTTGGGCAAGCTGGGAGTACCCACACTGGGTAATAACCATTCAGTTTAGTGGAACGTGTGAGTGCACTGTATTATATGACCCTGACAACCTGAGTGTGATTCCTGGCCACAGTTAAAATCAGTAATGAATGATATTTTAACCGGTCCTAGGCTACCCTTCAAGAGCCGACGTCAACCACCGTGGTAGACTTTAGTCAACAAACGCCCACAATCAAACGGACGTGTGTGAAAGAACCAAGAATATGAATCCCTGCAGTCACGAAAGCTTTATATCGAGATTTTCATCCATCGTAGCATTTGAAAAAAAGGGACTGTAAATTGTTATTAATCATTTCATAACAGCATAGTGCATTTCAGTTAAGCCAAACCCTATAAAGCCAGGGAGAACCAGTTGTGATACACATCTGGATTTCCACTCTAGCCTGCATTACCCTGTGCTGTAAACAGACCCGCATTCTCCGGGGATAAGAATGTCACTGCTTTTGACAGGACATTCATCCAAGCCCCTTTTTGGTTCGCACTGTTTTGAAAGGCGAGGATTTTTGCGAAGATATATGCCAAACGTCTTCTGAGTGTACGTAGCCTTACATTCAGAAGAAAACTCAGGACCGGTTTTGGCATAAATTGTCTCTTCAGCAGTCAGGCTTTCTTGAACTGCCAATCTTACAGGAAGTACCTTGTATATAAGATATGGGTTCTAGTTCTCTGCAAAATTGTATAATACCTAACATAAAATAATAATTGGCGTCAATATGGGGCTTACAGTTGCCTGATTATCTATTTTGTTATCTATTTAATCTATTTAGTAAATAATATAACAATGCTAATGATTAATTTCCAAGAAGAGTTGACGCCTCTGTGTTTAATGGTGTCCTGCTGCTGTCTTAACAAAATGCCACAACCACCTTGGGTGTTTTTATAGCTTGCAGCTATCACAGGCCTGTGTGCAGAACATGTGCAAGTATGGTGACGTCATCAGAGCATTAAACCCATTCTGGGACTCCTATTGAATACACACCACTTTTACCTTTGTGGTACATAGGCTCATCCGTATAACTTGAGATGAGCTCCTTCTATATAGGAAACCTTTAGCTTTTAACCCCTCAGTCACAAGAAGCAAAAGTTTGATTTCATGTCATGTCTTATCACATCCTCTCCCTCTAAACCTCAACGAAGTTTTTGCATCCGGTGCGACTTTGTTTATATACGATTGAGGGAACAGGACAATATATCAGAGAATGTGTGGGTAGGATTTTGCCCTGGGATTGTCTCAACCATTCTTGAAGCATCTCTTAACTAGTTTGGTGTCCCTTTGGCAATCCTGGTAAACATACACGGCGCATCGCTTGGCAGCAATAATGTTGATATCGTTACAACCAACTGGTAACAAGGGCACTATAACAACAATCATTACAATTCACATCCAGAGCATGGCTCCCAGCTTGGCTGCACAAAGTTACAGGCTGGAGCATTGTGCACAGTAAACGTGAACTACGGCTTGTCCTCGCAGCAGCTTTACCTGGTCATCGGACAACGATGGTCACTGCTTCGGCCGCTTTCAGATGCGCTTCTGTGACAATCTGGGATGCTCTTCCTTCCAATATTCGGAAGACACTGGAGCTATGCACTTTTAAATCGCATCGATTGAAAACGAATTTCTTTAGAACTACTTTTTGTGTGTAGTTTGTTGTCCTTCGCCCGCACCTCCAATTAGCACGGTTGGCTACGTACGGTGCGAAAGAAGTTCAGTATACATACATATCGCATGAAGAACCACAGCAAACACTCCTTTGCGATGTCACAGAGCAGAACCTGCCTTCTGGACCTTGTCTCACGTAGAATACAGGATGAATAAGTATGTCTTCTGAGACCAGGTCAAAATTATAATTAGTAAATGTCAACTATTTACTGCATGATTATCCAGTCAAAGGGTACTGACGATATGCTGAAACAAAGTTATTCTGTCATGCAAATAAGCACCCTTTGCTAATCTCTTCGTTTTGGTGTGTGCAGGAAACGGATTACGTGATGTCGTACTTTGAAAATGGCGAGGATTTCGGCGGTGACAGTGATGATCACATGGACGAGGCGGTGTACTAGCTTGTCGCGATAGATGGATTTCCACTGCAGCACTCTTCAACGCCACGGGTTACAGCTCACTCGTAACACTGAAGCACCGAGTGATCCACGCAGAGATGCAGAGACTAGACCACGAAGGACTCGATTCACTTGTTGCTTATTGTTTCTTTTCATCCTCTTGATGAAAACGGGCTGCCACGGTGGTGGGATGTTAACTGCCTCGCCTGGTATACAGGAGGTCGTGGGTTCGATCCCGACCCTGATGCCTGTGTATGTGGAGTTTGCGTGTTCTCCCCGTGGTCGTGTGGATTTTTCTCCGGGTCCTCCGGTTCTCCCCTGCACATTTATAAACACTCGTTTAGAGTATTTGGTTGCTATAAATCTCGACGTGATGATAAGCCACTTCGTTGAGCTTTCATTTGTGGCCAGGTCGCTAATAGTCTAAAATTAACAATTGGGTAAAACTCATTGGCCTTTTTTGATCAAGTTGTGAATTTGGCCCTGAGTGTGCACTGGCCCACTGAGATTCAAAACACAGTTAAGAGCAGCATCGATTTTTAGAACAATACACTGCAGCGCAGTCCATCTGAACACACATGGATGCAAGTAACACTGTACAATATAGCACAACAGTCCACTGTGGAACAACGCTAAATCGTGAACCACTACGATGTAGCTGAACAGGACACGGAAGTGTACACGTGTAACCTTAATCATGCATCTCCCACCGTGCTGTTTATCACAATTTCACTTGGGTTTATTTTAAAACCTGGAAATATTTTTCAATTTTGTTTAATAAACGTGTATGTTTAAGTACTGTCAACATTTCAGTTATTTGCATTGAAGACAATGTACATTAAACAACAGCAATGCTACAGCAAGTGTGGGTATATGAAGCACTGAATATACTTGAATATCCTCATCTCCAGGAACCAGTTGAGCTAATCTTTACACTCATCATACCTGCAAGTCATTTGCATGATGCGTCTGCTCTTTGACAACAGAGGAAGTCGACTTTAGCACCCAGATCAGGCCACATGAACCTCGCTGTCAAAGGCTGCAAACGTGAACTTGAACATTTTAGCTGTGGCTGGCATCCACTTTCTTCAGCCCTCCTCTCAGTGCAGATGTCAGATGGGTGAGGCTTAGAACGCTGGCCCATGCAGGTGATTTGGAAATGCTGTTAACATGGTGCAGGCTTCCAGAAAAGCTAACAGGGAAGGTAGTTCCAGATAAGATTTTTATTTAGCGAATGCTTTTACACGTGACAGTCATCCATTTAGAACTCCAGACATGCAAGAAAAATAAATGTTTGTCAATGTTCATCTTCTTGGTTCTTTCGGTAAAGTCACGTAGAAGGGAAATAATAAAAATAAAACAAATAATTCTCACGACGTTTCGGCCACAATGCAAGCAGCCGTCCTCAGGTGAAGAACAGGTCTGTCGGAAAGACAGCGTCTGAATGAACACCACACCACCAAGCGTGTTCATTCAGACTGTCTTTCCGACAGACCTGTTCTTCACATGAGGACGGCTGGTTGCGTTGTGGCCGAAACGTCGTGGAGACGTCGTGAGAATTATTTTATTATGTTTTATTTTTATTATTTCCCTTCTACGTGACTTTACCGAAAGAACCAAGCAGATGAATCCCTGCAGTCACGAAAGCTTTAAATCGAAATTTGTCAATGTTCCTTCAGTGGACGTCAGTCCCACGGAGCTCCAGTGCAGTGCAACGAATCCGCCCGGCACTCCGTGACGGACTTCACAGCTGGAGACGAAGTGCACCATGGTCTCCTGCTTCCCCCACATGTGCACAGCGGGCTGTCACGTTGGACGCCAACATCGATTTTCAGAAGGGGACACACCGTGCCCTGGTCACACCGAAAGTGGTTCAACTGAATCCAGTGGCGCCTTGGGAGGTCGACGCCGGGCATCTGGACAGACGGATCACCGATGAGGCCCTTGTTGGGCACATCCACGCATCTCCATTCCTCGAACCCAGGCAGTTCGGGTATCCCACATACTCAAGTCCAGATGAGAGAAAGCAACAGACTCATTGTCGCCAACAATATCCCTTGACTAAGGATGAGAAGGTCTATAACAGCCTTTGCATGAAGGTTAAGAGAACTGTTACTGGTAGGAACCACCTGGTTACACCAGCCCACAGGGGATTATTGTGTCCGTCCGTCCGTCGTGCATCGAAAAATGGGAGGGGTGGGGCTGGGTGAAGAGGGGAGGGTGGGGCTGGGTGGGAGGGGTGGGGCTGGGTGGGGAGGTACTGGGTGGGGCTGGGTGGGGGGTGGGAGGGGTGGGGCTGGGTGGGGAGGGGCTGGTCACCCCGTGGTGCCCTTATAAAACTCAACGTTTAACCTACTCACGCCGGCTTGTGCCCGTCCTCACAGTCGGGCATATTTGCGGAATACACCACGCCGCCGTTGACCCTGGCCATTGACCGAGCAACCCAACGTTCCTACCAGCTCCCTCCGCAGGAATGTGTTTAATGTTGGAAGGATGAGTCGCGGTTGCTGGTTGTCGAGGAAGAAAGGCGACCTGGTCCCTGGCATACATTCATAGATGTAACATAAATGGGAATAACTTACCGTCACGGTTTCACATGTTAATGTGTCGTTCTACACTGTAAACTGAAAGGTCACTTCATCTCCCACAGCCTGCGATTTTAGTTATGTAAATATATTCACCGAGCAAACCAACGTTCCTACCAGCTCCCTCCGCAGGAATGTGTTTGCCACTGCCCACCCCAACAATTTAGTGAAGATAAAATGTCTCACTGTTGCACAAATGTCACCTGACTTGATCTGTGCAGTCCTGCTTAGGTGCCATGGTTACCAGATAGGTGCCGTCTGTTTCATGTCAGATTTATTGTCTGCTAAAGTAAAACCATTGTGCTAATGTATGAGCATTGCGTACCGTCAGCTCCTTCAAAGGAAGTACAAATAACTTTGCTAAAGTAGAATTGAATTCCTTGTGAACATTCGATAACGCACCACCATTTTGGTTCTGGGGTTGGTTACGTGTGAAAATGTTCCTTGACGTGTAAACTGGGATTGCAGGATATGGAGATATTTTTACTGACGCATGGATTAAAACATTTTACAGTAAAGTTTGAAGGTGTCTCATATGACCTCGGCCAAAGATCACCCATATATATTGAATTTAAGAAATGTTGGACAAGCGCTGTTAGTGAACACCTATTAGAGCTAGCCAACTTCGGGTGATGTGGCGAATAGCATTCCAAGCCACAAGGAGATCATGTGTTCAGGGCACCCATCTGCAGGCCTACATTGTGGTGTCTATAAATGGCAGTACAGAAAGTAGGTTTCTGCCTTTTGGCTGAAGACTGTTGAGTGTGCTATCCTCGGCATGAGTGAAATTTATCCTAGCACACGAAATATATAACCCCATGAGGTAATAAGAAAAATCCATGCAGAAATATTGTGAAAGAGTCTTGCAATCCAGTGGGGTGGGGCCTTTCTGGGTAAATTTATTTGTGAATCTCAATACCAACACCAGCAAAGATACAGCAGCAGCTGGTGACCAATGGGAAGGACACACCAATTCTGCTTTAACGAGGGTGTAAGTCATTGTGCGCCTTTTGCGTCATCTGGTCCAACCCATGTGAGACTAGGCTCTAAGGAAAGCTGTTTAGGGTGTGGACCAATCAACTTCAAGGACAGTGCATACATTATCAGAGTTATGTTTTTTGTTTGCATTATGGCTGCAGGTATTGTGGTCTATGCAAACATGACTCCTTGTAAAAAAGGTGTCAGTTTTGTTGCCAGATAGAAGGGTAAAACAACAATTATATATTTTACTGGCAAATGAGGTTCCAATGGTGTAAATGCTTACCCCGAGCTCTCATACTCTGATGGTGCATTGTCTTTGAGTTGTGCGCCTTTTGGCGTCATCTAGTCCAACCCATGTGAGACTAGGCTCTAAGGAAAGGTGTCTCGGGTATGGACCAATCAACTTCAAGGACAGTGCATACATTATCAGAGTTATGTTTTTGTTTGCATTATGGCTGCAGGTATTGTGGTCTATGCAAACATGACTCCTTGTAAAAAAAAAGGTGTCAGTTTTGTTGCCAGATAGAAGGGTAAAAAACCAATTATCATATTTTTTACTGGCAAATGAGGTTCCAATGGTGAGGGTGTAAGTTGTTAGCCCCACTTGTATTGGATTCAATGGCGTGGTAAGCGACATCAGCTCAGGGTGTTGCGTCAATCGGTCAGGTGGGGCCCCAAATATTTGATTTGTCTCGCACGGTCGCACCACACAACCGTCACTTGATTCCGGGATCAGCTCATTTGGAGCGCCCAAACGGCAAACGTTGCCACTCTTTGGTTCACCTGACGGCACTGATGTGGCTTTAAGTGAACGCGCGCACACCCTATCATCATTAGACCTCCTTTGTCAGTACCAAAATATAATAATAGGAGTTTTCCCCTTTTTTCTGGCGACAAAACTGAAACCTTTTTTTACAAGGAATCATGTGTGAATTAACCACAATACTTGTGGTCAGAATGCAAACAAAAACACACTCTGATAATATGTACATTGTCCTTGAAACTGATTGGTCTATACCAGGGACGGCTTTCTTTTGAGCCTCGTCTCAATTGGTGCTCGACCAGAGGACGCCAAAAGGCGCACACCCTGTTTGAACGAAGTGGTTACCACCGTATTATACCGTCACCCTATGCGCCCAAAGTCGGAATAATGGATCTGCTTGTCGAGCTGGTCACACGATGACAACGATCATGGAAACAAACGTGCGATGCGCAATTTGCGGAAGCCAAAAATTTCAGCTCTTAATTAAAATCAACGTGGAAGCTTTTTCGTGAAAAAACATAAAGCATTGAAACCACGTTTTAAATAGGTACTTGATCTTTCACACTGTTGTTAGCAAACATAACTGATGGTGTTGTCAAGGGGGCCCCAACTCGTTGATTTGGCCATCAGCGTGGGGGGCAAGGCACCCTCTGCCCCCACGCTCGTTACGCCACTGACTGCATTGTAAATGTAATGAGGAGCGCTCCATAAGCGGCATTTGCAAACATGAAGCTATTACTGAGCAAATACATTTCCTTTGAATATCCATACCGCGTTACACGAAACTATTTGTTTAACGTCGATCACCTGACTCCGCACCATGAAGACGGGCCTATGTTTGAGAAGGGAAATGCAACATTTTTAAATTTTCTAAATTTCTTGCTTTAAGTTTTCAGAAATGTACACGTTTTTTGGACCTGTTTTTACGTGAACATATTTTTGGTAGTTTTTTTCGTCAAAAATAAAAGCACTGCCCTATAATGTGTGTGTCATGTTACCATATGCATGTCAATATATTGCGTGTGCTCAAACATATCTCGTAGGATCCGAACATGAATGTGCTTGCAATCGCAGCGACTCCTAAACATCCTTCCATTTGGCTCAACTATCACGGAAATCCATAATTCAACAAGAAACATTCCCAATCACAAAAAATTCTAAAAACCAAGGATCGCCCGAATATAACACACACACACACAAATACAATTATATAGCTTACTTAGACATCTATATTCCTGTCATTTGTAATTTTAAACGTAAGGAAGAACTCCAATAATATCTAGAAATGTTGGTTGATAACCAAGTGCAGTGCTTCGCGACGGATGATGGGGTATTTGAACCTCACTGTTGGCTAGCTCAGACATTAATTCTAGATTTGAAGCTTTCGTGACTGCAAGGATTCATATTCTTAGGTTTTTTCGGTAAAGTCACGTAGGTAAAAACATTAACATTAATAAAAGTAAAAT